ATGGGCACATAGAAATACCAGAAATACGGCCACAGGGTTCTCACCTTACCAACTTACGTTTGGTCAAGATGCTGTTTTACCAGCCGAAATTCGAGTATCATCTGGCCGAACAGAATTTACTGATAGTGATCTTACAAAGGAATACCAACAACTTATGTTGCAGCAGTTAGAAGATTTGGATGTTAACCGTCTCCATGCAATAGATCGAAGTGTGAAACAGAGTGAAATCAGAGCAAGGAGTTACGGAAAGAAAGTTCTTCACAGGACATTCCAAAAAGGAGACCTAGTCTGGAAGACCATTCTTCCTACATATAAGAAAACTGATCAATTGGGAAAGTGGTCACCGAATTGGGAAGGACCATACATTGTTCAAAAAGATATTGGAAATGGCGCGTTCATTATTGTAAATCATGAAGGTAGGAGAGTACATGATTGTATTAATGCTAAATATCTGAAGAGGTATTATCCTGCCTTTTCAGATAATAAGACTGCCTGAAACAAAATATTATTCAGAACCCATTGGTGGGGTTCGAACCTACGGAAAGGTTCATTTCTGTTAGTCATCGTGTAGTTGTGAGAAATTTTCTGCCTCTGAATCAGACTTTTCATCCCAGTGAGTGGATATTAGCTCTGGTTCTTCTTCAATAAGATCTTCCAAATCTGGTCGATACCTTTCCCATTGGCTTTGCATTTCATCTAAATCTTGATGGGTACGTGCTTGCATGTCTGTTATGGCTTGATGTTCACGATCAACAATGGTCCGTAATCTTGAGAAGACTTTTCGTTGATTGGAAAATATGTTATCCCAACCAAGGTCTGGAAGTATGGTTGCTGCATGATTTTCAATCATTTCCATGTGATGATGGAGATCAGGAATGCGGCTGAGGATGTCACGAAGAGGTTCATATCCCTCAATGATTTTTTCCATTAGGCGGATGACGCGATGAATGGTTCTTCTTCCTCGTTGGGAGAATCGGAATTTGAAGTCTAGTTGCTTGAGTATATGTAACAAGTCTTCTGCATGGCCTCCAATAGGGTGATTACCCACAAAGAAGGGTTGAAGAACACCCTGCCAATTGTTTGATGGAACATAAGGTCGGTCATTCGCCATGTTCGTTAACACTTTAAGTGTTGTGATTTTCAAAATATGCCTTGGAATGTGTTTCTTAAAATGTGAGAAACAATGTTCTTTTAAAGAAGGAGTTTGTTTCTATTCCTACAAAGTTGGAAATTGAAAGGTGATCCTTGTTTTGTGAGATGAAAGAAAAAATGGATTACTAAGTCAATTGTTGTTACAAAGGGGGAAGTATTACAACAATGCCCCTAGGGCAGTTTTTATATGGGTCCATTTGATTTCATCCCTGGATAGCCTTCTGGTATTGGCAGCCGTCTGATATCTTATGATGAATTGGGATCGGGCTTGGGTTTTCAGCTCTTGATCCAATTCAGCTTCATTCTTGGTGTACTGCTCAATCAGGCGCTGCTCATTGATAATTTGCTTATCCAGGGTAGACTGTTCTTTCCTCAGCTCCCGCAATTCTGCCTCCTTTTTCTGAATAGCTTCATCAACTTGAGCTTTCGTGTTAAGGAGACCACCCAGCCTTCCAGTAGTCTGCTTGAGGGATTCTCGGGTCTTAGCCAAAGAATTCTCCAGCGCTGTTTGATCGAAGTCGGGCTGGGGGGTTTCAGCTGACAGGAGTCCAATGACTAATACTTCAGTCTTGAGCTCTGTAAGTCTTTCCATCAGCCGATGCAGAATGGGGACGGCTGGTGATTCCGTTGGAGTGTAATAAAGAAGGCCACCAACCGTCTGAATGAGCTTGTCCAATAAGTCGGACCTTAATTCGGACAGGGGACGGTTAATGGCCTCAGTGAACACAGTCTGGGCCTCCGCTGGAACCGGAACAGTCGATAGGACAGCTAAGTCCGAAGGCCCCTGCAAGTCCTACAATGTCAATAAATATTCCAAGGGAGTTGCAAATTTGTTCGGAGAAAATATGTGGTACCTCTGGGCGGACTGCTGTCAGTGAGGGGGGCAGCAATGAGGTCGGTCGAGTTGGGCAGACAGCTGGTATAACAGCAGCCGACTCGTCGGCTGCTGCGAATGGTCGCTGAGGTGCCGACCTGGGTCCCTATGGAAAGTAGTATTTGAAACAGTTAGTGTTTTTCGAAAGAAAAGTTATGGCATGGATTGGTCTAATCTTACCAAATTCACAGAAGTCTCCGAATCGGATGAAGACATTTCTTCCATTTCTGGAGGTTGGGCTGCCACAGGTGGTTCTTCTGCCTGCCATTCGATAGCTAGAGGGAGCGCCGCTGCTGGTAGGGCGGCTGCAGGTTGGACGGCTACCTCTAGAGCCACTGCAGCCAGGATCTCTGGGGCACCTTCGATTGCGGGATCAGCAGCATCAGGGATGTCGTTTTGAGGGTCAGCTTCGGCGAGGGCGGCTGGTTCTTCCTTTGACATAGATGAGTCTGATGCCATGTATGGCGGCCGACCCATCTGGGAAGTAGTCCCCTCGCTGTCAGAAGAGACCCCTGCTGCTGATGGGATGGGTGAAGGTGTCTGTGGAAAAATCATGAAGATGTTTGTTGTTCAATATATTAAGGTTGATCATCCGAATCCTAAGTCTTGCTGATAAAGGAACTTACTGGTTCTATAGGCACTGCTGGTAAAGATTGTCTCCTGGTCGGGGGCCTGGCCCGACCACTCCTCGGTGCGGGAGGAAGAGTTTGCCTCCGCGTCGGGTCCTCCGCCCGACTGCTCATTGGCAAATTGGTCTGGACCAAAGGCCCGATTGAATGGTCGGTTGGTGCTGGCGTCGGTTGCATGGTCGATGTCACCAAGGTCGGTTCTGGAGAATGAAATGAGTAAAATCAAAGTTACGATATAGTGAATCGGTTCACGGTGTTAAGAAACATTACCAATTCGGGGTCGGGTCCTTGCTGACGTCCTATTTATTCCAAGGTCTGCTAGTGTTTGCTGGTCGGTCTCCGAGGTCGGGGGTGTTTGCAGCTGGGAAGTTTTTCTTTTGCGCGTGGGACCACCAGATCCGATTCCCGGGGCGGTTGTTTGTTGTTGGGTGCTAGTATGTCTCGCCGCCCCTAGAACCAGTCCTTGGGGAGGAAGGAGTATGTTCAGCAACCGACCCTCATCAGGGGATATCAGGGACCATACAACCGACCACCATTCATTGAAAGTATCTACGATCTCAGGGTTGGAGCGGAAAGGAATATAAGAATTGGAAATTATATACGTGGTGAGCTGGGAGATATAAGAAGGGATTGAATTAGGAAGGACTCGTCGGTCGGGACTTTGAAAAATTATTTGGGGACACGCGACGGGTCCAGGGATACCTTGGCAACAGCCGAACTGGCGCGCCATGAATTGAGGTTCATAGTTAAAAGTGTAAAAAGTTTTCTGCCCTTTTTTATCAAGTTTCTTGCTACTAAAAAGAGACCTGGGTTTGAGAGCGACGTCCCAGGCGAAAGGATAGGTGGGATGAGGACAAGGCTCAGGAGTCGGAAGCGGGTTTGGTACTGGAAAGGGCCAAAAATGGTCGGGAGCATAACCCGCATACTTTTTATACATAGAAAATCGAGAGTTACTGCGGGTATCTGTTAAAATGGCGGTTATTATGAGATCGGAAGATTGGAGTTTATTGCGTCCTGAGCAGAGTCGGTTGAGGACTAATCCTAAATGTTTTTCAGATGTTGGCATAGTGGGCGGAGATCCTAAGTTAAACGCGTTGGGGAAGTAAAGACGGAACCAAAGTTCTAAAAACCAAAAAGGACCCGACGCGGCAGTGTCTAATTTCCTATTATCGTTATCTGTTAAACGAAGGCTAACCCTGGTGAGTCCTTCAAACAGATTGGCCAAAAATAGAGTACCAAGGGAGAAGAACCGACCTGACGCAATATGAATGGCCAGGTCGAGGTGAGAAGGAAGAACACTTTTGGAAGGGGAAACAATGACGTACCTACAAAGCCAGAACAGGATAAAGGCAGTATGCTCCCGGTCGGTTACAGGAGTCCCTGGAGCCCCTTGCTGGTCGGTTGCGAACTTTGTCCAACCCCATTCCTTCACACCTTGTAAAGACCATCCCGGATGGTCTTCTGATGGCTCCTGCCCATCTAGGGCTCCCATTACAGGGTCTTCACCCACGACTGGGAGATGTGCGATCATGGCCACGTCCATAAGAGTTGGGCCAAAGGGGGCCGATGGCAAAAGGAAAGTCCCATTTTCCGCATTCCAGAAGGCGGACATGGCCAACAGCACATTCTCATGCAGGTTGATAGGCATGGTGGACAGTAGTATTGCTTGGTCGATCTTTTGGGATCGCCATTGGGTCTGGAAGTGTTCTGCTACTCGTCGATACCAAGCACGATACAGATCTTTTGGGTCTGTGAGATGGGTCTTGATGCTGTCTCGGATGCGAACTGCTTGGTAGTTGGGATTGTTGATAGCCAAGGAGTTGCGAGATTCCAAAACTTCCCTCATCCGATTTGAATCTTCAGGAGTAGTGCAATATGGACGGATCGTCGAAGTTAGTACTTTCGAGGCTGAAAATGGACCTTCTGGAAGGGTTCCGTCGAAAGGAAGGGCAGGAATGAATTGATTCGCCATAGTTAGAATGTTTTGGGGTTGTGATTCACACAGGCTTGTATTGCGAAGAAGGAAGTTAACCAGGAGTGTTGCAGTAACTGGTGTAGTTTCTAAGGAGGTAGTGCTTTATGAACTTCCAAACATTGATTGTTAAATGGCGTTTGAAAGTCCCTTGGCGGCGGGCAAGTTGTTACGTACGAAATTTAGAATTAGGTTAAAAGCCCAAGGTAAAAAGAAGAATGGGCCTGGCAATAGGGTTGATTGAACTGGCTGAAGGACACCGTGAGGAAATCAAGGAAAATAAATTTATTTATTTATTTCTAAGGAAAATATAGGTCGGTAGGTCCTCAGGACGGAAAGACCTCAGGACGGAAGGTTCTTAGGTCGGTAGGACCTCAGGACGGAAGGTTCTTAGGTCGGTAGGTCCTCAGGACGGAAAGACCTCAGGTCGGAAGGTCTTCAGGTCGGGAGGCTCTCAAGATGGAAAGACCTCAAGTCGGAAGGTCTTCAGGTCGGAAGGTCCGCAAGACGGAAAGACCTCAAGTCGGAAGGTCTTCAGGTCGGGAGGTCCGCAAGACGGAAAGACCTCAAGTCGGAAGGTCTTCAGGTCGGGAGGTCCGCAAGACGGAAAAACCTCAAGTCGGAAGGTCTTCAGGTCGGGAGGTCCGCAAGACGGAAAGACGATGAGTCGGAAGGTTTTCAAGTCGGGAGGTCCTCGAGACGGAAAGTCGTCGAGATGGGATATCCGCAGGTCGGGTAAACTGTAGGTCGGATAGAAGGAGGAGTCGGACAAACGCGGAGGCCTTTGATCAAAGACAGGGGGCGGTTGATATGGAGGTCGGCCCAAGTGGGGTCGGGCGAAGAAGTAGGTTTGACGAAGGACGAAGTCGGGCCAAAAGAGCGGAAGGTCTGTGGTCGGCTCAAGGAGTGAAATATAGGGAATTTTGGTCTGCTGGGGACACGTGTCAGCATGAGAAAGGTTGGAAGACGGTTGAGAAGGAGACGTTGTAACCGTTCGGGTGACGGTTTTCAGTACGGTTTCCCAGGGAATATTTAAGGATTTGGATCATCATTTAGCAAGGCATCTTCAATCAACTTCAACAAAGCAAAGTCAGATTTGGGGATCACCACTTTAAATTTCAGTCTTTTATTTTCCAGTTTATTTTCTGTACTTCAGTGTTTAGAGATTCCTAATCTCAGGCACTAATTAATCAAGTTTAAGGATATTTTCTATATCTTTGAATTTTACTTTATTTTTGTTGAAAAAATACATCAACAGTATGTTTTGTAATTTATAAAAAATTAAAATATATTATTATATTAATATTTGATTAGTTTTATTATAATTTTTTAATATGACAGTAAAAGTGGTAAAAAAATACATTTAGTTAGACGAGTGAGTACTAATTATTATATTTACTTGACCCGCGGGCTAACCCGTCCCACTGCGAGCTAACCCACCCTCAACCCGCGGTCCATGCCGGTTGGCTCATTTAGGCCCGCATTTTAACGGGCTTAAAAAATCACAACCCAACCCTCCTTAAAAATAAGGCGGGGCGGGCTAACCCGACGGACTCAACCCATTTTGACGGCTGTAGATTTTATTGGGTTTTAAATTTTTTATAAATTTCCAATTATTTTAAAAAATCTATATAGTTCATGCATAATTTGTTGAATTTTATTAATTGCTTTAAACAGATTTTCATAAATTCAATTGAGTTATTATAAATTTGTATGAATTTCATGGAATTGTAAAATATTTTTTCATTAATTTATATTTTATTTGTCTCACATAATTTGTTTGCTTTAGCTAGACAGAGTTTTAATAGTGTGTAATTAGTAAATAATTAATAAATTTAAGTAAAAAAAATTATGATTTAATATAAATAATTATAAATTAAAATCAAGATAAGTAAATAGTTTAATGTAATAAAAATAAAATAAAAAAATATAAATTTTAAATTTTAAATATAATAAAAATGTATAATTATATTTTTAAAAACAAAGACAAAGTGGCACAGACTAAGTAGCAATAGTGAACAAGTGAAACAGAGTGGAGTAATATTTGTCATTCAAATTTATTTCTATTTTTATTGTCATCAAATATATTTTTGCTTTTTATTTTAGCATATTTTTTTAATATAAAAGAATAATTATTATTTTTATTAAAACTTGTATTCAACTATAAATAGATATGGTATTAAACATATGACTATAAGAGCATTTGTTAATGAAAGTGTGTTTGTTGGATTACCTTTTTATTTCCCTCATTCACATTATATTTACATTAAAATTCAAATTACTTGTTTTAACACCCATTACAGCATCATCACTTTTACCTATTACTTTTATATTTTTATAAAATTCATCATAATTATTTATTTTTATATATTTAATTATCTAATAATATTTATTATGTAATACTCTATATGTCCTTTATCTATATATCAATTTGTTTTTTGTACGGAATTTTAGAAATATTAATATTATATTGAGATAAAGTAAAAATGAAGATAAAAAGACTAAATTACCCCTATTAGTATTGTATGATATAAAGACAATGACATTTGTGTAATATATTGTAAATTGGAAGGGTATTTGTAACGTTAGGTAGATTGTACAATTAAAAAAAAATAATAAAAAATAGATACTTTGTTATGGGACGGATCAAAATAGAAAAATGGATATTTTTAAAATATTAATTTATATAAACTATAATAATATTATATAAATTTTTATATTATAAAATATTAAAATTATTCGAATTTATAAAATTAGTTGCATTTTAAAATCTGAATGATTGAAATAAACTCGAATTAATATATTATCGGAATAATTCTTCGTTTCCGATAATTTTTTTAAAGAACTAGTTGAAAATAGATTGAATATAAAATTTTAAATGTTAAAATTAGACATATAAAAAAAATAGAAAAACATATAGGCTAGTCATGATTTTAATTTTTATAAAGTTAATTTTTAAAAATCTTAAATTTTAAGTTAAAATTAATTAAATCATTATTTATTTATTATTTTTATAAAGGTAATGAATTTTTCATAAAAGTAATAAACGAGTATTAACTGTATTTCCATAAAAGTAACAGACGTGATGACGATAGAGACAATGAAGAAAGTAATTGCAATGGGTGCTTTAAGTAATTGCAATGAGTATTAATTGTATTTCCACAGAGGTCATCAGATTTTATTATTATTACCACTCCTTCCGTCTCAATACAATAATCTTATTTACTATTTTTGTCTGTCCCAAAACAATAGTTTTATTTTCATAAATAATCATATCACTGCATAATTATCATTACTTTTTCATTATTATTACACAATTATCACTACTTTTCACACTAATACACTCACAAAAGGCAAAAATATCTTTTACCTATACTATTTACCCACTATCAATATAATATAAATATTCCTTTAATCTCGTGTCCAACACAACCAAGACTATAGTTCCGGGACAGAGGGAGTATTATTTATGTGAAGTGGTCGGTTGCATCGAAATTTAAAGTTTTCATATAATAATATTTGATTGTATTTTTAATATTAAAAAAAAGAAGCAAACTGTTCTTTTTAATCCGTATCATTTATCATTTAAATATTTTTAATGGATGCGTGTGAAATATTCTGATAAGTAAATTTTTTTTACTAGAATTCGCTAAAATAGTCATATGATGTATGACATCTAGATGGTGACCGCATCAATAACTTGTGTGGGCAGCATGACAAGTTCAGCACCGAAGAACTAAACTATTTTTAATATAATTAATTTAAAGTTCTAAAATAATAAAAAAAATAAAATAATTTCGCATAGACATAAAAGTGAAACACAAAAAATAAAGATTAAACACTGAATTCAAACAACTCATATTTATAGGACTTCTACAAAAGATTAGTCATTAATACATAATATGATTATAAATTAGGATGACACCTACTCATGTAATAACATGAGTCATAACATTATAGATAAATTTTTATTAAATTTAAAATTTTGGATTTTGAGATTTCATTTCTAATAATTAATTAATTTGTTTTTTCTTGGGAGGTAATAACTAATATTCCCTCCGTTCCAAATAAGGTGCAATATTTGTTTTTGGCATGGATTTTTAGGTTGATAGTATTAAGTAGGATAATTTAGAAATTAGGTGATGTGATGGTGAGAGAAATATATATTTTATTTTTTTATTTGGATGATGTGAGAGGATAAAGAGTGGGGTTGAAGATTAAGTATAATTAATTATTTCATATTTTAAAAATATTGCAGGATGTTTGAGATATACCAAAAAAAAAATAAAAATAAAAAATGTCAGATTGTTTGGGACGGACGGAGTAAGTTTCTTAAAAAGGTAATGACTGTCTGTGTGTGATCTTGGCAACAAGTCCCGTTAATATAAATACAACAGTATTTACTTTACATATCAGTCCTCAATATTCTACATAATTTTATTTCGTGTTTATTCCATATATATGCCCAACAGTTCATAAAAATTTCACATTAGTCCATCTCTGTGTAGTTTTACTCTCTCCCGCTCTGCTAGGGTTTTACTTCCACCGAACCTTCTCGAAATCATGAAGCTTGCGCCGTTGAACACCGTACAGAACGCCCACGACGACTCCGTCTGGACGGCGGCGTGGGTTCCGGCGACGGAGGCTTCGGCGCCGCTGCTCCTTACAGGCTCACTTGACGAAACGGTGCGCCTGTGGAATCCGGAGGGTCCTCAGAAGGTCCAGACGAACACCGGCCACCAACTCGGCGTTGTGTCGATCGCTGCCCACCCATCCGGGAGAATCGCGGCGTCGTCTTCCATTGACAGCTACATACGCGTGTTTGACGTCGCCACCAACAACACCATTGCGACTCTGGAGGCGCCACCGTCTGAAGTGTGGCAAGTGCAGTTCAATCCTCAGGTGATGATCGGTATTAGAGATTTCAATTATTACTCGTGGGTTTTTCTGCTTTCTTTGTTGTGTCGATTTATGTAATCGCAAATATAAAACACTATGATCTAGTAATGTGGTGGCAGGAATTTCGTCTTGTAGTTTAGCTATGAAGGACTAACATTTCTTCTTAAAGGTCTGTTTTGTGGGAAAATTTGATGAATTTAGAGCTTCTAGGAGTGAGGAAATTCACCAGTGTATGGAATTAATTAGGAAAACTGTTCAAATGGCAGAAATTTTGAAGATGACAATGTTTATGGCTAATTGCTACCTCATATCTTCAGAAGTAGTAATCTCTTGTTCTTAATTCATTTGAGTTCAAAAGTGATCGAATGTGCCATAGTGTTAGGTAGAATGTAGCAGTAATGAAATGCATATCCTGTTTGATTATGGAAAAAAATATTAATTGATGTTGTCCAATTGGAAGATTCGATTGCCAGTTGTAGTATATGCTATAATGCTATGGGGTTATGTATGTCTTTTAACATCCTTTATCCTTGTCAGAAAATTCGGAATGTAATGTGTTGGCTTGCCTTAACTAATGAAAAGATATTCTGAGTAATGGTGCCGTGATACTTCTGCCCGCAGTAATCATTAATGTCAATCATTTTCTCGTAACTGTAAAACCATGGGATTTCAGTTCGATTGAGTTTGAAAGTTGTTTAAATTTTCAATGCTCCGCTATGATGCTTCCTTTGTATCTCCTTTAAGTGTTTTGTTTTTTCATCTCGAAAATAATTATATTACAATTTCCTCTGCCTTTTGTAATAAGAAAACGATTTAGCTTTATGTTGTTGAACAAATATATATATGTATATATATATATTTGCGTTGTGATTCAATGCAAATGCATGATCACTACCAATTGTAGAGTATGAAAGCTGCATTTTCTGGTGTCTAGAAGTCTTTTATGTGTCCACCCTTCTAACTGGAATTCTTTACTTTCCTTGTTCGGTTCCATTTCTATCAGAAGTTAATGCTTAAAGTTCCCGTGGAATTATTTATCTTGGTTGGCTGTGTTTTTTGGATCAATGACATCATAAATGCAAACCTTATCTTGTCATTATGAGAAGCATTTCTGCAAGATCATTCGAAAATGGTATTCTTAACGGTGCACGTCATAGATTTCGCACAATCTTCCTCCTTTCCATTGACGTTTTTGAAAACTCATACTTGTTCTGGTCAAATCTAATTTTAGTTTCTTGAGTATGTGAGAGCACACTTAGGTTATATGCATATTTGAATAAGAACAAATAGGGCAATTTTTCTGAACCTACATTTGATTTTAAATAAGTTGTTATAGAACGTCTAAGTGATTTCATTAGATATAAGATTGATTGGTCATTTAAGGGATATGCTATAGGGTTTTTTGTATATGATTTGTTTGAATCTGAATAGGGTAACAACACATAAATAATTATTTTGAATAGTTTATATTTATATTTATAAATTATAGGGTAAACTGATTTTTTAGTTCCGTATCTGGACCCTTTTATCGTTATAGTCTCGTAAATAGTGTCTGTCGCAAATTAGTCCCGTAAGTTGAAATTTTTTGCGCTTTTAGTCCTCCGACGCCGGAGATGCCTATGCGTCACCTGCGCGACTCGCCGGAGAATACATATTCGCCAAGTCAGCTACATCCGGAGGACATGTGGATTTTTATTTTTTTAAATTTATAAAACTTTTTGATTTATTTATTGTCTTCTGTGTAAAAATTAAAAATTTTCAAAAGAAAATTGAAATTAAAAAATAAAAATCCACGTGTTTGACACGTGTCTTCCGGCAAGCCACATGGGTGCCACATAGGCATCTATGGTGCCGGAGAACTAAAATCTCTAAATTTTTCTACTCTAAGAACTAGCTTGCAACAACTTCAGTTACGGGACTAAAATGATAAAAAGATTAGTTACATAACTAAAGGATCAGTTTATCCTAAATTATATTAAGAACTTTGTCTTAAAAGGAAGACATTTAAAAATAGTAACTAAATCATTTGCACTTTGGTAACACAGGGCACAACATTGGCTGCAGCCGGCGGCGGAAGTGCTTCAGTGAAGCTATGGGACACTGCCGAATGGAAACTAGTAGCTTCCTTAGAAGCTCCTCGGCTGGAAGGCTCGAGGCCATCGGATAAAAGTCGCAACAAGAAATTCGCCCTCTCGGTAGCATGGAGCCCCGACGGAAAACAAATAGCTTGCGGTGCAATGGACGGCACCATCTCGATCTTCGACGTGGTGCGCGCGAAATTCATGCACCACTTAGAAGGCCACTCCAAGCCCGTCCGGAGTCTCGTCTACTCGCCGACGTCACTCGATTCCCGAGTGCTCTTCTCCGCCTCGGATGACGGCCAAGTCCACATGTACGACGCCGAGAGGAAAACCTTGATTACTTCCCTTTCCGGGCACTCTAGCTGGGTGCTGAGCGTCGACATCACTCCCGACGGGTTGGCAATCGCGACGGGATCGAGCGACAAGACGGTTAGGCTGTGGGATCTTAAGATGAGGGCCGCGACCCAGATTTTGACGAGCCACGAGGACCAGGTTTGGACAGTGGCTTTCGGGCCTCCGTTGCAGACGGACGTGCGATCTTGTCTGCTCGCCAGCGTGTCTGACGACAAGAGCGTCGCGTTCTATCGATATTCTTGAACCTCTGGAGAAAAAAAAAGGTACACATGGCTGATCCCTGACCCCTATTTGGTTTTTGAATATATGGTTTCTTTGCTGCTATGATAAAAATTATGTGCAAAAATTTGGCTGTGGTTTTAGGGCTTGTGTTTGTGCTATTATAATTGTGTGCATTGTTGATGTTGGTTTAGAAAATTGAAATTCATGTTTGTGTTTCGTAGTTAATTTTATTTATTTATTTGTTTATTTATTACTTCTCCCGTTGCTTAATTATGTGCTCATTTCTTTGTCAGATATAAAAGAAATGAGTGACGGAGGGAGTATTACTTTTAGCGTAATAGAAAGTATCGAAAATCATTCTTGGTTTTTATTCTTTTTTATTTTTTTATTTTTTTTAAGATGGTGTGTAATATATATATTTTTGGAAATGTGTGTTGTCAAATTGCTTATTACTCCCTCTCCGTCCCAGGTATCGTTGTTTATAATACTTTTTCAAAAAAAAAAAAAGTGACAGAGGGAGAATTATTTTTGAGAATAAACTTCATCGGATAATTTAAAATTAATTAATTCACACCAATTAGCCCTAATCATGCATGATCCCAAATGTCCATAAATCCATATTTACACAATAATTTCGACCAAATATTGTCGAAAAAAATTCAATGTTACAAGAATAGTAGACTTCATGTTTTCTTGAACTTCCTATTTGATTTCAAATCCACAACAATTACTGAAATATTATCTTGGCTTCCCCTTTGGAAAGCAACTTGCGACAGAAAGTCTGCGGCATCTTGAGCCGCAGGGTCGGCGCCATTTCCTCGTTCTTTCGAGAGAGTGGCGCCGTACATTTTGTGCCACAATAAGATTCGTTTTCGCGCCATATCGCAAGCCTCTTTGTTGCTTAGTACGTCCCATAGGCCATCGCTCGCAAGTATAAGGCACTCATCTTCTTTTGTTCGGGGGACAAGCATTACTTCTGGATCGGATATAACATACGGCCTCAAGTATCTATCACCTATGCAAAAGAAAATCTCGCTTTTGTTAGATTTTTATTCGATTAACATAATTTATTTTCAAATATTACGAGTATGTTCTTTTTAAAGTTAGTTATATATATTTATTGTTATTATACTATCATTGTGATTTCTTTTATATATATATATATTATTTTTTCACACAATATTATATATTCAAATAAAAAACTAAACTAAAAAAAATACAATTGTATACATATTTCAAAATAAATGTTTGTTTATATCCTAAAATTTATATATTAATATAACACTAGGACGATGCTGAAGAAACTAAAGTTGTGTTTAGTTACCTGTCACATCCAAAGTTATTATCATAGTCTCAAATTTCATTTTTATTTTTTATGGCAACTATTTTTCTTTTCTATTTTCTAAGAAAAATAATAAAACCTACTTATAAATTTTAAATTTTATCTCTTACTAAATAAAAAAAAATATATCATAATAGTAAAATCAAACTTCCAACTAAACCTTCTACCTTTCAACCACCTTACGAAATCTTCAATTTTATGTAATTATAATTTTCTTAACTTTTTGGTATTTTCTTTCTAATATAGATATTCATATTCCGAAATAAAAATTCAAAAAACACAAGTAAAAGATGGATGTACATACCAATAGATCTCGACATCGCGAGAACACCCGATACCCGATATCCGTCCCAATTAATGACTTTGCCTCCGGAGGCTTCAATCCTCGCGCATTCATCCTCTCGACTCGGCTATAATAAAAACTCGATACCTTAGGCTATTATTCACAATAGTCATGAATAAAAATGCGACATTCAAAACCAAACCTTACTTTATGGTCTACGGACAACGGCACGGGCACTTTCCCCCGGCAAAGGATCGCTCTCGAGTCTCCACAATTTGCGACAATTATGTGTGTCGAACAAAGAATTGCCACCACCGCCGTCGATCCACAGGATTCGGGGGCAATAGGTTGATAGGAAAGATTCGAGACAATGCTCTTATCGACTAGACGAAATCCTCCAACTTCGTCGTCAATTCTACGGAAGCATTTTTTAAAGATCTTTAGCCATTGGTCTTTCAAGTTACCGTCTCCGGTCTCAACATGTAAGCGATCGTTGGCAACGTTGTTGATATCCTCGGGTAAAGATAAATGCAAGCGCTCCCGGCAATAGTTAGCGACCTGTACGATGAGAATTTAATCGTTATATAAAATTTCCAGTGTAAAAATATAATGGGTGTGTTTACTTGTAACATTATGATTTTTTGTTTTGGTTTTAAATAGTTAAATTTTGAATTGAAATAGTTATTTTATGTGATTAAATATATATTAATGTAATATTTTGAATATAAAATTAAATTTTAGTGTAATAAAATAAATAAAATAATAGGTATTTGATTTGATGTTTGATTAAATATATATGTTTTTTCTCGTAAAGATCACATCAAATATTATTTTAATAAAAAAAAAAAAAAACTCAAACTTTCAAATTTAATCCTAACCTAAAAGGAACTCAGTCTTATAGTTTGTAGGTACTTCATACTTAGTTAACATACTATTAGGCTAATTAAAATTATCGATTGATATTATTCCTTAAACTAAAACATGTCTAAACCATTCAATCGAAAGATATGCAAAAAAAAACTAAATCGAAGAAAAAAAATGACCGTTTTTACCTGGCAACCTCCGTGGCCGTCATAAACTCCGAACACATGCCCCGTTGAGTCGGGACATATTTGACTAGATTTCACGGTATTACGCAACATCCAAAAAGGAATATCGAGGAAATGTGGTAGAGCTACGGCGAAGTCTTCCATTTCCGACCTTCTTCCTCGAATAGATGTCGAGCCCCAAAGAGGTTGGAAATTTTTACGAAAAATTTCTTTATCGACCTTTGATTCTTTGGAGGCTTCAAGAAGGAGAGTTGAGGGTGTGTTTTTAGGTTCGTTTTCGGTAACAATCTTATCCGTTAACCTTGTCGAGGCAAGATCATCGACTATCTCAAGAGCTATCTTTTGCGCCCGTGAGCTGGATAACACTTGTTCGGGATTTCTCTCCAAAACTACATTCTCGACACAAAATCCATTTCTAGTATGTCTAGCGCTCTCGCAACGAGAAATTGTCGTTGGACCACAATCTCCCTCGACTTTTCCTTCGATAGTACCGGAAAACATCATGCGACTTTCGCATTTTCTACTCCTCATCGCTAAAACATCGTCTTCACGAACACTAGATTTGTCTCGACTATGTTCGACTTTGACAACACCACATTTTCGACTTGGACCCGAAGGCAATTTGGGCGTGGATTGTTCGCGAAACAACCTCCTTGTGTTCATTATAAGCTCCATTCCGGTGTCGACGCACGTCGAGAACCCCGACCCGACGTCGATCGAATTCGCAACCTTAAATTGAAGAGCTATCAATGGAGCAATCTCATCCATGTCAATGCTCATGTTGTAAATACTCTCTTCCTCTCAATCGAAACTTTGGATTTAGGCCTGAAATTTTAGGTTAACTTAAAAGATGAACATATTGATGCAAAGACAATCGAACTAAATTATTGAAGCTTGTAATATAATCATGAGAGGAATGTCAAGGTGTGTTTGGTTGGTAACTATTTTTAAAATTTCTGCTGTTCAATCATCACTATTTTTTTTTAAAAAAAAATATATTATTTTCTCTACCAAAATATCATATCTAAATCTATTCAAATAGAAATCCAAAATCAAGATCCAAACAGCTCAAAAGAACACACTGCAAAAATCAAATTTCTATTTTTATATTCTTGCTTAACTACAAGAGAATCAATATCAGCTCATAAGCAGTTACACACATTTTTATTTGATGTTAAATCGAATTAGCACAAAAAAATTAGAACTTAAAATTGTATCTTTTGTTTTGTAATAAAGGATCTTGTCACATCCATTGTGTAATTCTAACCAACAAACAACAAAATTATTTACATATTTTCAAATTATTTTGACACTATATGTAATTTTTTTATAATATTTATGGAGAATTGTTCAATTGAGAAATATTGACTAAACAGATTGATTGTTTCTTTGGAATATGTTTTTAACTATAAAATTTATAATATATATAAATATATTTTTAGTAAAATTATCAAATTTAATAATTCTTTTATTTAAATAGAGATACTATTTCTAATTTTTATTTAATATGCTATGAAATATAATAATCTACTTTCATTAATTTTTTATTTAAAACATTTAACAACAAGACAATTACCTTCGGAACCTCTTTTCCATTCCAAAATTTTCAAATTAGAAAATAAAAAAAATAAAAAAAAATCATAAAAAACCAACCCAAAACACAGATAAAAGAAACATGCAAAACTAACATAACCAAATTACATACAGCCTAAAATTAAAGCACACGAGCTGAGGTTCTTGATAGAAGATTTTTAACCAAATAAAATCTATCTTAGACATAAGCAGCAGCTAACAACAACAACAATAATAATTATAATAATAAGACGTGAATATTTTAAATTGACAAAAAATTAAAAATCCCAAAGAATTCAATTTGTTTTCTTTACGATCTTTTCTATTTTTTACTATTCATTTATGTGCTCCAAAAAGAAAAAATATACAATAGTGTTTTTCTTACAAAATATTATATGAAATCACTATTCAAACAAAAAAACACACACGACAAAAAATCACAACGAATATTTCTAATCGACAAAAACCCAAGAATCCCAAATGAATCCTTCCAATGAATCACAATTTCTTCTCTTTACAACTATTTTCTATTTTTCTTACTATTCATTCTCTTCGTTCATCAATAAACTATACTATTTTCTAACGAAATATTACATCAAATCATTATTTAAACAAAAACAAAAAATACAAATTAAACATAAAAGCTTTGTTTACATACTAAATTTTTTGAAAATTTTAAAGCTACTTATTAACAATATGTTTTCAAAAATTATCAAAACAAATACTTATTTTCTCTCGTAAACCATCATACCAAATACCAAAAATTTCCAGAACTCAAAAAACTTCAACATAAACGAAACTAAATTCTTTTAAAACTAGAAACTAAAAATAACCTGGGAATCAGAAACACAGAAAAATGATCCTTTTGATGTCATCCACAACACAGAAAGTTCTGCCTATGCTTTGAAGTTTGATGATAAAAGATTATCCCTCAGCCACAAAGAAACTGAGATCAGAACCGAAGAAATCAATAAATGGGGAGTCTCTGCTTGAAAGAATGAATATCAATCATGCAATGAAATTACACATATATATATATATATTTATATAAACAATGAATTGTGGAAAATTAAAAGAATGTTTAAATAAAAAATTCTCAAGTAAAGTCTAGGTTGCTTAGCGTCATGAAACACAACACAACACAACAGCAGAGCCCCAATTAGTGACAACAACTCATTCTACCAATTCAAAAATTCAAAAAGAATGTGGACTCTTCCTTTTCCTTTTCATTTTCAAAACCAACAAAGAAAACACATGTAGTACAAATTATGTGACATGTGTCCACTTATCAGGGGAGCCCCAACTCTCAATCCCTCCCTACAAATAATAATTAAATAATAATAATAATATAATTCTTCCGTCCCACTTTTCTATTCATATTGATATTTCTGTCCGTCTTATATTTCTAGTCTTACTTTTTAATTAGATTGATTAATTGTCTTAATTTATAAGTATTTATATAATTATCTTTACTAATATATTTCTTAATTATTTAATAATTATACTATTCTAAAATCTCATATCTACGGAATACATAACATAATATGTGGGTAGGGGAGTAATAACTAATGTGTGTTGTTTGGCTTCAGCTCATTATATATATATATATATATATATTACTATTCAGTAAGTTTTCAATAAAAATACTTTTTTCATCTGAAATCAATATATTCATTTTTGTTCAAAATTAATCTATTTGCTTTGCTTAGTAAATGTATTTTCACATGATTTAAAAAAATTCACATAATTAAAAAAAAAAAAAAAAAAAAAACCGTTACAACTTACATATTATTACAAAAGTATATTTAATTAATTTGTCTTTTTTTCAAAAGATGAATTTGACTATTTTTACCTCCTTTGTATTACATGCATCTACCAAATTAACATACTTTATTTTGATTTGTTTCTTCATTTTTGTACAATACAAAATACTATTTTCACAAAAATATTTTAAATTTTCATATAAAATATTATATCCAGCAATTATTTCACCTCATAATCAAAATGCAAAAACCATCGAAATGCAAAAACCAATGTACGTTTACTAAGAATTTGACTTTAATTATTTTCAATATGGAACCAATTATATATCAAATAAATTATTTCTTCATACTATACATTTAAATAAACACATAATATCAAACCCAAGGGTGGGCTTGCTTTTCATTTTAAATAAAAATCATCACCATTCATTTTAAATAAAATATAATATATCATTCAATTCTATTCTCATTCCCTTTTCTAAAGGATGTGTTTGTTTGAGGATTTGGATTTTGAATTGGGATTTGAATAGTAAAATATTTGAATTTGAATAGTTGTATGATATTTTGAATGTAAAATTAATTTTTAATCTAATATAAAAAATAAAGAAATAAATATTTGATTTGATATTTTTTGGTGGAAAAATCATGTGGGAATAGTAGAAATCCCATAAAATCCCTCCAACAAACACACCAATATATAATTTTATATCACATAACATCTTATACAAGTACTATTTAAATAAAAAAATTAACATATCATTTCAAATCAAAATCTCAACAAGACACATTCTCATATAAACCATATATATATATATATATATATATAACCTGCTAAATATGATAAAAACACAACCAAACAGCAATATTCCAAACAAAAATCACCACATCGGAAATCAATACAAATACATGTAAATATCTGCGCGCAATCAAATAAAATAGCGATGTGAGGTGTCGAGAAGTAATTACCTGCCGATGGGGCCGCGGCCGATGTGGTCGATCCACGCCGTCGATATTCCGCCGCCCAACGAATAAGTTGTCCGTAGCTTAAATACTCTATTGAGGTTAATGGAATAGAATTGAATAGTGCGTTTCGGATTTCTTCCATTGAAAGCTCGACACCTCTTCTCTCTCTCTCTCTCTCTCTCAAAAGCTCTGCCTGTAACTGTTTATCTAATAATAATAATGAATAAATAAATGGTGGGTTTGATTTGGGTGCGTGGGTCAAATCGGTAGGGCCGTTTTTGTAATTTCACTTTTGTTTTTCCAATACGTGTCTTTCAACGTGGAGCGTTGTCGAATAGATTTGAATTTTTTTCTGGATATTAAATAAATAATTTTTTATCGTGTATTTTTTTAATATAAATAAAAAATGTGGTAAAATACACCAATTGTTTTTCGAATATAATTTATGCCAAAATAGATATATTTTAGAAAAAGAAAAAGAGATAATTAAAATAGTGCTTAATACTGTTGAGAAATATTTTTGTTTTACTTTCCAATTTATCATATTTTATGTTGTAAATTAATTTAAAATAAATTGAAGTTTCTTAGGTAACTTTGGATTTGAAAATTGATTTAAAATAAATCAATTTGAAATTTACTGAAATTTTGTTTGGTTGGTTTGGGTTTAAATTGAAATTTTGATTTAAATTTTGGTTTAAATACTCCCTCCCTCCCTCCCTCCCAGCTATCTAGGGATGAAAATAATTATTATATAATATAAATAATTATAAATTAAAATTAAGATAACTAATAAATTTAATTAAAATTTAAAAAAATAAAATTTAAAAATTTAAAATGAGATTAAAGTGTGTAATCATTTTTTTTTAAAAAAAAGAAAGTGACATGGTACGTAGGACGGATAAAAACGGCAACGTGGATATAGTATTTGGAACGGAGGGAGTAATATTTTTGATATAATATTTTAATAATAGTAATTTTGGTTTGGAATATAAACCAAACACAATCAAATCCTTTATTTTGATACTATTAGATATTAAAATAGTTTAGAATTTTATTGGGCTTGTAGATGAATTCAAACACCTGGAGCATCAACAGATACGTTAAAATTTGTAAAGATATTTGAAATATATTTTCAAAATATTCCATTGTTTGTCTTCGTATTATATTGGTAGAAAATTAGTATCTAAAGAAGGGGTACAAATCTCAAGGTGCGGTCAAATTAGTATATTATACAGTTAATTAGTATTTTTTATATAATATATACTGCAACATATTTATCATAAATCTTTATTATATATTTATGAAAAATTACAGTTGGTAATATAAAAATATAATATTTTATGTTGAATTATTAGTTTTTTTCAAGTGAATGAAATATATAGTATATATATTGTATTTTTTAATAATAATATTATGAATTATCATTAAAAACTCTAAATTTCTAATAATATTCAACAGTTTGAAATTGATTTAAAATAAGATATTGATTTGAATTTTGGTTGAAATAGTATTTTTATATAAGATTTGTAAGATAAAATAATATGTATTTATTTGGACATGTGTAAATTTCAATTTAAATTTTTAACAAAACACATATTTTAACCAAGATCTTGTTAGATTTAATTATCATAGTTAAAGATATCATCATTTTGATAACATTAATATTAAGTATAATACACAAGTGTTGATAGCAGTGCAACTTTATTATGCTAGTTTTGTGTATATATTACTCCCACAGTCTCACATACCGTGTCTGCTATACTATAGACACGGTATTTTATGAGAGGTGTAACTAGTAGATAATTAAAAATGTATTAATGAAAATAATTATTCGATAATATAAATAATTATAAATTAAAATTAAGATAACTAATTAGTTAAATTAAAATTTAAAAAAAATAAAATTAAAAAGTTTAAAATGAGATTAAAGTGTGTAATCATTTTTCAAAAAAAGGAAAGTAACATAGTATGTCGGACGGATGAAACGGCAACGTGGACATGGTAGGTGGGACGGAGAGAGTAATAAAGATATTTACAATCATAAAATATAACTACTATTTTAGACTCAAATAACTAATAATTCAATAACTGTATCATTTTAGTCTCGTATTTGAAAATTATTTAAAAATAATTTCGTAAGTAATTTTTTTTTTCATATTTAATCATTCGACGGCGAAGATGTATGCATAATGTGTATTCTCAGTGCCACGTAACAGACATACGGATAGGTTTTAATTTTTTTTCATTTTATTTTTAAAAATAAAATTGCAAATTAATTATTTATACAATTTCTTTGGCTAAATTGCTGAACAAAATTGAATCTAAATCTCACCTTATTTTTTTTTCCGGTGTTTCAACACATTATGACTATTTTCTTTTTATTTTTTTAAAGTTCTTTTCGGTTATACATAATTTGATTGCTCTCAATAAAAAATATATCTAACAACTATTTTATCTAAAAACAACATAACAGAAACTGTGTATTTAAAAAAAATAAAATCTTTATAAATAATCTTTCATCTTTCCTATAATAACTCTATATATTTAAAAAATCGAGATTTCCGGTGTAGGTTGCCTACGAAAACACAAGCCTACCATCGAATATTTGACATTATTAGTAGCCAAAAACACGAGCTGGGGAAGGTATGTAATAGTTACCCTGCAGATTATGCCTTCAAACCATCTCAATGAGAGCATCAACCGAAGGCGTCCGGTGAAGGACTTCCTCGTTGTCAGAGGGAGTCGATTCTGAGTAATCTAAAACCGAGTCGCCTGGAGTAAAAAAAAATGTTAAGATAGTGAGATATCAATCGATCTAAAGTTGTATTGTAATGAAAAATGGTTGAATAGAAGCCTACTCTGGGTGGAATCTGTCGATAAGCGATCCCTGGATTTGTTCTTTTTCTTTTCTGCATGGGTTGAAGAAATATAGAAATTTTTGTTAGGTGAAAAGAATGGATTCGAGTAGCGAAAAAATTATTAACATGACCAATGGTGTGTAAAATAATGGTCAGAAAAAAATAGTAGCATCATACTTAGGCCTTTGACGCCCTCGAAGTTTCTGTAAGTGTAACCAACAAAACTCGCGTCTTTTGGAGTGCGCACCTGCCAGTGATGGAAATGAGGGGAAAATACTAATTACATACATGGAATACCAAAGATTTGGCTCTGTTTACATAGACACTTTTGAAACATTTTTGCACTATTCATCAACAGTAATGTGTTTTACGAAGAAAATATAATATTACATTCGTCAACTAACAAGTAACCAGTTCAAAAATATCTCACTTTTTTTACAAATACCCATAATTTACCATTATATCTTTACTTTTAGACAAAAAAACCAAGGGCAAAATTGTCATTACGCTACTTTTAACGGCCTATTACCATTAAAATATTACTATTTCTATTATTTCTTAAACTTTGAGCCAAAATTAAATATATATTTTTTAGCCGGAATAAATATCAAATATATATATTTTTCCTATCACAATATGTCACATCAAATACTCACTTTTCTACTATTCCAAAATTTCTCCAAAACTTCTATCTATGAGAGGAAAAAATCATGCTACAGAAGTTTATCTAGTTTACCTATTGTTTCTCTACGTTAGCTATAAGTTCTACACGTTTGTGCACATAAATTAATTTCTCAATAGATGTCGAATATTATTTTCCGAATCATGTGTATTCTATCCAAAACATCACATCAAATATTTGATTTTTTGTTGTTCCAAAAAATTTCCAAAACTTCTATCTATGAGAGGACATAATCATGCAACGGGAGTTTATCTAGCTTAGCCATTGTTCTCTACGTTACTATAAGTTCTACAAACTTGTGCGCATAAAATTGATTTCTCAATAGATGCCGAATATTATTACTCAATTGAGATCAGATAGCCATCTTCCTAATTATTTGCATTCTATAAAAAAAATAATTGTATTTCAGTTTAACCGCCGTTTTGAAATATAATAATTCCACCAATGAGTCCATTAGGAGACGGCAGGTTTAGGACAAACAAGCATCAAAAGAAAAATTCACAGTTCATTAAGTTAATCCGATGTCGAAACCCTTACTAAATCTCAAGTAAATCATAAATCTAATATTTGGCCGATAAATATGATATAGCATACCTTCCTCCAAACCCCAAAACTCGATTTTGATGGCGGGGGATCCACCTATCATTTAGATGCAAAAGACATGCAGAGGTTAAATTTAATAATATCAAAAATGATGTAGATAAACTTTTAGCAAGGATAACACAGTTCAAAACACGTCATAACATAGTTGTTAATCTTGGATAGCGTTACATAATGACCAACCTCTAAAATGCTATAGTGGATAGCGGGATGATTACTATTTTAAAATTTAAGAATATACATATTAAAATTATTATATATAAAAAATTACAATAAAAATGTACAAGAAAATTCTAAATTAATCTCATAATTATCATTCACATCTGTCAAATTACAAAAAATATATAATCAAAGTTCATATATAGTTATATAAGCGAAAACAATTAGATTACAACTACTTTGATAAATAATTTTCTTCTCCGTTTTCACCATCATCACTGCTACTCTTGCATAAATATTCTTCATCTTCTTCTTTATTTTCGTTCATTTTTTAATTCCATGTTCGTCACATTGTACAATATCTTTTTCTCCTTTTAGAACTACAAGTAGCTATAGTATACTATAACACAATAGTATTGAATCTAAATTTACTAAATAATAAATATATTTATATATATACATAATCTAAACCTACTTATAATCAAGATTATAAATTTTCAATTTTGAAGGTGCTATGCTATAACCCGCTAAACCGTTATTGTGTAAAAGCGGCATTGCAAAGCTGCAGTAGTGGCAATATGTAGTTCCGTTTCGCTACACCGCTATTAGCGCCCTATTGACAAATATGCATAATAAATAGCGAAAGTCACATTAATCGTCTCGATGCAACAAAGCCACTAATCTCTTAGATGGATATAATATAGGTTCACTTGCACAGCATGAAGTGTAACCAAGCGATTGTATTAAATCAAACAAGCAAAAATTCATCAAAATGTTTACATTGAATTTAGAAAAGATTTCGTCATGGTCATGTAATCTCTTTCTAAAGTAGTTGTTGACACTTGTGTAAGGTGGAAATCTGTACAATTCTCTATTAAACATTCATATCCAGTTTTTACCGGTATGATTCATTTCAACATTTAATTATCGAGGGAAGGTATTGCCAGTTTTATTCACTTATTTCAACTATTTTTAGAAGTAATCAAATAGATTCTAAAGGTAATAATAGATTATGGATTAGACATTACCTCGTCATACTTCATAAAATTCTGAGTATCAAGCTCATCGGTGACCAGTGGTTTATATGCAGCTTCCCTGTCATAAAGTGCGTCCCAATTGATACCCTTGAACCATGGATGAGCCTGATGGCAACAAAACGAATTTATCAATTGTTTATTGTGGTTTGAAATTGATTTCAAATGAAGCGTTAATTTGAAATTTTGTTTAAAAGTACTTTATGTGATATTTTCTGACAAAAATAGCATATTTTTATAAGGAATCACAATCAAACAGAACATTTTAGGGAAAAAAAACAAAGAAAGAGAAAAATCTACATTCTGGCAAGAAACACACCTTTATTTCATCTGCACCAAGAGAACCTAGCCTTGTGTTAGCATCTCGAAGCAAACGATGTATCAAGTCCTTTGCCTCAGGAGAGATCCTTGCTTGAGGTGGAAATCTCAGATATTTTCTCCATTGCACAATCTGTTGTACAATGAACGGCACATTATCCACATGACAGGGGATGAAGCACATAGTAACAGTGACCAAATGTAAAATCAATACAGCGCAACAGGAAAAATGAAATGAAATATTAAGGTCATTAGCAGCTTTCTCGACTATGAGTGATCGTGAAATATATCAGAAGGTTTCAGCATATTGTTACAGATTAGTATTTCCTAAGAATGTATCGTCTTATATTATTTTTACACATATCTTATTGTTGGATCATGAATTGAACTGAAAGCCTTTTTGCAATTGAATGAAAGATATTGAGTTATAGGAAGAAATTGATCGATGCATACCTTTTTGCAAGTTGTTATTGGTTCATCAGAATAGAATGGTGGATAACCGACAAGCATTTCGTACATAATAGCACCTAGTGACCACCTGAAAGCAGGATCTCAACAGGAATTCAAAATTCCGGCCAATGTTCATGCTCAAGATGCAGGTTCTAACTCACTTTATGGCAAAACTACAGCCAATAGTTTACCGCTTTAAGTAAAAAGTGAAGCTTCAGACTCAAGTTTACAGTCACTAGGTGAAAGGAGTTAATATTCAACTGCTAAAAAATGACGGTACTTTAATGATAAGACACTTACCAATCACACTCAACGCCATAGCCTTTCTTCAATAGTACTTCTGGCGCGATGTAATCTGGTGTGCCAACAGTCGAAAATGCCTGTGATTATAGAAGTAATACGACAAAAAAAATTCCATCTCAGTAAAGTGTCAATCAATGTTTCATCAGCTTCCTTCATCAACAACTGAATATGTTTCCTCCAATTTTGATCATCGTTTTTATACGTATGAGTAGGCTAGTTTTTACCAAAATACCAATTTCATTACCTGTGTTCTCCTGTTCATTTGCCAATGTTGCATCTGTTCAAGAGGACTCTTCCATTGGCTTCCATCCCCCTTGTCAGGGAGACATCCATTAGCAACAGCTGATCGATTTAAGTTCTCTTCTGTCATTTGTTCATTTCTCAGAGGAGAGAAATTCGAACAGTCAAGAGGCTTGCAGAGGCCAAAATCAGAGAGCTTCATGTGCCCGTGTTTATCAAGGAGAAGGTTGTCAGGTTTAATATCCCTGTCAACAAGTTGAACAGATCTGTCATAATTGCAACCTTCTAAAATGGCACAGCTACCTTTCTTAATCTATCAGAATGTACATAATTGAAATACTGACCTGTGAATGTAATTGTGCTTGTGGATCGATTCTATTGCTAGAACACTTTGTGCGATATAAAATCTAGCTACAGTTTCAGTTAGAGTCTCTTCTCTCATTAGTAAGGTCATTATATCGCCACCAGGTAGGTACTCCATTACTAGATACAAGTATTCTGCATCTTGAAATGAACAATAAAGTTTGACGATGTAGTTGCTGGCAACTTCTGCAAGCAGATTCCTCTCTGCTCTGACATGTTCAACCTATAAGAAAGATACAATCCCCCAATAACTGCATTTCTCCATGCTAGTAATTAAAGACAAAAATCACCAATCAGGGCTTCGAAAGAAGTTTTTACTAGGAAATATAGAATGTTACTTTTAAAGATATGATATGTTGCAATGTTCATTGTCAATATCTTTATCATCTAATTTATATATTTGTCACCTATCTTAAAACTTTATAATTTTCATAGAATCAAAACTGCTTTCAAGAATTAATTATATTTCCTAGTTTACTAAAGCAATGCCCTGTTTGGCACTATACTAGTAGATTCAACCAGAAATTTCAATTGTTCTTTCCAGGTGCATCGAAATGGCACATGATGTTTTTCTAGTTTTATAGCCCAATGCAGCCAATTGATTGCCAAACCACTGTTTTACTGTTGTATGTGTTTCTAATATGAACTGATCCATGGCACCAATGACATTAATGACTAAGAACTTCTCCATGGGGGTAATTGAGGGTAACAAATTATATGATGCACACGTGGAGTTTATTTAACCTTTCTTCGTCATACTAGAATCTTCAAGGACATTTGTCGATCCAATTCACACTTACAACAACTTTATAATCACAGTTTAGGAAATTATAAGGAAAAGAAAGGAATATGTACCACACAAGATGACAAGTTACAGAAACCAACTAAATTACTAGATTCTACAAAACCTTCAGCAACGACTGATGTATGGCAATGCAATTTTTTAGCAAAAAGTATGCAAGAGCATAATAGTTTAACCTGACCTGTCCTCTGCTAAGCATTTCTGACTTTTTCAACTTTTTCATCGCATAAATATCGCCAGTTATCTTCTCCCGGCATAGTCTAACCTGAGATGGTGTTTCTTTAACTATCAATGCATCAAGACAAATAAAAATGCAATCTGATCTTCACATCACCAAACTTAGTAAGCTTAGAAAACATAAATGTATTACTTGAATTACAAAAGACTGGTCTAAAAAGCAGAATATTAAGTATCTCAATTGTTATGGAGAAAGTTTATAAGAAATACAGATTAACAAGAGAATCTTGCAAATGCAAACCATCAATGAAAGAAATGTAAAGAGCTTAAACCTCTCCAAAGGCTCCTCTCCCAATAATGATTAAGAGCTCAAAATCATCCACAGAAATCTTGTGCCTCTTAAGCCGCATATACTCAGTTTCTTTTCTCTCCAACTCCTTCAAAAGATCTATCCGCTCTTCTTCTGGCACACCTGAATTAGCTAATTCCCTTTCAAGCTCTTCGCGTCTGCAATTTTCCCAAACACATATCTTAACGAGACGTCTCAATTACATCATGAACTAACACATAGACAAGACATATCTGATCAATAAAAAGCAAACACATACTAATCATCTTTGTATATAAATCACAAAAGTAAATAACCATTTAGGTTTTGTTCTTTTGTAATTTGAAATTAACTTCGGCTGTTTAATACCATTCACTCTTGACAGTTTTTAATAAAAATATCACATCAAAATACTATTTAAACAAAAACTCAAAACAACACTCATTTCAAATCAATTTAAAACCGCAACCAAACAAACTATACAAACTATAATGTCACAAATTGACAAATGTTTAAGAACCAAAAAATATAATTACTTCTCAAAGCATGAAACAAACTACATATAAACACATTCTCATGAAATATGATAAACATCTAACATCATACAATGTACCAATATGTTTCATACTTCTGTAATCACCCATATTCCTTCTAGCACATAGAGATAATGATCATGACAAGAAATTTTGTAGTCAAATAATTACTTTTAAGGTTTGAAGTAGGCAAACTAAGTGCCATAGGCACATACACAAACACAACCACAAACACAAATTTACATATAAATTGAGAAAACATACATACATACATTGAATAGTGGGTTTTGTCTCACTTCAATAAAAATGAAAACAAATCTCAAAAGTTCTTCTAGCTATTTCAAATATACGTTTACCGGAATTCATTCTGCAGAACAGTGCAAAAGGCCAATTCAAAACCACAAAGGCAATCCGTACAACTGAAATTTAACCACAATAGCATTGAATTAACAGAGAGGCTAATCAATCGCTCGAATCCACATTCAATTTGAAAATTATAGAAATACATACGCTCCTTCGCAGAGAATCACACACGAATAACAATCTAGGGCATTCAAACATGGAAGAACCAAAAAAAAAAGACAGCATATACATATATACATATATATATATATGTGTGTTTGTGTGTGGTCCGGTGCATGCATGTTGAATTGCACGCACCTAATTCTGCGCTGCTCCATGTCTTTCATATGGGTTTTGTAATGGTTCTCGATGAATTTCTTCGCAGCGGCGACTCGTTCGAGAGTCGAGCTCGATCCTGGCTGCTCTTCTTCCATTTCTTCTTCCGCTTCCGCCGCCTCCTCCTCCGCCGCCGCCCACAACCTTTCCTCCGCCATAATTATTAATTTCAAAAAAAATGTCAGGGGGAGAATTGGGAATAACGCAGAGAGGGAAGCGAACTGAATTGAATTGAATGGAAGAAGATGGCGGTGTGTGGGGTTGGGAGCGACCGGAGGGATCACGCACAATTTTTTTGTTCCGTCCTCTTCAACTTTTTTCCAACTCAAATCACGTAGATATATATATGTATACATACATATACACATACACGCTTAAAATTACGTAAGGACGTGTTTGTTTTGTTGTGTTTTTGTCTACTTATTTGGGGGATTTGGATTTTGAATATTAAAAATTTTAAATTTGAATAGTTGTACGATGTGATATAAATAGGTGTTCATGCGATGTTTTTAGTTTTTGTTATAACTAAATTTGTTACCTTAATTTATGATAACCTAAAATTGGGAATTTAAATTTTTAAAAATTTAAATTTATCAATAATTTATCTCTACAAATAAAAACACAAATGTATTTCAAAAGATCACCATTTACCTATAATATTTTTAAATAATTTTTTTATATATCTAATTTTAATATTTAATTTTTTTAATTTTTTTTATAAAATTATAGAAAATTAAAAATTATTTCGGTAATATATTAATTAAAATTTATTTTAATCATTTAAATTTTCAAATATTTTTCTCAAAAACACGTCAAATTCAAATAGTAAAAACTGTAATTTGGAGTTAAAAAAACAAATTCTCTCTTTTCAATTAATATAGGTTCATTTTCTATTTTCGTTCCTAAGAGTATCATTTCCTGTAGTAATTGTACTACATACCTAATACTCCCTCCGTCCACTTACAAGGTTTACATTTATTTTTGACCGCGGTGTTTAAGAATTAATAGTATTTTAATTATGGTGAATAGTTAAAAGTAGTATAATGACATTTTTGTCCTTATTTTTTTTTTTTTAAAGTAATGATGTGATGTAAATGAAAAATATTGGTAATAAAAAATATGATATTTAATGAAATGTTAACTTTGTAATTGGACGTCCCAAAATAAAAATATATAAATATTGTAAGTGGACGAAGGGAGTATAATTTTGGAATAGTAAAACATACCGTTGGTTTTTTTTGTTTTTTTTAATCTATAATAAAAAAAATAGTGACGAGTAATACTTCGTTTATTTATAACGTTGTATTTTATACTATATTATTTTTAACAAATATATATATATATATATAATTATTGTCATAAATATGAAAGTTTATGGCGTGTTTGACTATAAGTTCAAACTCAATTTAATACTATTCAATAAGTACGATTTTTGATAATATATCGTTTTTTTAATTAAATATTATATTAAAATATTATTTAAATTAAAATTTTAAATCAAACCTAAGAAGAAAAAATGTAAAATAAGTATAACAATCTATATATATAAAGTAGTGTCAAATTAACAAGTTTGTGTAATATTTTAGTTTGAATTTTTTCTTTGTGTATGCTTAGTATGAAAAATCATACAAGTAATATAAAAAATAATAGTAATTTATATTAAATTATATATTACATTTTTATAATAAAAAAATAATTTTAAAAAATATTAAGAATAATACATCATATATATTAATAATATATTTTTATTAGTACTAAAGATTGAATAGCAGAAGAAAACCAAAAATTTAAGACGGATTCAATTTTAGTTTATTTATATATCTTTGTCCTAAATTAATAATTATATATATATATATATCCCAAATTAATACTCATTTATCTTAGAAAAATTGATTTTTTTTTATTTTATATTTAAGATAATAATATTTAATTAATTAATTAATAATAATATGTTATAATATATTTTTATTATTTTTTATGTGATTGATAATATTGATAGGTTTAAAATAAATATAATTTTATATGGATAAAAATTATAAAATATTTACGTAAATATTTTAAAAATTATATCGCTATAAAAAAATTATATGCAATATGAATATCATTTTGTAGAGAATAAGAGTTTGTTTGTTTAGTGTTTTTCTATTTGAAGAATTTTTTGATGTTAAATATAATCGTGTCGGTAATATAAAAAATAATATTTTATGTTGAATGTTAAGTTTTTGCGAGAGGATAATATATATATATAATATTGAGAATCGTATCAATAAAAAGGATTGTACAGTCAAACCTCAAATTTTCATATAATACTAATAAATAGAAAAGGTTTATTTATTTATAATTAACATAAAATAATTTTATAAAAGATAAGAAATTTTTAGTTTAGATAAAAAAAATTTGTTGTTTGAAAAAATATAAATAAAATAGTTTTTAATGGATTCTGTATTGTGTATATATTATATGTTATATAATTAATTAAATTAATTTATATTTGTCATGTTTTGATTTAATGGATTTTACCAAAAACAAAGATGTGCACATTATAATGGGATACACAAATTTTTATGGGATGAATGGAGTACATATCAGTTGATTGAAGTTTTAAGTATTACTCCTTCCGTCCCATATACCGCTAGGAGGGATGTAATTAGTAAATAATTAATAATGTATAAGTGAAAATAATTATTCTATAATATAAATAATTATAAATTAAGATTAAGATGACTAATTAGTTTAATTAAAATTTAAAAAGAAAATAAATTTAAAAGTTTAAAATGAGATTAAAGTGTGTAATCATTTTCCAAAAAAGGAAAGTGACATGGTATGCGGGACGGACAGAAACGGCAACGTGGTCATGGTATATGGGACGGACAGAAACGGCAACGTGGTCATGGTATATGGGACGGAGGGAGTATATAATTACTAAGCAATTAAGAAATGTATTAGTAAAAAAAATTATGATTAAATAAAAATAATTATATATAAAAATTAAGATATTAAATATTTTAATTAAAATAAAAAATTATAAATTAAGAATTTAAAAATGTAATTAAAGTGTATAATTATATTTAAAAAAAAGAATAAATCATGTCAAACATATGAAAGAATTGACGGATTAAGTAAAATATAGAAAAAATAAAAAAATATATTTTATTGAAATTTATATATAATAAATATTGATTTTAGTTACACTACAAACCAAAGTCACCATATATATATATATATATATTTACATAACTTTCCGTAACGATCTTATGAATTTACGTGATATTATAAAAATATCATTATTATTACTTTACTAAATTATAAAATAGATAAAAGTGAAATTATTAAATTCTTCTTTCTACATTTATATATAAATATAATATTAATATTAAATTTTTTTTACTTAGGATCTTAAAAAAATACAGGATTGAATTAATAAAATATATATATTTTTTAATGATTTAATATATAAATATTAATCACACATATAAATAAATAAAATATTGAAAATATAAATTTAAAAATATATAAAATTATTTTCTATAAATAAAAAGTAACATAGCATTTTTTTATGAAAAAGAAAAAGAAAAAGAGATATAGACTATATCAAAATCTAAGTATGTTTTAGTATAAAAAATAAAAAATAAAAAAATTATATTTTATTTATTGCGTAAAATTCTTATGCTAAATTAAATGTTGCATAGAATATCATTTTTGTCTGAACTTATATAAATTACATAGATAAGTATATTTATTTATTTCATTAAAAAAATATTTAAAATATTTTATCATTTTTTTTCGTATAAAATTTACATAAATTTTTAGATCCATATTTACAACAGATTTTAAGTAATAAGTAAAATATGAAATCTTTTGTACATAAAATATGATATTATAGTCCCTCCATCACGGATTGAATGATCCCTTTAATTATGACACAATATTTTAGGTATGATAAATTAGTAAGTTATTATTAATAACGAACGATATTATACTCTCTTCGTCCAGTTAGAAAGTATACATGTTTCTATTTTGGGACGTTCAATTACAAAGTAAACATTTCATTAAATATCCTACTTTTTTTCACAAATACCCCTATTTTACATCACATCATTACTTTTACACCAAAAAGTAAGGGCAAAAATGTCATTACACTACTTTTAACTACCCACTATAATTAAAATATTATTATTTCTTAAACACCGTCCCAAAAGTAATTGTATACTTTTTTGTGGACGGAGGAAGTATTATTTTTTATATGAGTAATATTGTTGATATTTTAGATATTTTAGAGAATAAAATTTTATATAATTATTATTTATTATTATCATAAATTAATTTTATAAAAATAATATGCTGAAGTTTTAAAGGTAAATAAAATTATTTTTTAATTGAAGAGAGATGAAAATAAAAATATTTTGAGTTCTCAATTGAAAAAATATATAATAAAGGTAGAAAATTAATTAAATTAATTTATAGTATTTGTTAAACATATTTAAAATTATAAATTTACTAAAAATAAAAATATGACAAAAAATGAAAGTTAGGTCTTTTGTAAGATTTTAGGTCTGATTTTACTATTCTAATTTTCATTTCCCTAAAAAAATATCAAATCAAAACACTCAATTCTTATTTATTTTATTACATTAAAATCTAATTTTACATTCAAATCATTACATCAACACAAATTTATATCGCATCAAACAATTATTTCAATTCAAAATTTTATTATTTAAAATCAAAATCCAAAAACAAAACTTCACAAGTAAACACACCAAATAAGTTATCATTCTATAAAAAATATAAAAAAAGAAAGGAGATTAAAAAAAAAAAAAGAAAAAAAAAAGAGAGATAAAAATAAAAGTAAAAATTTAATTTAATTAATTTATATTTATTAAATATTTTTAATATGGAAAAATCTACACAAAAATTAAATGGAGATAAAAAAAAACAAAAAAAATATACCATTTTATTAAAATATAGGGTAACGGATCCTTTACCGTTTTAGTCCGGCAATTGAAGACTGTTTTACAATAGTTCTCAATGCCTACATGACAGGCTGATGGACACGTGTCGGCCAAATCAACGTCACGTGATTGACATGTGTCCACGTGGATAATTTTATTTTTTAAAACATTTTATTCTTTTAATAAAAAAATTAATAAAAATAAAATATAAAATATAAAATACATAAAAAAATAAATTTAAAAAATATAAAAATAAAATTTAAAAATAAATATTATCCATGTGCTCGTCAAGTCAGCGCCCCATAGCCGTGGATAATTTATATTTTTTATATTAAAAATAAAATATATAGTTAAATAATATACTAATATATAAATTATGGGTGTGTTTGTTTGGGAGATTGGATTAGATTTTCACTGTTCATCCCATTTCCCTCCCCCAAAAACATCAAATCAAACACTTATTTTTCATTTTTTTATGTTATACTAAAAATTAATTTTACATTCAAAACATCACATCAACATCTGTTTATATCACATCATACAACTATTCAAATTCAAAATTTTTACTATTCAAATCCCAACTCAAAATCCAAACCTTCAAATAAACGCATTCTAAATGTCACGTGGCGCTTGACGGACATATGACTAATATTAACTTTTTATTTTATTTATTTTAAATTTTATTTTTATTTTTATTTTTATTTTTAAATTTTAATTTTATTTTTATATTTGTAGTTTTTTTATATTTAAAGAAAAATAAAAATAAAAATAATTCAGCTGACGGATACGTGTCAGACACATGACGATACTTAGCCGACACTTGTCTGTCGGCATGCCATGCAGGTGCCATATAGACATCGAAGAATAAATTGCAAAAATTTTTCATTTATGAAATTATTTTAAAACAATTTTTAGTTACTAAACTAAAATAATAAAGGGATCAACTACTAGACTATCAAGTTACCCTAAAATATATCTATATTTATATATATATATATATATATATTCCCTCCATCTAATAGGGTTGTCTTGTTTTCCGTCACGAAAAATTACATTGTTTTGTAGTCTCCAATTTGTAATAAAATTATTCCATGCTTTTTCAAACTCTCCTTAATTATTATTCCAACATTAAAAAAAATAAAAATAAAAAAATAAAAAATAAAAAATTCAAACTACCTTTAATTATATTTCTCTTATGAAAAATTTAGAGAAGTTCGTGTTTGGGCCCGAGCCAGAGTCTTATTTATATTTGTGTTCTTCCCCAATTTCGATTTCAACTTCCCATCGAATCGATTCCGAAGGCCCTTCATAGACTTTCCTATAATTATCCAAATCCACGACACCGCCCCAAAATCCCGCCGCTATTCCCATAATAAGAGATCCTTTTGCAGTCCCATCCAATCCTCGGCGGAGCGGCAGCAAATCCTCGTTTAGTCCGTCTGCGGCGGAGGAGAAGATTTGGGGTTAAGATGGGGAATCCGAAGCAGAAGTGGACCTCCGAGGAGGAGGAGGCGCTGCGGGCCGGCGTCGCGAAGCACGGCGCCGGAAAGTGGAAGAATATCCAGAGAGACCCCGAGTTCAACCACCTCTTGTTTGCTCGCTCCAACATTGATCTCAAGGTATGCCTCTGTTGGTTGTTTATTGTGATTTTATGGTGGTTATATTCTATTGTATGCACAGGACTTGATTGTGAGGGTATGGACTATGAATTGAGTTGCTTGTAACCCTGTTTTGTTGTTGACAGTCTAATTTGGAGATTTCGTGAGTTAATTTGATGAATTTTCTGATTAGTTTATATACCTATTGCTGTATTGTTAATGTGGATGAATGGATGAAGTAAGGGCACCAAAATTATAGACTAGTGCGCCCAGAGCTACGGATTTATGCACTTTTCTTTTTAAGAGATCCTCTGTTCGAGTGTAATATGTAAGCAATTTGGTGAGTGGAATCTTTCAAATCCAGATTTGGCTCTGGTGATAGTGTGAAGTGCGTTAGTACAATGTCCATGACATAGTAGTCGGTTGGGACACTAATAGCTTCTTGTTCGGAGTAGGGCTAACCCGACATTTAAAAGATTTAGGTTGGACGAGGAAGTGTAACACTTGTTTGGGTAAGGTCCAGCTCTTAGTTTGTAAAACATGCTGTCATTAGTTTGTTAGCAAATCTTTCGACTCTTGCTTGGTAAATTAGACCTAGCTTGAAGTTCTTGAAGCATCTCAGCAAGAGCCCAATCGATGGTCGTGTTAAACCTACCTTGGGTTTATTTAAACCACCAAAGATGTCTTCATTGTTGAAAGCAATACCACTTTGGACTTACCAGATCTCCCAAAGAGTGGGTTTTCGCACTCTCTCAAAAGTATGGATATCGTTAAGGAATGGAGGGAGGACTAATTGGTTAATGAGATTGTCAACCGATGAAGCTAAACCTAAGAAATCTCCCACTTCATAATGAAATAATCCAAATATGGGATATTGTGGGGCAAATGAGAAAAAGGTGATCAACCAATTCATGATGGGTGGCAAAGAAGGCAAACTACATCCGGAATGCAACAGCCTCAATTAGAGAGAACATCTCTTAATGCAAGGTCACCAGGAAGATCTTCCAAACAAAGGTAGCTTGTCACTGAGGCCAAGTTTAATGTAGGTTTTGATTCTAGAATCCTACATAAAGAGCAAGGGGAAAAGATTCCATCTGAACAGGCTTCCAAATGAGTTTATTTGACTTGTCGCGGGATCAAAGGGTGGATTGAATTGTCTCAATGAAAGATTCCTAAACCTAAACCTTCTAGTTGAAGAATGCGTGTGAAGTTTAATATTCTATTTCCATACTCTGTTCTCCCATAACCCATAGCCCTTAATGAAACCTGGCCTTGAGCAAGTGATTGCATAAATCCAACCAAATAAAGATTGCGGAGGAATTTGCATTGGTGCCTAATGCTCTTCCTAGAACATTGTTTCACCACCACTTCAAATTCCACAATTACTGTATAGATCCCATGCTTTATTCATAAGACTAAGGAACATAGCTTGAACTACCCAAAGTAAGTGAGGCCAATTGAATTGAGAGCAATGTCATATAACCTGTAAATAACCTCATCCAGAGGATATTGTTATCTTGGAAGAGCCAAACCCACTTGGTACGGAAACCTTTGTTTAAGGAATCCAGGGAAATCATCCCAAGGCCACTACATTTTCTTCTAAGACAGATATAACTCAAGCTATTGAGTCGCATCTTTTTTATTAATTTTCTTTATTGACCATTCAGCCCTTACATATAAATCCGTTGTTTCTTCCATCTTTTTTCACTTTTGTATTTTGACTATATCCTACATTCCTACTAGATTTGCTTCTTTCTTGCTCTTCATCCTCTTCTCCATTTCTAGGTAATATCTTTATTATTCATTTTCCCTTGTATTCTTTTCCATGTAGAAATATAAATATGTTGTCAAAGTTTGAAACTATCTTGCGTGTATATATCTTTGGAATATATAAAGTTTTATGTAGGTTGTAAATTCTTTGGCTTTGTAAAATTGGTTAGATTTCATTTTTGCAGTTTTTTTTTGGGTGTAAAATATACATATCTGTGTGTGTGGATTGTGCTTCTTTATAAGGTGATTATGTGGTATGGTTACAATGCCTTGATAAGTATATATGTTGACTCTTTAAAGCTTTATAGTAGATGTATATTGGTTGTGATTTATGCAAACGCTGACTTGAGCGCTGGTTTGTTTACTCAGGATAAATGGCGGAATTTGAGTGTAGCAAATGGACAAGGATCTAGAGATAAAGCAAAGATACAAAAAGTGAAGACTGATGGGCCAGCTACCCCATTGCCTGTTGCGCAGGTCACTACTCCTGTTGCTTCTTCATCACAAACTACACCAGTAGATGTAGTAATGTCAGATTCTTCAAAGAGCCTGCCTGAAGGAAATAATGCGGCCAAGTAAGTTCTACTTCTATTTTTATGTTCTAGATTACAGTTGCCTTGTTGATTTGTGGTAAATGTTGTGCCTAGTGGAACTATGATAAATATCATTTGGTAATATTGCTAATCTTTTAGAACAATCAGATGTGATCAACAACAATAACACTAAACTAGAATAAAAACATAGAAGTAATCAGCACATAACTAATGATAAACCTTGATCAGATGAGAATTGAGGTGAAACTAAGGTGACCAAGACCTAACATCTCTATACCAATGGAATCTTAGTTATTGAGTTACAGTCCATTACCTGTGATCTGGAAGTCACAAACAAATGAAACCACTATGTAATGATGATGGTATTACCTTGAGAGGTGCTTGAGAGCAACCAAGAGCATTTCACAATCACGAGAAGTTTCGCAACTAAGGAGTTTGTTGGAAGGAGCAATTGATGAAGAAGGTTGAAATTTCTCCAAGTGAAATAAGATGGAAAATGTCTCTGGTAGTTGCAGGGAAGTAATATGTGAGAATAAAATATTTCTTATTGGCGCAAGTGAAGTTATATGTATATAGATACAAAAAGTCTATCCAAAAGGATTGATAAGCTCTAATACTTCTCTAATATAACTCTATCTAAACTATAAACTGTATAGCCAAGTATTCCCCCTCTAAGTCTCCAAGTTGAACTTCAGACTTGACATATTGAGTAGGGATGAATCCTTCTTGGACCTTGTCGACACAGTGACAGTTGACTTCAATATGATTTATGTGGTTATGTAATATTGGATTAAATGCTATATGTATGGCAACATGGTTGGAACTTGGCGCACCTTGGTTTTCCAAGGAACAAGTTTGTGGCCAATTTCTCTTACTAATTGTTGTGTTCATGTCATCTCACAGGTAGTGTCTGCCGCAACTCTACATTTTTGCATTATTTATAAAAAAAACTACAAAAAGACATTACATCCAACACTTATTTTTTCATTTAAAATAATACATCCAAACCTATTTTTTATTTACAATTTTACTATTCCCAAAACATCAAAATACCCAAGACAACTAAACAAACATTCTTGAAAAACATTGGAAATGAATTCTTGTTGCCAATTGAATTATGGCAATGTATTCTTGCCTGCCTGTTATTTTCCATTATATCATTGCTTGAAATCATTGTTCTGTTGGCAGGTACAATTCCATGATATATGAAGCATTGTCGACACTAAAAGAACCAAATGGATCAGATGCTAGTGCAATAGCTACTTATATTGAGGTATGTCTTTAAAGTTGATCGATAAAATGATCAGTTTTGTATGTATTGCGTAAACTGATTAATTTGAGAACACTTTCAGCCGAGGATAATATACATCTGTGTTCTGAAGATAGTGATTACAATTAATATGGATAGATTTGTTAATGTTTGTTTAACTATTCTCTCTCTCTCTCTCTCTCTCTCTCTCTCTCTCTCTCTCTCTCTCAGGCACTGTACATATGATCATTTAGAAAACCTACTATAAATAGAAGAACACATGTCAACTTCTACATTTTGCTTGTATCTGCAGTCTGCAGTGTTATATCCTTTAAAGAATTAGGATTAACATTTCAATCACATGTTTTGGTCTCTCTTTGAATCTGTGATGACCTTTGCTTTTAATTCAAACTAATTGATGTTTCTCTTTTGTAAGGAAGAACCGTAGTCATTGTGATTAACCATTTTACTAAATTGATCAACCACTTTTGGCCTGTATTATACTAATAAACTGTAAATTTAATTCGAAAGGTTGAAGTCTAGTCTTTTCGAAGTTATTCTCTCACACTAAGCAGCACTTAAGTAGGAAGAATAAAGAAAAAAGAAAAACTCAGGATGTGTTTTGGATGTTACTGAATTGAAATTTGATTGTAGGAAAAATATGTATTGCATGGCTAGGTTTTGAAAACGGTATTTTGGATGAGAATTTTTTATTTTTTATCTTTATAGTAAATTGCATAGTGCAAAAATATAAAAAAAAAATGAAAAAATAAAACGAGTACGCTTTGATTATCTAGCTACTGATGCCCTGCAGACTCCAGAATCGTATGCATTTCTTCCTCTTCATTTTTATTTTTTATTTCATTCTTTTGTAATTTCAATTTTAATCAGCTGAATACCAACCTTCATGTCTGAATGAATGTTTTGTATGCATACCATCTCCTTTTTTCCTTTTTATTTTTTGGGTAAGTTCCTGTCCTTCGTAAAAGAGGCACATAAAAGGGGTGCATTTTTCTTTGTATTGGATGTTTTTGTTTTTATTGTTTTTTAGGTGAAATAGTGTTGGATATAATGTTCTGTACAGAAAATAGGTATGCTTTTATTGGGAACTGTGAAAATGAATAGTAAAACAAATTGAGAAGAACTCGGTTAACATAGCATTGTCTTGTATTATAAAAACTGAGTTGAACTAATCCAAACCATTATACAAGAAGCTCATGAGAAGTTTTTAATTTAATTAAGGGTTTAAGCTTTCTGTATATTATTTATATTCCTTGAGTGCATCAGGCTTGGAAATTTTATATGTTTTACTTCATTGCTGTTAATATATTATTGACTATAGTTTTAGACATTTTTAGCTCTCGAGATTAGGATATAGGAATAGTGCATTCGTTGTTATTTATATAAATTTGTTGCCAAGGATGTATTGTGCCAAGTATCTTGATGTGATTAATTTTGAATTTGTACTGATATCCATAGGCAATCCTATTTCCAATAGGAATTGGTTGATTCCAAAACTAAGTATTTCTCGCTTTTTTTTTTCTTTTAACATATATGAAACAGCAAAGGCAAGACGTTCCACCTAATTTCAAAAGGTTATTGAGTTCCAGATTAAGAAGACTGGTGCAACAAGAAAAACTTGAAAAGGTAAATTCCATTACCATTGAGTGTCGATTTTCGATGGTATTTGCTTGTAACATTGCCGTATTTATATAAAAAGTTGAGTGGAATTTTGCTAGGAAATTTAAAACCTCAGCTTTAATTTTTTCATAATTTATCAAGAAAAAGATCTTAATTATCAGAGCTTGATATATTACTAGAAAAGCATGACATTTGTTAACACCCAATTTTAGGCATGACTCTCTACCCGAATATACAATACCTGCATTGACTTGTATCAGGACACATGAACGGCTCCCAAGCTCAATTTTTTTTATCATATTCTAGTGTTAAAATATTAACTTTTTTTTTTTTTTAATTATTTATATACGGTTGCCCCCTCCCCCAAATTGTATAAATTCATATGTAGCGATGGCAATGGCTCCGGGTAGACCCGAGTCCGACCCGGGCTTGATCCATTTATTTGAGATCGGATCAAATTATTCGGGTCTGGGTCCGGGTTGGGTATTGTATACTCTTATTGGGTCTGCACCAGGTCTCGGGTCCAAGTGTGGATCCGGACCGGATCCGATTAATATATTACTAATATATTAATTATATATATGAAAAAAATTGATTTTTAATATAAGTCGGATCCGGATTCGGGTCCAATTTTAAGTTAAATATTAAGCATTGTAAAAAAAGTTTTGGGTCCGTCGGTTCCATTGGGCATTGTTCGGGTCGGGTCCGGGTATGATTTGGTCCGATTGGGATCCTAGGTCCAACCATGTGTGTTCGGGTCGGGTCTCTGGTCCGGATGGACCCGACCCATACCTGACCCATTGCCATCTCTATTCATATGTGACCCTGTCATTATTTTATAATTTTCATTTATATGAATTTTGCCGGTTAATCAACCCGAAAATGAATTTGCAGGTTCATAACTGCTACAAGATCAAAAGAGATAATCCGCATATAGACCCGAGAAGTCTCCCTACAAGACAGAAAGACACCAGGCCCAGGCAAGTCCAAGGAATCGGGTCTCTGGGAGACACGCTCGAAGATGCAGCGGTGGCTGCTGCCTACCGGATCGCGGAAGCCGAGAATAAGTCGTTTGTGGCTGCAGAAGCCGTAAAAGAAGTGGAAAGAGTTTCCAAACTGGCTGAAGACATGGAGGCCCTCCTCCAATTCGCTACCTACTGTCACGAGCAATGTAAACTCTCTCCATCTCTTCTATTTTTATCTTTTTCTATATTCTCTCTTTTGATTTATCGGCATTCATATTTTTTTTGTTCCTTGTCGACAGGTGCGTCTGGTGAAAAAATACTGTTGAGAATGTAGGGTGCATCCTGGTGCGTCGCCCCCCTGGTTGGTCTCCCGCCTTTTTTTTTTCTTTGAATGTGTATATAGGTAGGAATTTGAAGCTATGTAGGGCTGGATAATTGCAAGATTTTTGAACCATTTTTATTTAATGTTTGATGTAGAAATTTGTCTAAAAGTTTTGGAATGAATGTGGTTAAGATGTGGTGATGTTAAATGATAACTGTAGTATCTCTGAGATTGATTTGGTTGTCTTTGTCTTTGTTTTCTATTTTTATTATTTATTGAATTGATGTTAGTGAGTGATTTTAGTTTGATGTGTCATTTAAATTTAAGAAAGGGCTAGGTCCAAATATTTTTGCCTTGGGGCACGAGTAGTTCAATTGAGCTCGTTAATGATAATATATTTATATTATTTATATATTAAGATAATATATCTATTATTTTTTATATCAAAATTTACATTTATTATTAAAAAATGAATATTTTATTACAAAAAATTATGAATTAAATTAAGTACATTTAAATTATATATTAAAAATATATAGAATATATATATAATTCAAGTCGAGCTTATATTTGAGCAACCAATATTTTGACTCGAATTCTTAACGAGTCGAACCTATATATATTAGTACTAAAAATTACCTATATATATTAGTACTAAAAATTAATTGTAAATTAAAGTATCATATCAATACATATTTATATCACAATAACTAATCCAATTCAATTTTTCTTATTCAAAATCCAAACCCGCAACCAAACACACCCAATAAACTTCACCAAAATAAATTTAACAAAAAAACATCCTATATAATGCACACATAAAGCCTCAGAAATTACTACATGCAAAAGAAGCACTCAAATTAAATCCATAGAGAGACCCACATAATTCAATTGAACAATTTTTACCTCATATGTAGAACTACGTACCTGCAAAATACTCTTCATATCCAGCCGCCGAGCTCTCGAACCGCTCGGCAGAACAAATCGAACGGGAGAGCCGTTGAATGATTCGCCGCAAAAAGCTATTCCTTCAAAAGATGTTTGCTCACCAGTTTCTTCCGAAGGTCCACAGCTTCAACGATCATACCTGCAGCGTGTATTCCATGAACGATATTCGAACACAGAGAAGGATCGTACCTGCTTCGACTCGACGCCAGCATTTCGACGACTTGAGCGGCGGTGTCGACCTCCTTCTTCTGGCACAGCCTGTGGATTATAAATCTGTAGCAGTTTTCCCTAATCCTGCGCCGGGTGGCTTTCCCGATCTTTCTCAGGAGCTCGACGGCGGGTTCGACGAGATCGACTCGGCAGAACCCCCACAGAAGGCAACGGTACGTTATATTATCGGGTGCCGGCCCGAATTCCACCATGTGCTCAAAAACGTCCATTGCTCGATCCATGAAACCCTGCTTGGCGAACCCGTCAATCACAATGTTGTAAGTGATTACCGTCGGGGAGCACCTCGTTTCGCCGATCCCGCGAAGGATTTGAACGACGTGATCGATCATCGTCTCCTTCGAAATCGCCCGTAGGAGCGTGTTGTACGTGATTATATCCGGAGACAGGCCTCGATCGACCATCTGGGCGAGGAAATCGACGGCGCGATCGAGACGGCCGTGCTTGCACAGGCCGTTGATCAATATGTTGTAAGTGATCACCGTCGGTGGGTTCGACGTTTCGTTCATGAGTAAAAGGGCCTCGTCGACGTCGTCCCAGTACCCGAACAAGCAAAACGAGTGGATCAGAGTGTTGTACGTCACGATGTTCGGCGTCATCCCGCGGGAGAACAGATTCTCGATGATCATCATCACGTCTTCGTAGTTCCCCTGTTTCCCCGACAGATTGATCATCGAATTGTACGTTATGAGATCCGGGTAACATCCCTCGGCCGTCAAATCCTTCATCATTTCCAGGGCGCGACTCACTCCGATATGTTTACAAACTAACTCGACGAGGATCGTGTACGTGACGACGTACGGCGGGCATCCTCCCTGCAGCTGATGTTTCCAAAATTCGATCGCCTCGTCGTATCTACCGTGATCGAACATCGCACGGATTATCGTGTTGTAAGTGATTATATCCGGAGGGCAACCGCTCGAGCTCATGCTTTCCAAGACATCGACGGCAGCACCGAGATTCTCGTTCCGACACAAACCACCGATCAACATGTTGTAGGTAATAATGTCGGGAACCTCACCGGTTAGGACCATTAGATCGAGAACCTTAGCGGCTTTGTCTGTCCGGTCGAGATTGACGAGCCCTCGGATCAGCTTTATGCAGCATTCAGAATCCGGGATTTGGCTTATACGAGTCATGGAATTTACTACCTTCACGGCATCGAACAGCTTCCCTCGGTGACATAAACCTTGGAGAATCTCATTGTTAGCCTTCTCACCGTTTTCGACGAACGGCCGACCCAAAGAGGACTGTTGGCGACGAGAGTAGGACTTCTTGTATCCTTCTGATTTCGACTCTTTTTTACTGCCCTCGGAAATCCTATCGAGATAAACACCTGCTTGCTGCGATGCACACCTCAATGAAGGAATCGTTCCTCTGCCATTGATTTTGCTCAAGGGTAGACCTGATTGAATCTTGCAGCTACCCGCTCGGAATGGTACGAGAGCTCTTTTATGCTGATAATGGAAGAAATCGTGATTCGGATTGACTTGGTAGGCGATACAGTTCACGTCATGGATATTATGAACCTCGGCTGTTGATTTCAGTGGTATACACTTAAAGGCCATTCCGTTCCTCAATTAAACGAATACCAATTTCTTCAGAAGCAACTATTCAACCTCATGCGGAATCATCCAAAGGATCGAAAAGCCAATTTCTTCATATAAAGCCCGTTTATTGATTCAAACTGCAGAAAAAATTCGAAGGAGCAATTTTCAGATAGCATTATATACAAGGCCATCAAAACATAATTTCATACACATTTGTTCGTATTATTTCTACAACGAAAATAAAGCAAGAAGTCAATATAATTTATTCGTTCGCTAAAATTATAATCTCTCCGTCCAGCCAAAGTATACATATTTCTATTTTGGGTTGTTAAATTACAAAGTAACAATTTCATTACTTACCCCATTTTTTCCCACAAATACCTCTACTTTACCGTCACATTATTACTCTTACACAAAAAAGCAAGGACAAAATTATACTAACACTACTTTTATCTACCCAACTACAATTAAAATAATATTATTTTTTAAACTCCACGCTAAAAGTAAATGTATACTTATTAGCCGGACGGATGGAGTATCTTTTACTTTTATTTTTTATTGTCCGTTAAACTTATACATAAGTATATTTATAGTAAAACACTTTAACCCCTCACAATGTAATTACCTCTACTTTTACAATAATTAACAATTTTGCCACTACTTTTTTTTTTACGTACTTATTACTTTTTTATAACTCCTTAATAAATTTCTCATAAAACCCTTAGTTTACTTTTTACTTACCACGCGTTAACATTAAAATACCATTATTTCTTAGTCTCTATACTCACATAAAAGTATTCAAACAGAGGGAGTATTTAACACTTCATCAGTATTCAGAGAAAATATAATTTCTATATAGTTTAAATTTATCGATCTAGCATCTTTATCACATCCATACACGTGCTCTTATGACTTATTACATATCCGAAAGACTTGTAAGATTATCGGTGAGATACTTATAAGACAAGATGAAGAAATGGAAATTATAAAACTACGACTATGATTGAAGTATTGCAGAATTAGATCAACCCTTGCTCCCAGTATCATCTAACAATCACTATACATATATTGAGTATAAATTTGTAAAGCCCATTTTCAGTGCTCACATTCACCAGATACCAAACATGCTCCAATTTTTTATGCCAAATCTAAATTTGATGCCAGTCATTCAGCCAGGTTTCCAAATGAACAACTAATATGCATAGTTGTCAATCTCGGATATTGTTACGTAGCAGTCAACCTCTAAAATACTATAGCATGATGATTGCTATTTAAAAATGTAACAATATATCTATATAAATTATTATATACTTTAAAAAAAAAAAGGTTTGAGAAAAGATGGTTCCTCTTCTTCATTTCATTCATTTTTTTCATTATATGTTCGTCATATGCCGTAATGTTTTTTCTCTTTCTATAACTAGAAGTAACTACAGTATACTATACTATAATAGTATAAAATCTACATTAACCAAATAACAAATATAATATTATATCGTAAAATCAAAACCTACTTATAATAATAAAGATTATAATACACTCCATCTATCCACTTGCAAGAGACACATTATACATTTTTGGTTATACACTTGCAAGAATTACATTTTCTTATTTAATAAACGTGTACTCCATTACATGTTATAAATACCTTTCCAATCACATTTATTTACCCAAATATCATTCCATAATAAATAAACCCTCATTCCTCGTCTAATTACACAAAATATCATTAAAATGCTAATATATATCCGAGCAAATGTAACTCTTTCAAGTGGACGAAAATAGTATTATTTAATTTAAAAGGCGCCCGCTTAAGCCCTAAATGCCATACGGCGTCACAGAGCTACATTAGCGGCGGCGGCGTTCCACTACACAACTATTACCGCCTTATCGAGTGCTATTGACAACTATTCTAATACGTTCTACACATAACAACACTATCTTTCCAACCACTTAAACAAATTTCCTCTGTAACATAAGCCATTTCAAATTCACCATGAACCCTACCTAAACTATGGCCAGTTACATAATTCAAAATTGCTCTAAAATTAACAAACGAAATGCGACAAGAACATCGAAAAATGCTTCAATTCCAGACTTGAACATCACTATCAGCATAAACATACCGCAAATCAACAATAAACGTCCGCATAAAGCTCAACAAGGATAAGATAACAAGTTTATTCTATCGTCCTCACTGCGCCTCAAAGCTCCTCAACGCAATAACAACGACACAGGTAATTGAGGTGAAGCGAAAAAACACACATCGAACAACATAAAAAATTAACCCTCCGAATTACATACATACCTTCGCATAATCGGACCTTGAACGACTGAACAGTGGCCAGAGGCGACGGCGGCCGGCGGGCGGATGGGGTTAGGGTTTATGCGCCGGAATTAGGGCAGGTGATCGTATTTGTTGAACCTAACAATTCAGTACCGTACAAAAGTTTATTTAGGCATGTATTCGCCTAGTAGATATCGAACTCAAATAATTATTTGAAGAACTTTCACGGGATTACTATTAACTTTTTATTTTTATTTTTTGAGAATTTTGAAATTTATATATATATACATATTTTTCAATTACTCTGAGTTTTTTAAAATTTTACAATTGAATATTGTAATTCCCATAATTTTTTATAATTATTAATGATTTATAATAAAAATTTATGTTTTTAAAAATATTAAAATTTTAATATTTATTTTGTGACTAAAATAAATACTCCCTCCGTCCCATGTATTATGGGTTTATTACTGTATATACTGGAATTTAGATGAGGTGTGATTAGTAAATAATTAAGAAGTGTATTAGTAAAAATAATTATCCGTATAATAAAAATAATTGTGGATTAAGAGTGAGATAACTAAATAGTTTAATTAAATTAAAAAAAATGATAAAATTTAAAATTTAAAATGAGATTAAAGTGTATAATTATATTTTCAAAAAAAGAATGGACAAATTATGTGGGACATACGAAAATATAAAATATGAACAAATTATGTGGGACGGAGAGAGTATATAATATTCACTCCGACAATTTGGGCCGGTTGATTTTTTTTTTTTTTTTTGTATAAGATGAGCCGAAGTAATCCTAAACCGTGTTGGGCTGACGACCAATTCATAGCCATGTTTGAAATTTTACGATTATGGTTCATCTTCACACCAATGAGTTATTTTTACTGATTATAACTTATACTTCAGTGTTATTAACTAATTAAATATTATTACTTAATGACTAATTTTATTTTTTATTTTTTGGATGAAGTGAACATTACTTTAATAATGTGTATTTTAAAATAATACTCCATCTGTTGCAGATATCATATCCACGTTGCCGTTTCTGTCTTTCCCATATACTATACCATGTTACTTTCCTTTTTGAAAAATGATTACACACTTTAATCTCATTTTAAATTTTTAAATTTTATTTTTTTTAAATTTTAATTAAACGAATTAGTTATCTTAATCTTATCTTATAATGATTTATATTATAGGATAATTATTTTCACTAATACATTCTTAATTATCTACTAATTACACCCCTCCTAAAATACCATGTTAAACACGGTATCTGGGACGGAGGGAGTATATTATTATTAACTATATTATTGTATTAAGTAATAAAGATTGTAAATTTATGGGTTTGTTTAGCAGATTTGAAAAAATAAGAATTTAGTACTCTTCTAATACAATATTGTTTACCATTTTTGTGTTTCTTAAAACAAATCAATAGTTTCATTTTCATAAATAACTATATCATTATAAAAATTATTCATACTTTTTTATTATTGTTACAGAATTGCTACAACTTTTTACACGAATATACTAACGAGGGTAAGGGCAAAAAACTCATTTATTCTTACATGTTACCAACTACAAATATAATATCAATATTTTTTAAATTTCGTGCCCAACACATGACTATACTTTTGGGACGGAAGGAGTATTTGATTTGATATTTTGTGAAAAAAAAAATGTATTTAATGTAATTTTTTTAAAAAATAAATAGTATCAAATGAGTGAAAGTATGTTGTGTAAACAAAACAATCCGGCTATTTCGTGTCACATTTCGTTGATTTTTTAATAGAACAAGTCAATAAAAAATAAAAAAAGTGTATATTTATGCTAAATTTAATTTTTTTAAAAAAATCTTTTCTAAATATCAAAATAATAAAATTAGAAATTTAGGCACCTTAGCTTAATGTATTTAAAAAATTAAGATACAATTATCTAATTAATATAAAAATAATAAATATGTATACTATATTAATATTTTATTATTTTTTTTTAAGAAGATTTATTGATTCGTGAAAACAAATCGAATAAAACTTTACACTATCCGAAATTTTTAATACCAACCCCATCTACAAATAACCGATTCGATGCCCATTTCTAGTAAAAAAAAAAAAAAAGGAAAAGAAAAATGCCAGATGGAAAATGGGGTCACGTGACAGGTCCACGGTGCCCAGGTTGGACAAAAAGGGACGTCACGTGGTCACGGTCTGCGTACGCTACTCAATCCATTCAACCGTTCTTTTCTTTGTCTTCCAGAATTCACAACTTTCCTCCACGCGCCATGTCCGCGCGTGTACTCACTCCCCCATTCACCCTTTTTCTCCAACTCTGTATATTTTTATATATCTATGTGCTGTCAAACACTGTAGCGGATTTCTTACCATTTTCTCTGCTGTTAATGGAAGCCAAACCCTAGCGTCTGTCATGCAGTTTGAACAGAGAATAAATCCTCATTAAATCACTCAATTTAATTCGATTCTACCTAGTTAAGGAGTGTAGATCTCGAATTTGTGGTTGATTGCGGATGGATTTGGTGTGCTGAGTGTGTTGGATTAGTTGAAGCTTTGGTTCTGCGTCGATGGAGCCTCGCGTTGGGAGCAAGTACCGATTAGGTCGGAAAATAGGCAGCGGATCCTTTGGTGAGATCTATCTTGGTAAGGTTTTTGGAATTTTTTTATTCTTAATTTTTTAATTTTTTTTCTGGTTTCGTTTATGCTTTTGGTGTATAGTGTTTGCTGGTGGAGAGTTCATTTTTGGTGTTTTTGTTTGGTGCAGGAACAAATGTTCAAACTAATGAGGAGGTGGCAATCAAGCTGGTGAGTTTGTGTGGTCTTCTGTTCAATTTCCCTCTTTTTCTTTTTTTTTTTTTGCCATTTTTTGTTTGGTTGGTGGATTTGTTTTTGTCGTTTTGTATGTATGAAGTTATTGCTCTTGTCTTGAAGTTGTCGTTCGTGGTTCTGTTGTTTACTGGCTGAGTTGTGAAGTCGAGCTTAAATGTGCAGTTTAATGAAGTTAATCAGCTTGCTTTTTGTGTATGTGGGATTACTGTTTTGTTTTTTGGATGGATTAGCAATATTTTAGTTTCTGTTTTGTTGGAGCCTCGGAATTGGTGTTTATTAGTATCTATTGTATTAGTTTCTGTAATCCTTCGACGAGCTTATACTTTTATCATTTGATTGTCAACACAAAAGGACCACTTGTATATGTAGTTAGATATGAAACTTTTGTTTACCTTAGTTAATCAGGAAGTTATGCCGTTTGTTATGAGCTATTTGTTCTCACTCATGGACGGCTTAGTGGAACCCAACCATGCTCATTGCTGCAGTGTTTGATTATGCTTTGAATCGCTCTCGAAAGCCATAGTATGGTTGCTCTTGGTCACGAATCTGTTGCACGTTTGCATAAACTGTGGTGGGCGGTCTAAGAAATAAGTAACTCTAATAGGTACAACCTGCTGGAAAATGTTTGGTTGACAAATTGAATTTATAAAAGAATTTTTTTTGTTTGTTTATTTCGTACTATTATTATTTTTAAAACATAAACCTGTTTTCTGTTTGGAGAAACCAGGGCTGCATATCAATATCTAGTCCTCATAACATACACTGTTGTATGCTAGTTTTATGGCCTGACATGTATTGAATATGACTGGCTTGGACAATCTTCTTATTCCAAGCAAATTAAACTCGATCATGGTTTTAGATGGATGCAGTTGGAAGCCAGATGCCGTTTTAAATTGTTTTGTAAATGTTCTTCAACTTCAATATATGACTATATAAATAGCATAATATCTTATTTAAATTGATGAATTGTTTTTTTGTTGTTGTTGTGGTTGTTGTTTCTTTTCTGTATGTATGCTTTAAATAAAAGTATCTCAAAAAGCTCTCCATGTATGAAGATTATTGCTCATATTAACATAGAGTCTGGATGGATATGAATAGAAATGGAGTCAGAATCAAATGATTACTGAGTTACAAGACTTAGAAAAAAAATTCACCGACTTCATAAACCTCACCTGCTGTGTATGCAGGTTACATCATGTTTTGATATAAATTTGGTGCTAATATATTTGATGGTTTGGTGGGTCGTTGGTCTGTGTGCAACTTAATGTAAATTTCTTGTGAATTTTTGTTGCTTGTGTTCATTTTCACATAATACTAATGCTTTCAGGAAAATGTGAAGACAAAGCATCCTCAGTTGCTGTACGAGTCAAAACTGTACAGAATTTTGCAGGGAGGAAGTAATGATTTTTCAGTTCTTTTCATTTTTTACTTAGCAACACTCATTCCAATTTATCTGGGCACTAAGATTAGAAATACTAATTGCAGCCGGGATACCAAATGTGAGATGGTTTGGTGTTGAATTAGACTATAATGTTCTAGTTATGGACTTGCTTGGACCCAGCCTTGAAGATTTATTCAATTTTTGCAGTAGGAAATTTTCCCTGAAGACAGTTCTCATGCTCGCTGATCAAATGGTTAATACTGTTCTCGTCTTCTACTATAGATTCGAATTCGATCCAATGGGGTTACTAAAAGAGACGTTTTTTTTTTTTTTTTTTCTTGACATTTAATTATATGATAATTTCTCTCTAATTGTTCAGATCAATAGGGTTGAATTTGTACATTCAAAATCATTTTTACATCGAGATATCAAGCCTGATAATTTCCTCATGGGCTTGAGTCGTCGTGCAAACCAGGTCCTTGTCTAATTCATCTTTGTTCTATTAGAGAATGAATTGAATTTGTATTTAAAATTTATGTTTTATCTGACCACCAATATTAGGTTTATATCATTGACTTTGGTCTTGCAAAGAAATTTAGGGACAGTTCGACACACCAACACATCCCTTATAGGTGAGGTTAATGTGACTTGATTATTTTATTTGTTGCGTTTCATTAACATTTCAATTTTTCTTATGATTGTAAATCCACATTCGTTTTTGCGAAACTGCAGGGAGAACAAAAACTTGACTGGAACAGCTCGATATGCCAGTATGAATACTCATCTCGGAATAGGTAGAGGTTTATTTTTGTTTTTCTTCATTATCCTACACTTTTATTTGCTAATGTTCTTCCATTTTTGAAATTTTTTCTCATTCTTTTATATAGAACAAAGTAGGAGAGATGATTTGGAATCGCTTGGATTTGTATTGATGTATTTCTTAAGAGGAAGGTAACCACTATATCCATTTTATTCCTTACAGTTTATTGAGGTTCGTAGTTTGACATGTGCTCGATTCAGCCTTCCTTGGCAGGGACTAAAAGCGGGAACTAAAAAACAGAAATATGAGAGGATAAGTGAGAAAAAAGTTCAAACTTCCATTGAGGTAACTTTATTCTCGAATATTATATTAGGAAGTGTGTGTGGTTTGTGTGGGTGTATGACTGCTGACTTTCTTTCTAGGCATTATGTCGGGGTTATCCAACTGAATTTGCATCTTATTTTCATTACTGCCGCTCACTGCGATTTGAAGACAAGCCTGAATATTCTTATCTCAAGAGAATTTTCCGTGATCTCTTCATTCGTGAAGGTAAAATGTTGGTTTTACTAGGAGAGACTATGTTTCGTTGGGGTTTTGGATTTTGGATTTTGGATTTGAGTTTGAGTTTTGAACAGTAAAATTTTGAATTTGAATAGTTATATGGTGTGATATAAATAGGTGCTAATGTGATATTTTGAATATAAAATTTTACTGTAACCTAAAAATAATAAATAGGTGTTTTATTTGGTGTTTTTTGAATAAAATTTTTTTAGCGAATAGTAAAATTTTGCCAAAATCCTTAAACCAGGCTGTGTTATTTTGTGGGTTTCACCGCAGGTTTTTACTATTTAAATTCTTTTTTCTCACAAAAAATATCAAATCGAACAGTTGTTTTTCTTTTCTATATTATACTACAAATTTATTTTACATTCAAAACATCACATCAATGTCTATTTATATCAAATCAAACAACTATTCAAATTCAATTTTTTACTATTCAAAAATCCAAACCCACAAACACACCCGAGTGTTTATAGTTTTAAATATCTCTGTTGTGATGTAAGGTGAATTGTGAAAATTTTCTGGTGGTAGAAAAAGTTCTCCAAAACATCAAAATTTTTATCAAATTACTATTTTAATTTAAAATTTTATTATTCAAAACTCAAACCCCATAAACAAATACACCCTGTAAGAATGATGCTTTGTATATTTTTGGTGGCTTTTATTGTTATATATATATATTGATTATTATACATTGTATCTTTTACATAATATCTTTTGGTAATCGCGTATCTTTAACACTAAAATGAACACATTCGACATGTTTCCCCAAGCCGAAGAAGTTGACTAAAAACGAGATCTATTTATATGTATATTATTATTCTTGCAGGTTTCCAATTCGACTACGTTTTCGATTGGACCATTTTAAAGTACCAGCAGTCTCAAATGGCGGCTCCTCCTCCTCGCGCACTTGTAAGTGATTTAACAAGCAACAAATTTCAAAGCGCAATCCCATTATATTGCATTCGATGATCCGTGTATCTTTTAGGGTCCCAATGCAGGGACAAGCTCGGGACTACCCCCTGCAGTTCCCAGCGGCGAACGTCTGCCGGGTATTTTCATCAGAGCTGTCTCCATGATATCTTATTTAGGTCACGGCTGTTCCTTAAAAACCCTGTTTTGAGACACTCTCAGCCTTTTTTGCCGCAGGTGAAGAAGAGGGGATTCAAGTTGGACCTTCTTCGGCGGATCCTTCCAGAAGAAGTTCTGTACAGCTCATTAATCCTGCTAGCATAGCCAGGCAGAAAAGTCCTGCAAATGATTCGACTAGCAAGGATGCTGTGGTAAGCTGAGAATTTCTATTATCATTGTCGTTTTACTTTTACCTGTCTCATTTTTTATTTTTAAGGTTTGAATTTGGTCTCGTACTATTCATTCTATATTTTTTCAAAAATCATTAAATCAAATATACTCCTTCCGTTGGGTACGGAGATTAAGAAAATGAATATTTTATTGGAAAAATGATAAAAGTAAGATGGTAGTTAGGGGTATTTTTGGAAATTTAGTTAAAAATTAAAGAAAAGAAGAAAATAACGTAATAAATGTAGTGACATTTGGAGGGTGTTTGGCTTTTTCTAGAGCTTTAGCTTATTTAAGAGCTTTTAACTGTTTTGAATAGCTTATTGGCCCCCAAAAAACTAATTTCTAAAAAGCTATATAACCCGAGTTTTGAAAGAGGTTTTTCATTTTAATTTTATTTATTCCTTATTTGTCCTTAAAATGTTATTATTTATTTCACATACATATAAATATATTTTATACTGCAGTAATTATAAATGATTTTAATATATTATTTATTAAATTATAATTTTATTTTTATAAATTTAAATTAATTAATTTTTATATATAATTAATTTTATTTGTAAACTATAATTATGTTTTTATTATTATTTTATTTTTATAGTATTAAAATTAAATAAAATAGAATAAATTTATTAAAAAATATAAATATAATAAATTAATCAATAATTAATATAATAAATATATATACCAAAATTTTATTATTTTATAGTTTACATCATTCTTAATAAAAAATACATATTTCTTAATAAAAATATATACTATTATTTTTTTCAATCTAAAATTAATTAAACAATATTTTATAACACATTCGTAATTTCAAATAACTAATAATAAAAACAGCTAATAGTCAAATCTAACTGCTGATTCATGTCAAACACACCCTTGATATAAATAAGTGTTGAATGAAAAATAACAGTTAAATATCAGTGGTTGACTTTATCAAAATTAGTAATAGGGTAAATTTAAAAGTCGGACTAAAAAAAGTGAGTAAATTTGATGGATGGAGAGAGCACGTGTCTTTTATTTCTTTTATCTTAGTTAATTTATTTTTAGAAATTCAAATATTACTTCCTCATCGTCAAACTTATACTTGCTTAATTTTGGCCGACAAATGGAATACATCAAATACCTATTTATACCGGGAACTAAAACCCGGACACTTTTAAACACAAATCATGATTTGTGGGTTTATGTGCACCTAGTTCATCTATCTTGTGTGTTTGTGGAGTTTGAATTTTGTATTTAGTTTTTGAATAGTAAAAATTTTTAGTTAAAATAATTGATTGATCTAATATAAATAGGTATTGTTGTGATATTTTGAATGTAAAATTAATTTTTAATATAATATAAAAAACTACAATAATAGATGTCTGATTTGATATTTTATTGAGAAACTTTAAACTCCACGGCGCACATGCATTTCACGACTTTTGCGCACTTTATCTTGTGGCAGCTCTCGAGCTCGACTTTCTTCGGGAGGTCAAGCGGAGCGCAAAGACGAACTGCTGTTTCCGGAAACGATTCGGACCCGACTCGCTCCCGCACGCCCGAGACGAGTCCCGCGACGGGAAACCGAGTATCGAGCAGCCAAAGAGCCTCCGACCCCCCGAAGCACAATGGCCCTTCAAGTAGGAACAGTTCGAGCACCAAGAACTACGATGCTGCCGTTAAGGGCATCGAGAATCTGCATTTTGACGACGACGAAAGGTATCATTAAAGACGTAATATATTCCTGTAAATCGGCATTAATTAGTAGCGTTCGACAAACATCGACGACGACGACGATAACGACGCAGAAGAATTGGTGTGGTTTGTGGTGGGTAAGGTTGGTTGTTGGTGTGGTTTGTGGGTCTTTTAATTCCATGTGCTATTCCTCCTCCTCGGCCTCCTGTCTTTACATCTTCTCTTATTGTCTGCTTGGGATTCGTTCATCGTTTCTAAGTTCTAACCCACCCTTTGTTTGTTTGTTTGGTTTCTGAATTGTAAAATTGCCCACTCCTACTTCTTCTTACTGCTACTGCTAATATTGGTGTTTTTATTTTCTTTTGATAACATAGAAATTTGGGCTATTTTTACAAGTTTTAGCATTTTATATATATAAAATATTACATAAATAATTAACTTTAAATGCATTTAAAAGAATTTCAATACTAATTTTTAACACGGCCGTGTTGTATTTTAACATCGCCGTGTTTGTTGGACTTATTTTTTTTATAGCACCCCGTGATGTGAACGTGATTTGTTGGGATATTTTTTTAATCAAATATATATAGGATAAAAGTGAATTAGTAAAAATTTTGAATTCGAATAGTTGTATGATGTGATATAAATAGGTGTTGATGTAATGTTTTGAATGTAAAATTGTTTTTTTAGTATAATATAAAAAATGAAAATAGTTGTTTGATTTGATATTTTTTGGGAAAAAAAATTGGATGAATAGTGTAAATCCAATTCAATCCTCCAAACAAACACACCCTTGGTTTACATAATTGAAAATGGAATTAAAATTGATTGTTTTTGTTTTTATTGGGACTGATTATTAAATTTTTCACTGTAATTTCTAACAAACAAAGAGAGCAAAGGTGTGTTTGTCGGTGGATTTTAGTTTTTGGGTTAATTTTGAATAATAAATATTTAAATTGAAATAATTATTTGATGCAATGTTTTGTATATAAAATAAATTTATAGAATAATATAAAAAAAATAAAATAATTGTTTCATGTAATATTAAGGGGGTGTTTGGCAAATGGTTTTTTTTAAGAGTTTTAGCTATTTGACCAGTCAAAAAGCTAATTTAGGTGTTTGGTAAATTAGCTTTATGGAATAGCTTTTTAGACCCAAAAGCTAATTTCTGAAAAACTAACTTACTCAGCGTTTTGAAATAGCTTTTTCTGTAAAAAAAAAATAAAAAATAAAAATTTATTCCTTGTATGCTCTTAAAAATTTATTATACATTTCACACAAATAAATATATTTTTATTATTTATTAATTATATTAGAATATTTTATTATATTATAGTTTTACTTTTATAAATTTAAAATAATTAATTTTTATATAAAAATTATTTTAATTGTAAAAATATATAAATTTATTAAAATCAACATAAAATAAAAAAAAATATAAATATTAATAATTTATTTTTTTATTAAAATTACATTATACGAATTTTATACTAAAAATAAATTAAATTTATTGAAAATTATAATTATAATGAACTAATCGATAACTAACATAATAAATATATATAAGAAAAATTTATTATTTTATATTTTACATCATTTTCAATAAAAAAAATTATTTATATATTTTAATAAAAATATATTATTTCTTAAATCTAACTGTAATAAAAATTAATAGTTTTATAACACTTTTACAATTTTTAATAACTAATAACAAAAAATTTTAAACATTCTAAATTCAAAAGAACGTAATTGAATATATTAGAAAGAAGAATAAAATAGAAATGTCCTCGATTGTCATTTTACGTATAAACAGCTAATATCAAACAGTTATTTTACCAAACATTTTAATACAGTTAATCGAATCAGTTAATCAACTAATTAATAAAAAAAAAAAAAAAAAAAAACAATGCACTGAATGACACAATCTAACTTTCTCATGCAATTACTGAGCACACTTATAAGTCGTTCCGGCACTGCCGCGTTGACCGTCCCGTTTGCCGGCCCCGGCGCCGGCGACGGTGAGAATTCTCCGACTATATATATATATATATACGTACACGCCGAACAGAACTTCAAAGAGCAACGAATAAAGCACGCTACCTCAAAACGACAGCGTTCCACTCCGCCAGACTGCCTCGTGTTTGTGTGGCTATAACAAAATCACAGCAGAAAAAGATAAGCTACAAATACATTCCAAGGGGGAGGTCCATCGTTGTTCGCTTTCTGAGTCTCGAGCTCCATGGCAAGTCGCATTACGGTGTACGGTGGCGCCGCCGCCGCGATGTTCGTCCGCTGGAATCGCAAAGTCGTGAGTGAATTAGGAGCTTCTTCGGGCGGCGGCGGCGGCAGAGAGAGGTTGCAGATTCTGGAGCAAATCGACGAGGAATTGAGCAAAGGAAACGATAGAGCTGCTTTGAATCTCGCCAGAAATTTGCAAGGCAAACCTGGAGGTCTCTCCTGCTTCGGCGCTGCTCGCCAGGTTTCGCCGCGTTTGTTTTTCCCCAATTCAATTCAATTCAATTCATCTCAGTTATTTATTCATCAATTGGTCAATTTATCTATGCTGTTACTAATTGATATTTACATACGTTGCATCATAGCTGATGATGCAACATAAATAAATAACGACTGATATTTTGAATATAAGATTGAATTTTGTAGTAAATTAAGAAATAAAAGTATTTTATTAATTATTGGAATGTGTAAATTAATTGTATGTGTAATGATATATTTATAATTTAAATGTGTTTGTTTGGAGATTTGGATTTTTGTTTGAGATTTGAATAATAAATTTTTTTAATTTGAATAGTTGTATGATGTAATATAAATATGTATTTGATGTGATATTTTGAATGTAAAATTAATTTTTTACTATAATAAAAAAATTGAAAATAGACGTTTGATTTGATGTTTTTGGGAAATTTTGGATGAATGGTAGAAGTTTGATAAAAATGTACAACAAACACACTCTAAGTAAAAGTTAAAAGGTATTTTAATATTAATGTATGATTATTTTTTTTTTAAATAAGAAAATAATACGAGACAAACAAAAATGATAGAAAAAGTACTTTGAATTGGAACGGATGGAGCATAATATAAAAAAAAATAAAAAATAAGTAGCTGACTTGTATTTTTCGAAAAAAAATAAAATTAGATGAATAATAAAAATTTAGTGAAATTTGATATAAGAACACAATTTATTGTTTATATTAGAGTTGTATACTTTGGATGTTTTTAGACGAATGTGGTTTTTTATACTTACTCTTCCATCCAATTGTGTACTCAAATATTTGCTTATGATCTTAATAAAAGTGAATAATAATTATTATTTTTAGTCTTCTATAGTAAAAATATTCCAAATTAGTGATGTACTTTTTTACTAAAAAGGAAATCTGTTTCGAACTCTAACTTCATTGTATGCTGTCATGTTTATTTTATTTGATTCTATTGAATCTGTATTATGTCTAAACCCATAATTTCATTATTAATAACATGCAATTCTGGAGCTCTCATGTGAAGATATGGCTTTTGTTAAATATGAAATTTGAATAAGCTTTAGATATGATTTGGATATTATTGGCTAGTTTATAAATAGACATGTATTTTCACTTTTAACGTATGTTTGCATATTCTATAGTAAAATTTCTGGCTTGGCAGCACCGTAGATCATTTTGATCGAACTGGATTACCAAGCTGTTGTGTTATTGTATCTTTGTTTATTTCTTCTTGATTTCCTGAGTTTTCTCATAACAGCTTTGATTCGCAAATTCGTAGATTGATTGCAGATTCCACAAAGGCTATACACTTTGGATGAGCTAAGATTGAATGGGATAGAAACTACATCTCTTCTGTCGCCTGTGGATTCAACTCTGGGCGCTATAGAGAGGACTCTTCAGGCTGCTGCTCTGGTGGGAGGAATTTCTGCGTGGAATGTGCTCGAATTGAACCCTCAAGAAATCCTCTTTTTGTCTCTCGGTTTGTTGTTCCTCTGGACATTGGATGCGGTAAGCCATTCTATCTGTACATCTGCAATGCTGGTTGTGCCATTTTTTTATGTCATGTTATGGTTGTGGTTTAATTTTAACTTGTGAAGTTGCATTTTCGAACTATTTGGCTTGCGAGTAGATATGCTTCGGAAATGTTCTAGTTGTTTGGCAATAGTAAAATTTTTAATGAAAAACAAGTAATTTGTATAATAGTATTTTGGAAATATTCTAGTTGATATTTTGTGCTTGATGGTTTTGATTTAAGTTAGAGTTTTATTTGGATTTTAGTTTAAATGACATTTCCGTGTGATTTTTTATGAAAGAAAACAATCTATTTTATTGAAAATCGAGCAAGCTGAAGTGGTAGTTTTGATTTAAAATCAAAACCAGGACACATCTTTTTTAATGTAATGTTATTATTGCAAATTAGGGGTTGGATGCAATCATTTTAGGAAATAAATTTTATAGGTTAGTTGTGGCTTATTCAGAACCACTATTACAATCACATCCTCTGTGCCTGTATTAGTTTGCAATATTATTTGAATGTCCATTTTAACTCCTACTATTTTTATTTTAATGTTGGCATTGATTAAATTTTTATAAATTGAAGGTGCAATTTTTATTTTGAAAGATTTGGTTCAAATAATGTCACAAAAAACAGTTACTGTAGCGCCAAATTTAAAGGTACACTATTAAAGTTGGAGCAGAAAAATAGAGTTGGATAAAAAGATTGAGTGAAAACTCACTTTCTGCTCAAGCCTCCAAATTTGAATTTTATTCTATATGCCTTAATATACGTTATGTAATAGTTGAGCAGATGAGATAACGTACATAATATATCTATATATATGTTTTGAATAAACAATATACATCCAATGCAATTTTTGTTTTGAAAATAGTATTTGGATGTTGTGTTTTTAATAAAAAGTAAGTATGAATATGTGTTTTTTCAAGGGCAAAAATATTTAGATTGCTGTGAACAAGATAAAAAATAGATACCAGCACACCCTTTGTGGATGTAGGAATTTAAAGATGCTTGTATCTACCTTATATAATCGGCTATTGCTCACTCAGCTGTTTACATACGTCTGTTTTACTCGACTATACACTGCATCAATTATTGTTTACAGGTTTCTTTCAATGGTGGCATCAGTTTCTTAGTTCTTGATACACTTGGCCACACATTCAGCCAGAAGTACCATAACAGGGTTGTTCAAGTAAGATTTCATCTATCTCTGACTGTGCCCATCCATCCCTAGTATGGTGCAAGGTGTGTTTTGGTTTAAAGAATTGGTAGCAGAAAAGGAAATAAGCATATTTCTTTTGTTTGTTTGGACCTAAGTTTTCAAGATTAAGAAATAAATTATTTTTCATTCTATACTTTCAGTTCTCTCTTATATATGGAGAAATAGAGAGAATTATAGTTGAAAAAAAAAAAAAAAAGAGAAAAAGAGGTAAATATAAAAAGTTCTCTTTAATTATTTCTTCACCTGAAACTCTCATCTCTCACTATTGTTGTCATCACACCGCCCGTTGTGATTGAAGAATTATGCAAACTGATGGTAGAATTTTATTGGATGACTTGTTTTTTCATAATCATATTTTTATTAATTATTAATTTTTGTATTATATATATTTAATAAATAACAATTGATATTCTATTATACTTTTCTATTGAATTATCTGTTATATTAGATAAAAGAATCAGTTTCATTCTCAAAACTAATTCTCTTTCTAAGCAATTTTATTTCTATACAATTCTCTTCTATGTACGAAACCCACTCTAATAAACTTGTTCTTCTTGTATCTACTTATTTGTTAACCATGAAGATCACCGAAACCATTTTTTGATCACTGTTCTTTTTTTTCTTTCTTTTTTAATTTTATGTAGCACGAGGCAGGCCATTTCTTGATTGCTTATTTAATTGGAATCCTTCCCAAGGGATACACAATAACCAGCTTGGATGCTTTCAAGAAGGAAGGATCTCTCAATGTTCAAGCCGGTACTGCATTTGTCGACTTTGAATTTCTTGAGGAAGTAAGTTTACTTATTGTGAACGTACGGTATGATTATTAGATTAATTTCTAAGTGGTTGAAAGCTTTGAGTCGTTGCACTAAGTTGAAGGAGATGCTCTAAATGCTTTGTTTTTAAATAAGTTTCGAAAGACTCAGCTTACAATTTGTAACACAAGCAATACATTTAAATGGCTTAAGGATCATTAGTCTAACTGAGATTTGATTCTAACATGATGGTAGTGCTTGCCTTTGATATTGCGTTTTTAAATTTGTTTTATGATTGAATGCGTTCGAAGATGAACAAAGATTTAGCATAAGAATATTTGATGAATGCTAAAATAGGCATTATTTGATTATATGTAATTTACATGCTTTGAAATGTTAATTTCCATCAGTTGTGCATGTACTTTTGTCGTGTTTATAATATGCTTGGCTTGGGAAATGTTTTGGAACTTTGAAGAGTTTTGAAAATATTAACAAAATTTGAATAAAAACTACATATTTGATGGAATTTAAATAGGTGTTAAATATATATATTTTTATGTAATATCTTAAATGAAATATATTTAATGTGTTTTTCATTTTTTAAATGACATTATTGATTACCATCAAAAGTTATTTGGGAAATGTTTTGGAATTTGAAAGAGTTTTGGGTATATTAAAAAATTTGAAATATCAATGTGATATATATAGGTATTAGATGTAATGTTTTGTGTGAAAATATAGTAATATTCTATATGCAAAATAGGTATTTGATGTGATTTTATCTTAAAAAATTATGTTGTTAATGAACAATATAAAAAATTATTCGAAAATATATGTAAACAAAGCCCTGATGCCCGAGTTTATATATATATATATATGTTTCAGGTGAGTAGAGGACAAGTATCAGCCTCTGTAGGTTCCTTCTTTACATTACTTCTTATAACAAGTAGTCGTTTATTTATTTATTTTATATATATATATATATTTTTAAATATTGGTTAATAAGAATAGGAAAACTAATGAAGAGCCATGTAAGTTCTCTTGCTAAATTTCTTCAGACACTGAACAAGTTCACTTGCATTGCGCTGGCCGGTGTGGCGACTGAGTATCTTCTCTTCGGAGCTGCAGAAGGAGGTCTTGCGGATATCAATACGGTCATCTTCCTTTCCTCTATGCTCTTTATTTATCACACGCTTCCTGATTCATAATGCAACTAGTCGATTATCTGTTGAGGCATGTGAATCTTTGTTATGTGAGGAATCTTGCGATGCCGGTTACTTGCCAATTTAAACGCTTAAGAATAGTTTGGTGTGTTTATATGTGTTTTAGATGTTTTGAGTCGGAAAACTTTTAATCGAGAATAGTTTTTTAATGTAATGTTTTGAATAAAAAGAATAATTGATGTTGTGTTTGGAATGAAAAATACTTGTCTGATTTGATATTTTTTATGGGTTAGAATAAATTCAACTGTAGATTATAAAAGCAAGTCCAATGCTGATAAGAAAAAAATCAACATCTCACTTGGTAACACAATATCCCTTTTAGTTTAATATGTTGAATTCATATATTCGATATATATAGGTTTTACTGAGAGTGTATTCTTATTTTAAAGTAATAGAAGATTGCGTATTTTGTGAGAAAAAAGAGACATTTTAAAAAAATTATTATTGATGAATAATATCAAAATTTTCAAATGTTTGTAAATAGAGGTTTATTGTACATTTGGCTTGTGTTTGTAATAGTTGTTTAATGTAATATTTTATAAGCGAAAATAATATATATATATATATATATGCATCCGTTTGTTGATTGTAACTATAAGATAATTTAATACTTATATATGAGATGCTGACTTATATATATAGATAAAAAATGAAATAATTATTTGATGTGATACTTTAAATGTAAAATTATATTTTAATGTAATATAATAAATAAAAATAAATATTTAATTCGATTTTTTAAAAATATAAATAAAATATAGAATATTAAAATCATACCAAAATCTCACAAGTAAACAGAAGTAAATTTTATTATAAATTTATTCAATGATAAAACTTCGAACTGTTATTCACATGTTATATTTTTATCATTGAACGCAAATGTTTGTAGATAATACTCTCTCCGTTTCTATTCAAAATACTATTTTTGTTATTTTGTCTCATTATTTCATATTTTAAAAAAAGTAATCATACACCAATTCTAAAATATCATTACTTTATACATAAAATTAAAAGACACTTTCACTGACTAATAAAATACTATTATTTCTTAATCTACTACAAAAATTCGAATGGCTCCTTTGGATTGCCACAGAGGGAGTATATCTTTTCAAAAACGAACCTTTCTTGCTCGCATCTTTTCACTTACTACATACAAATTCTTGAATTGAAATCTTGTTTGACAGTTGGACAGATTACTTAAAAGCTTGGGATTTACTCAGAAGAAGGCAGATGGTCAAGTGAGATGGGCTGTTCTCAATACAGTCCTAACATTGCGTCGCCACGAGAGAGCTCGAGCAGTAGTAGCCGACGCCATGTCCAATGGACAATCTGTCGGCTATTGCATCGATGCCATAGAGAAGACTATTAATGTAGCCGAGTTGTAGTTTCGCATCCGGGTTTTCACCTTCCAGGTAACAGAAAGTCTCTCTACTTTCCGGTGCTTTGATTGTCATATAATCTTGTGTAGTATTCGAATGCGTCTACATATGTTTTGGACGAGTTTTGAAATTTTGGATATTTTTATTGTAATATTTTTTAGTTAAAAAAATTATATTTTGAAGATATTTATATACTACCTCCGTCATGCAAATGTGTGTTCATTTGACCGGACACGAGTTTTAATAAAAGTGTGTAATAATTACTAGTTTTTCCTTTTTATAGTAAAAAATACAAAAATGTAATGACTTTTTAATTAAAAAAAAACGAGAATATATTTTGACAACAATCCAAAAAGAAAAGTGAGATAAATTTGAATGACGGGGAATATTAAATAGTGTAAAAATAAGTATTAAGACATCAATTGTAATAGTTGAGATTTGGATAGTAAATTACTTGTGTGTTTGTTTGAGAGTTTGGATTTTGAGTTGGAATTTGAATAGTAAAAATTTTAAATTGTAATATCTGTATGATGTGATATAAATAGGTGTTAATGTGATGTTTTGAATGTAAAATTAATTTTTAGTATAATATAAAAAAATAAAAGGTAGATGTTTGATTTGATTTTTTTGAAAAAAAAATTGGATAAATAGTAGAAATCTCCCCAAAAAAACACACCTTTAGATTTTTTCAATTTGCACATTTAAAACAATAAAATAGCACAAATTGTGTTAAATAAAAGCATTTAGGTGTGTTGTATTGATATACTTCTTTGTGCTGAAATCAATTGTAACACGTGTTATTTTTGTACTATGTTAATATAATTGATGGTGTTTTTACTTGTGATGTTTTGGTTTTGGGTTTTGATTTTGAATAATAAAATTTTAGAATTGAAATAGATGTTTGATGTGATATAAATATGTAATGATGTTTTGAATGTTTTGAATGTAAAATTAGATTTAATTTTTTTAAAATAAATAAATATTGATTTGATGTTTTTTAGGAAAAATAAAGTTGAAATAGTAAAATCATGTGAAAAATCTTACAAAGTAAACAGCAAAGTAGGTCCAACAAGACAAGTCACACTAGACGAATCATGTATGGCACGTAAGACCCGGAGACGTTGAGGTTCGAACTCATGAACTCACGGTCACGAGTTCATCCCCATACCACCAAGTCATCTCTTACAAGGACAATTCATGTGTTTGTCTTTCTCTATATCGTGTGTTGTTTGTCTATATATCATGTGTTGTGTTGAACTATATCACACGTTTTATTTGTATTATGTTAGTATAATTCGTATTTGTCTGACTTTATGTAAGGTGGTGTGTGTTTTTATATGGTGTGCTATTGTTCCTATATCGTGTGATATTCGTTTGTATGTTGTGTTTGTATTATGTTAACATAATTTATTTATTGTTTGTTAACTTGTTGAATCATTTGTCACTATAGAAATCGGCACGACACAACCTGAACCGTCACCTTCGTCCCTTACCCGTGTTGTGTGATCTCTGTGCTTATATTGTGTGTTGTCGGGGCTTTGTTTAATTTTATATCTCAACACAGTAACTGCCGCCAATAAATAGAGTTAAAATAAATATAATAGTTGAATAATGCATTAGTTTGAGCTCGACTCGTTTATCTTATTAATGAGTTGGCTTGTTTGAAGTACCTATTAATTTTTAGTATATAAGACTGAAACTCAAGCTGTGTTTTTTAAGTATTTAAAATTATTTGTTTGGTTATATTTTGAAATATGACATTAATTTGAATTTTTTTTAAAAAATAGTATTGCAATGTGATGTTTTACTTGAGAAAATAATATATTTTTATTGAAACTTGTGTTAAATAAATAATATTGATTTGATTTAAGATAATAAAAGAACAAATAGTTAATTTATAGGTATTTTTTATAGTTAATTATTGAGAAATGTGAAAATATATATTTTCTTTTTTTAAAAAAAAAATTGATATTCAAGTAAATTACTTTTTATATTTTTCAAATATTTTCTTAAAGATATGTATATTTCATTTGAAAAAATATAAAAAAAGTTTTTATTGAAAGTGATCGAGAAGACAAAATAACAAACTCATATAATCGTAACTTTGAATTAAAATTTATTTGTCTCAAGATTTGTTAAGATTTGTTTATCAGTTATCACATTAAAATATTATTTAAACAAAAATTTAAATCTAATATTTTGTTTCAAATCAATTTCAAAATACAATCAAACAATGTATAAATAGATAGCTTTGGTTTAGGATAATTCAATTCACAATTTAAAAGTAACTATACTAGTAAATTTTGAAAGGATATTTAGTACATAAAAATAAGAATAGAGAAATAAAAATAACAATTTTTTTTTTGGTTTGATTGAGAAAACATCTAACAAATAAAAAGAAGTCCATAAAGTTGTAAGGGATGATAATGAGTTAGAATAGATGAAATCCGACCCGGATTCATTTATTTGGGATTTGATACTATTTTTTGGATATCAGATAATATTATTTTTTTTTATTAAGTCTAAGTTAAATATCAAATTTAAGATAGACTATTTGAATATGAATATGACCCGGACCTGATTTATATTTTAATAATATATCAGTTATATATATATAAGAATTTCTAATCATATAAATTATATCAAAAATATTTTTAAATTTATTTATTATTTTATTATACTGATATTTTTGGATAAAATATAATGTTGAGTCCGAATTCGGATCCAGATCCAATTTTAAATCAAAATTTATAATCCAATATTTGGGTCGGGTCTCAGGCCCATAGCCTAAAATGGACGGCCCCGATTGAGTCTCAGCCTCAGATGAAAGATGCACACATCGTGGACGAACTCCAAACGCGTGCAACCACGCGACTATAAATAGTGACGTTTAATTTTCCCTTCTTTGTTTATTTGTCAATCGGTTGCTGAGCTCATCAGTGACTTGACTTGTCCCCTCCGAATCAAATTTCTTCTCCCACCTCCATATGTCTCTGCAACTCTCTCCGGTCATCGGAATCCATCCTTCCCGTCATCGGAGGAACCATCCGCCGTTACCAATCGAAAACGGAAGATAGCCGATCCAATTCCGCGTCGTTTCGAATGTAGATTCGCTCAAAATGGACACTCGAATCGCCTTCTCGGATTCCAACGACGTCGCCGGCGGAGGAAGCAGCAGCGGAAGCGAATTGACGCTGTCCTTATCGACGGATCAGTTGCCGCCGGACGTGGCGGCGCTCAAACGCTTATCGGAAACTCTGGAATCGATCTTCTTCGACGGCTCTTCTCCGCCGGCTTTTGACTTCTTTTCCGACGCGCGGATGGTTGTGGAATCCGGAAGAGAGATTCCGGTGCACCGGTGCGTATTGTCGGCGAGGAGTCCTTTTTTTAAGAACTTGTTTTTGGACAGAGAGAGTGATGCGAAGGTGGAGATGAAGGAGGTGCTGAAGGAGTATGAGGTCGGGTTCGATGCGTTGTCGACGGTGCTGGCGTATGCTTATAGTGGAAAAGTTAGGGTTTCCGGCAAGGGTGTGTGCGAGTGTGTTGATGAAGACTGCTCGCATTTGGCGTGCAGGCCGGCGGTAGGGTTTATGGTGGAAGTTCTGTACGCCTCTTTTGTGTTCCAGATCAATGAATTGGTGTCAAGGTTTCAGGTATTGATAGCTGTTTCGTCAATTTACTTAGTTTTTGTGTTAATGCGTTTGGTTCATTTCATATGTATTTATCGTTCTTCGTTAAAGCTTCAAATTAATTAGGGGTGGGTTTGCAGGAGAGAATTGAATGGAAGAAAAATTGTAAGAGTAGAAAATAGAATTACCAAAATAGAGGAAGTTAACCGAGAAATGAGGATTGATTCTTGTAAAAAGAAAAAACTACAACTATTGGATTAATAGATTTAGATGTGACTATATATTATATATTGGGAGTGGAAGCTGATTCTGTCTGCTTTTGAAGTGTTTGGTAAAACAATGGTTCGTTTGACATTAGCGCGTTTATAGATAAAATGACTAATAAGACTATGGTAGGTTATTTTTTAAAATATTTAATTTTGTTTATTTTGATTTGAAATTTATAAAAAAATTTGTTATTAATTATTAAAAATTAATATTATCAAATATTTATTTTTATTTTTATTATTTAGATTGAGAAAACTTTTTACTAAAAAGTAATAAGTTTTTATTGAAATTATGTAAAATATAAAATAATAAATCTTTCGTATATATTTTTTTATTATGTTAATTATTGTTTTAATATATATAAATAAATTGATAACCTTTGTTTTTTTATTTGATTTAGTTTTAAAAATTTATATATTTTACAAATAAAATAATTTATCTGTAAGAATTAATAATAGTAATTATTTTAAATTTACAAAAATAAAAATATAATTTAATAAATTAAATATATTAAAAATAATTAAATATACTGCTATAAAAATATATTTATATGTATAAAATAAATAATTAAATTTTAAGGGTAAATAAGGAATAATCAAAATTAAAATGAAAACGCTAGCAGATGAGCTTTTCCAAAAAAACTCTTTCAAAAAGTTAATTTACCAAACGCCTAAATTAGCTAAAACTATTCAATAAGTTAAAAGCTCTTCAAAAAACTGTTTCCCAAACACCTCTAAATCGATTATGAGAAAAGGATGGATCATATGGTTTCAACAAGGTCAAAATACGTGAAAAAATATTATCATATGTAGTGAGTTTTTTTTTTTATTATTATTTTAATAATAATTTAAATGTGAGAATTGGAAGTAGAGAAATAGAAATAAAGTTATTTCTCTTTATGGTATGGCTAAGAGAAAAAAACTCTCTTGGGTGTGTTTGTTTGGGATTTGGATTTTGAATTGGGATTTGAATAGTAAAAATTTTGAATTTGAATAGTAAAAATTTTGAATTTGAATAATTGTATGATGTGATATAAATAGGTGTTGATGTGATGTTTTAAATGTAAAATTGATTTTTAGTATAATATAAAAAATGAAAAATAGGTGTTTGATTTGATATTTTTGGGGGAAAATTTTGGATGAATAGTGGAAATCTAATCCAATCTCCCAAACAAACACACCCTTGGATTATTTCTTTTGCCAAACTAATGGTAGAGACATTGTGCATATTGATGGTATAGTTTTACTTGCATATCTTATTTTATTTGTTATAGATCATCATATTTTAAAATTGTTAATTTGTGCATTTATTTTTGTCTATATATGCATATACATTTTAAAATAAATAATAATTAATTTTATGTTATATCTCTAGGTTGAATTCTATGCTATATCAATTCTCATTATGCAACGAATTCTCTTTCTCTTTAATTCTATTTTGACTAATTATTTTTTCTGTACCAAACACACAGTAACAATAGATCATTTGGTTGAAGTGTAAATTCCATTTTTGGAGCGAAAGAAAAATACAGAACACAACCTAATAGACTCTGTGCTAGACTAGCCAGCACTTATAACACAGTAACTGCAGACTATTCTACGGTAGGCAATTTCTTGCAGAAGATATGGGTGTAGTTTTAGGGCCATAGAAGTGATGATATAGAAATGTTTAAGACTTAAGAAACCCTTCTGGAAAATTGAATGAAGTTGAGCAAAAGTTAGAAGTTATTGGCTGATGGTGGGGTAGAGTATTATTGCCAAGAATTTGATCCTTACTGTGTTGAAAATGTAATTACTATGGACAAGATTGTGGCACCGCACCTCGACATAATGGAGTCCCTGAAAGGTTGTATAGGGCTCTTCTTGAGTAGGCACGGTGTATTTGCCCAATATAGGGCTATTGGATAGGTAGCATTTGTGTCCACAAGTTTGTTTTTATCGTAATTGCTCACCCATTCTGCATTAAATTTTGAAGTGCTAAAGGTTGGTCAGGTAGGGCCATATATTGTTTGAAATTATGAGTTTTATAATGTCCAGCATATTAGAAAGCTTGGATACTGAATCTATTCCCAGAGCTGAAAACGGTAATTTTCCTGCATATTTGTTGGAATCGAAACTTATTGGCTTTGTCCTGTGATGGAAGATGTTGAATTGTTGTAATTTGGTGAGATGTGTCATTCAATGGGAAATCATTGATAGAAATCATTTTGAGTCATCGCTCTGAACACTTGAGCAAGTTCACCAATGTGTAGGCAAGAAGGTGGAGCTCTTAAGTTGTTCACGTAAATCACCAAATCTAAGAAGAAGAAAATTGTAGTGGTTTTGCGAGAAAACGAACTTAGGAATGCATGCAATAAGGTGGAGGTCCATCTCAATCCAAGCTAGTTTACTTCAACCAAGATACTCATACTTGAGCCATCCATCCAAGTCAAGCAAGAAAGATGAAGCAAGCCAGATTCCAGTAGAGTCAAAAAATGTGGTTATTCAAAATCAAGCTGATCGTCTCGCAAGCAAATTTCTCCTCAAGCCAAGTATACGCAAGATTTTGTATCCACTTATGCAAGAACTTTTATTTATTAAATTGTAGATAATGATGAAGCATCTAATTTTTAGAGGCCATTTTTTGTAGTGAGTCTGCTATTTGAAGAGTTGCTATGATGGACAACCTAGTAAGGAATAATATTTGGCATTTGATCGAGTGACCAAAGGGATGTCGATCACTTCGCGATGCTTAAAAGATATTGCTCGGTTGACATTCTTGGATTGAAGGTTTGCCTAGTTGTCAAGTGGCTCAGTCAACAAGGTGTTATCTAGTGCTGTTGGGTATTGTTGCTCAATTTGGTTTGGAGATTGCTAATGGATGTCAAAACAATTTTTTTACTTAGTGAACTGGAAGAGGAAATTTACATAGAACAACTTAAAGGATTTGTGTTCCTGGGTTGAGATTCCTAGCTAAGTTTTGAGGGATTGGTTTGGCTCACTAAAGAGAGTCCTTTCTTTCCAACACCATCCCTGTGATGAGCTTTTCCGTATTCAGATTTTTCCACAAGATCATTCATATGGCTAAGAAGCTGAAAAGGAGGGTCAGAGAAAGATAGGATATTGATTTCACAGGCGATCTAGATAGGCTAAGTTCAGTTTCAGGCTACCTGCTTACTGTCAGAAGTTGCACGATTAGTGGGAAGGCTTCGATCCAATGTATTTTGCTTTATTTGTGATTCAATCAGAGGATGTGGCTGCAATTGAAAGGATGAACGACTTTGTCATCTAAGAATGCCACTTTGATTGTCATTGACAGTATCCTTGATACAAATTCTAGGCCAGTTAACAAGTTTCCAACTTAAGATTTTCGACTGGATTAGGTCCCAATCCATCAATTTTGTTTAGGTCATCTAATCTCTCCATGATACAGTTAAATAATAAAGTTAACTCTGTCTTTTATATTCTGCTCTGCTTGTCAGTGTGCTTTTTGCCCCATTATAACTAACCTTCCGGCCAACTTAGTATTCCTAATTTTGATTTTATCATACAAATTATAGTGTCAGGTTTTTCTTTAGTGTTCTTTACCTCATTTAGTGTTTTATTGGCATTGTTCTGAAGATCTAGAGTATCTAGTTTTTAAGAATATTCACTGTATTTTTAGGTTCCGCATCAAACAGTATTTCTGGGTTTAGTGCCTATTTTACTAACATGAATGCCTCACCCTCATGATATGGATAAGATAATAAGGAACATGCTTGATTTGGTTCGGTTTGACATTGCTTTACTTAGTAGTGCTATTCTCCATTCTATTTGTATCTGGAAATTCCAGTTTATGATTTAGCTCTAGGACCAAAGGAATACTATTGCATTGTACTCCAAATGAAGTTATGACAGCAGGTGTTGATGCTGCAAGAAGTTTACTGAGTTCATGAGGTGTGAGTGTGACTTTGAATTTATAAATCCTACCAAATAGTTTACATAATATTGATTAATAAGTTGTCCCAAATTCAATTTCAATTTGAAAATTTCATTCAGGAGATGCATCTTGAATTTAGTTGAATGAATCCTGATGTACTAATTTTATTTTTTTATTTTTCTTATTTTATATGCTTTGACATTTTTATGTCCTCGTAGAAAAATCTGATGGACGTCCTTGACAAGGCGACAGCCGATGATGTATTGATGGTTTTATCTGTCGCAAGCATGTGTGGCACACTTTGCCAAAGTTTGGTTTGCAAGTCTATCAATATTGTTGCAAAGTCTGACCTTGATATTATTACTCTTGATAAAGCATTGCCTCCTCCTCTTGTGAAACAAATAAACGAATTACGGTTATCACTTGGCATACAATCACATGAAAGCAACACTTTTCCTGATAAACATATTAAGAGGATACACCGAGCTTTGGAGTCTGATGATGTTGAGTTAGTCAGAATGCTACTCAAAGAAGACAATACCAATTTAGACGACGCATGTGCACTGCACTATGCGGTCGCTTACTGTGATGCAAAGACCACCACTGAGCTTCTTGACCTGGCAATTGCTGACATAAATCTCAGGAATCTGAGAGGATATACTGTGCTTCATGTAGCTGCAATGAGAAAAGACCCGAAAATAATAGTCTCTCTGTTGACTAAAGGAGCTAGGCCATCTGATCTCACTGCAGATGGCAGGAAAGCCCTTCAGATCTCCAAGAGACTTACAAGAGCTATTGATTATTATAAAAATGCAGAAGGGAAATCTACTCCTTCGGATCGGCTTTGCATAGAGATTTTGGAACAAGCGGAGAGACGGGATCCATTATTAGGAGAGGCTTCAATGTCTCTTGCTATGGCTGGTGATGATTTCCGCAAGAACCTGCTTTATCTTGAAAATAGAGGTAATTTTCTTGTGATATTCCAGTTGGCCTCTTTTAAAACAACGTATGTGTGTGTGCCTTAGAAGATTACATGATTGCATTGTTAAGTGAATTGCCTAAAATCTGGAGGTTTATTAAGGGCATCTCATGAATATGGCCGAAAACATTTTAGGAGTTTAAAGGATGGATTAGAGATTAGGTGGTTAGTTGCTGACCTCAACTTGAGCAAGTAAAGAGAAGATCTTATGAGATGGATTTGAGTTGTGGATTGTAACTTTGAGCTTAAGAAGAGAACCTATAATTAAAGTTCCCCTATGAGTTTACAAATTATTTGAACCGAAAATGTCATCGAAGTGTTTTGTTCCAATCAATGTAGTGACATGTGATTATCATCTTGACTTCACAACCTCTTTTTATTTTTTTTTTATTGGTGCAAATATCATTAAGTTTGTGTTTCAAGTACACCTCCCACTTGTTCATGGGTACATTTAGTTTCAGTGTGCCCAAAATTCTTTTCTAGATTATAAAATATTTCTTAGAGCAGACTAAATGTTCAAGCCAATTCCATGACTTGATATTTTGTAGTCTATTAATTAGTGTTGAGATAGTTTAATTGGTAACACAATTAAATAAACAAGCTAAAAGATGCTGTTTTTAATGTACTGAATAATTCTGTAGTGATCATCTTGGAATTCATTATGTTTCTCAAGTCACATACTTTCCCTGTATGATTCTTCGTCAAAATAAGCATGACCTCTGTTTTAAAAGACCAAGCTCCTAATGTTATGAACCTTCCATCTTTCAATTTCATAATAAAGCATACGCGACACTGTTTTTTTATTTATTCTGTGTATATTGTGTCATATTTACTTGTTTACCTCCAGTGAAGTTTGTGTATGATTCTGCAAATTTGAGCATATTGAATGTAGCCTGAGCTTCCTTTTATGATTAATTGGTAAGGATTTACATGATTGCTTTACATGCTACCTTTGAATATAGAAATTGGATATTTGTACTTTGTACTGACAGATGATAATGGTTTTGTAACAACTTCGTCTCACGGAAGCTTATCACTTACCTTTCAGTTGCATTAGCCCAAGTTCTATTCCCCATGGAAGCTAAAGTGGCCATGGATATTGCTCGGGTTGATGGAACTTCCGAATTTCCATTGAACGGAACCAACAAAAATATGTCTGTTTCTCAGAGGACTGGGGTGGACTTGAACGAAGCACCTTTCAAGATCAAAGAAGAGCATCTGAATAGGCTAAAAGCCCTCTCCAAAACCGGTATATATGTTCCTCAGATTTATTTACATTCGATACTTTTGGGTTTATTCTGCATTAGCATTACTGAAAACTGCATATTTCTGGGAAAAGATTGAAGTTCATGCTGGTACCTAATAACACTAATGATAAAAAGAAAGAAAAAGATGAACCACACTTTCTGGGCTTCAAGAAATAATCAGTCATGAAGAACATTCTTATATGTAACTAATCTTTAGTACTCTATCAGCTTTCTCCACTACACAGTCGATTTGCCTGAATATTATTACTAGCACATTGATTTTTCTCATGGTACTATGATCCTCATAGATAAGCTCGACTAGAAGCAGTCACTTTCCTTCTTGGGCACATCATCCATTCCCAGGAAATTAGTGCTTAAAACATAGAAAAGTAGCGTAATATATTGATTGACTCCATAATATATAAATAAATAAATGATGCGTATCTCTTTAAATTTAAACTTTTTAGGTTAGATAATTATTTAGCATGGTATCAAAGTCGGAACGTCTGTGTTCAGGTCCCACGTGCAAAATTCGTATGTGGTGTAAATCTACCTTGCGTGGAGGTTCATAATATATAAATAAATGGTATGTATTCTTTTAATCTTAAGCTTTTAGTTGAAACTCGGTACACTTTTAGGGCCATCACATGAAAGCAACTTCTAATCCTTGAAATTCAGCTTCAATTGAAGCAATATCACAATTTGAATTATGTATATATATCTTTTCAAATGATCTAATATAAAACCTGGTGACCTGCAATAGAAACCATGTAAAAGATTTATTTGGAACCAAATATTGTCGGTGTCGCATTAACAGGTGATGGTCTAAACTCTTTAAATGATCTCCGTACATGTTCGACTCAATATTCAACCATCTGATTTATGATGCTAAATAAAGTGAATCTCAAAACATTGCGAAATCCATCTACTTTCATGCATAATATGTCGCCTGCCCGTCATTTAACATAAACTTTTGACACAATTACCAATCTTAAAAACTTATGTTTTCTATGGATGTAGTGGAACTTGGGAAGCGCTTCTTCCCACGTTGCTCGGCTGTATTAAACAAGATCATGGACAGGGAAGATTACACCGAGATAGCTCAGCAGGGGAATGGCTCTGTCAACGATTGCCCTTTGAAAAGGCAACGGAGACAGGAGCTCGAAGAAGTTCTGAGCAAGGCGTATACAGAGGACAAAGAAGAATTAGACCGCGCAACAAACCTTACATCCTCGTCATCTTCGTCTGCGCCGATAATAAAATCAAACGGTAAGTTCACATTCGGTAAGTAACTTATATGCATACTCAATAGTTTACAATGACATCTATTTGCCTGTTCTTCAATTAGACTTGTTTTTTGCTGTTACACTATTTCTTGTATTTGTACCATAGCTCTTTGAAACCATAGTTGATAAGACTACGTAGGAGTCCCGACTATAGGAAACATGACAGTTTCTATTTACCTTGAACCAAAAATAAAAAATAAAATGTGTCATATCTTTTAACACTAGTGAACTATTGAATTTAATATTAATTGTTAATGTTAATTTTATTTATTTTATTTTATTTTGATAACATGGGAAGTACTCTTCGAATGCGCTTTGGGTAAACCTCTTGCAAAATCTAATACCTTGCAAATTAGGTCTGACAATACGAGTCACATTAGGCGAACTATGTGTAGCATGAAAGACCCAGAGACATCAGGGGTTTGAAACCGTGACCGTCAGGCCATCTGTTACAAGTTACAAGACAAATTAGATAATGTAGTTTTAGAGTTGCAATATTAAACCATAAAATAAAAAAATAATAATATTAAAAAAAATTAAAAAAATTGTTGAATTACTTAAGAAATATGTTGAACAGTGTTATGTTATATGTCCACTTATTGAGTAATACAAAACAAAAATATGGGTCATGGCGGGGGTTAGAGTTCTGATTTAATATAATTAGCATATATACTAATGTTTTATACCTGTGTTGTGTGTTATATGTTCATATGCTATCTATAGTATTTTCATGTGCTGGTTGGGACAATCAACATGCAACATGCAAAATTTGTTGAACCATATGTAAAATATGTTAAAATCAAGTCATATTAATAGTTTATGTGTTGAATAATATATCTTATAAACAAAGTATAAAATCAAGTAGAATTATGTTATATTGAGAGCGCTAACGAAATATAAATTGGCATCCTATGGCTTGAACTAAATCAGCGTGTGCCGTGTAGATTGTTATCGTCTATTGTCAGTATATATTATACATATGTGTTGCGTTAACATGCACCTTATGACTACCGCTATCATTTCATACACTGTATTCATTATATGTTAAGATGCACTTTGTACAGTCAGTTTACATTTCATATGATGATTATGACTAATTAGTACTCTAATATTCACCATGCTATCCTAGACATGAATATGAATATATATATATATATATAGAACCACATATACAAAATTTGAATCAAATAATGCATGTGCCTTCACTCTCAAAACTTCAATAGTCTCTGTCTTAACGGAAGACTTCGGCGAATGGGGAAAAATAGTCATGTTGAGAATAGTAATGCATTTAGTTTGTTTGATATAGAGCTATTAAACGAATTGATCAAGCTCGAATATCTGTTGTTACAGCTTGCTTTGAACGCGCTATCAGTACATACTCAGCTTTACTCATTTGAGATTCGAACTAAAATGATGGCTCGAGCTTAATTTGCAAAGCTCAAACTTGAGCTTGAGCTCGGCTCACAAAGTTCGAACTCGAGCTCGGATACATAGTATATATTTTTTAATATATAAAGTAAATAGATATAATCTTATTCACAATTATTATAATGAAATATTAAAATTTCATAAATAAATGTAAGTTTTGATATAAAATTTTATATATTACTCCCTCTGTCCCGGGTCAGATAACCTTTTTACTTAGGGACATTTTTAGGTAGTGTAAATTAGTAAGTTATTAGTAATAAATTATGATATTTTTTTATTATTATTATACGAATAGTGTTGTTGTTATTCTAAATATTTTTAACATTATATATCAATAAAATATATACAATATATATAATTTGGTAGAGAATAAAAGTCTGCATAATATAAATAAATAAAAATATATATTTATATATTTATTCATTACCATAAATTAGTTTTATGAAAAATGGAACAATTTTAGCACTAAATAAAAATATTTGTTGAAGTAATAAGAGATATAGAAATAAAGAAGTTTTGAGTGGTCCTACACGTAAGAGGTTGATATTTTAATTAAATTGATTTATATTTGTTAAGTGTATTTAAGATTGATAAATTTACAAAAAAAAATCAAAAGAAATCATCTTTTGAGGACGAACAAAAAAAAAAGATCATTTGTGGTGAGACAGGTGGAGTAGTATAAAATATTACAAATATATCATTACTAATGAGTTGAATCGAGCTATCTGCAAGCTGTACTCGAGCTCTGTTCGTTTATCTCTATAAACAAGTCAATCTATTAACAAATCAAATCGAACTTGCCTAAGGAGCTACTTTATTCGTTTAACAATTCTAGACTGTTAGTTCAGTTGATGATAATTGTTTTATTTTTTCACAGAAAACTACTTTTTTTATCATTTTTTAGTATGACGTGGGAATCCGCAGTCGTTTCTATCGAAAGTGCGCACTGGATAAACCTACGACCGAATCTAATACCCTGCAAACTAGGCCCGACAAACACAGAAAGCCACTTATTATTTAATGGAGTATTGATCACTTTAAGAGTGCTTTTGACTTGCTAAATGAGATGACATGAGATTATAGTGATGGATCTCGCCCATAGCTCTTTTCCTATTTGTGTTTTTGACTAACTTTAGAGAGAAAGAGATTCTTGAACCACGTCATTGATTTATTGCTGCCCCCCACCCCCACCCCCACCCCCCCAAAAGTCCATCCCCACTTTATTAAGCTTGTGAGGTCGATAGCCTCTCACCCGTGGCACTTCTTGAGTGATTTATTATTATTATTATTATTATTATATAATTTGAAGTTTCTAGGTAGCTAGTGTCGTGTGTATATTGTCATGATATGTGATGTGATAAAATTGACCAATGAGCTTCTTTTGTATTGATATGCAATCTTTTTTTTTCTTCTATGTGAGAGTGACATTTTTGGATTGTTGGCTATGTCACTTGTTATAGGAACATAGACAGTCTTGTTGGGGCTTTTATGGAAGGGGTTCATGTGTGTATGTTAATAGGAAACTTCTTATTTAATTAGTATTTTAAATATATATATATATATATAGAGAGAGAGAGAGAGAGAGAGAGAGAGGGTAAAATATGATGAATATTGTGAAATATGATGAATAGTGTGAAATATGATGGATTGTGGCTTGGATTTGAAAATTTTGTTGAATGAAAATTAGGGATGTGTTTTTCTATGTTATGAATTGAAATTTATTTGAAATATAATGTTTATATGAGTTTTTGTTTAAAAAGTATTTTAATATGATATTTTTTTTGTTTGAAATAATTGTATGTGTAATGGTATATTTTTAATTTAAGTAAAAAATAAGGGTATTTTGATAGAAGTACACGATTGTTTTTTAAAAAATAGATAAATGACTTTGAAATGAGACAAATAAAAATTGTAAAAATGGTATTTTAAATTGGTACGGAGGGAGTATATATTTTTATTAAAAATTGTACTAGGTTAATAATTTATTTCAGTTTAAAATAAAAAAAAACACTTATTTTGAATTTGAAAGTATTAAAAATGTTTTATGAAAAATATATATACACATGTATGTTTCGTGTAGTGTAAAATATGATCTACACACATTAGGGGTGTATTTGATTTTGTATTTAAAGTTTGATGTGATTTTTGTAGAAATAAATAATCTATTTTTATATAAAATTGTAGTATAAAAACTAGAGATAATAGAGTTTAGGTATTATATATTCTTTTTATATTCCCTCTATTAGAGAGAAATATAATTATTTGCTTTCTACATAAATATAAAAAAAAATATAATATTAATTAGTAAGTAATTAAGAAGTGTATTAGTAAAAATAATTATAGATTAAGATTAAGATAAGTAAATAGTTTAATTAAAATTAAAAAAATTATAAAATTTAAAATTTAAAATGCGATTAAAGTGCATAATTATATTTCCAAAAATAGAAAGGACAAGTTATGTGAGACGAACGAAAATAGAAAATAAAGACAAATTATGTGTGACGGAAGGGAGTATAAAAAATAGATGTGGTAAATAGAAAGGTAAAATTATTTTTATTCCTTAGGTTTTTTAAAATATATAAAGTGATTATAAATATATTGAATTGTAAGAATATTATTTTTTAAAATAAAAATAAAAAGAAAATATATATATATATATATATATTTATTGTAGTTGACAAATAAAATAAAACGAACACTTTTTGTGGTAGAGTATATTGATAACATCATTATAGTGGAGAACAAAATATAGATAAGTGAACGTGCAAGGGGTATGGACTAAAGAAGGTAGAAGTCCGTCCGTGCACGTGCGCGTCGCGTGAAAATGTGAGCCCGATGGTAGGGGCGGTAACTGTTCGGATATTAGCAAATATGCAGGTATTTGATATTCAAACTGAACAAATATCCAAAATTGCTAACGGTGTCCGAACCGAAAATTTTGATTAATCGAAAATATTTGCAATATTTGAAAATAATTAGAATCGAACCGAAATTAAAAAATAATATATTAAAAAATAATTTAAATTCTAATTAAATCAAAATATTTGCAAATATTTCAAACATTTGAACCGAAATCGAACCGTAATCGAAACGAATATAATTATTAATATAAATTTTAAAATATAATAATATAAATATATTCGGTTCGGTTAACCAAACCGAAAAAATATCAAAAATTAAAATCAAATCGAACAAATAGCAAATATACAATATTTATATTCGAATCGAATTTACTCGATTAACCAAAAATTCGATTCCGTTTAATTCAATTAGACGGTTCGAGAGCTCGATTCCATTTTTTTTTTGCCTACCCCTACGGCCCTACTCGAGGGAGGGCCTGGGCAACTGTATCTTCCATCTACCTCATAATTTTTTTTATTATTATTTTTTATTTTTTATACATCTACTTCATAATTGCGACACAGATGGCGGGGGGAAGTCCTGACACGTGTCGATATATTGACTCTCCACGTTGTTCCTTAATACGTTTGCTTTGTTATTCAGCCTTCACTGTGGTAGAGTGATAGTAGGTCAGTTTGTCTCTGCTTTATACGGGATTTTGAAAATAATACTCTCTTCATTTCAATTTTTTTTTAATATTTTTAGTTAAAGGTATTCTAAAATTTTTACAATTTTTGATTATTTGTACTATTTGTTTTTTTTAATTTTTTCTACTGTTTTAATTATAATAGTCAAAATTTTATAAACAAAAACCAAGAATAAAATGGTTAAAAAAATAATAAATAGTAGTACTTATATTATCTAAAATATTATGTAAAAATAAAAATAGGAATCAAAATAAGAAAAAGGGAATATAAATTTATATAGAAGTAACCATTTCTTTTTATTATTATATTGGATATCCATTTTACATTACATAATATTATAATTATTCGAACTTAAAATTATTGTTGTTATAAAATAAATAAAGAAATAAAATTATAATCAATATAAATTTTAAGTTTTTTATGTAATTAATATTCTTAATAGAAATATATAGTTATTCGTTTGTCAATTTACAATGTACATATTTATTTGTCGCGATATTTAAGATATAAAGTAGTGTAATGATATTTTTTTTCCACCAATTATGTGATGTAAAGTAAAAATATTTGTGAAAAAAAATAAAAATATTTAATAAAATATTTACTTTATAACTTTTATGTTGGATATAAAAAATTTATGTCACAATATAAAATAATAATATTTTATATTGAATGTTAATTTTTTTTTAATAAATAAAATACTCTATATAGTGTATGTAAATAATATTTATAAAATATGGTGTTATTAAAAAAAATACTGAGTGAACCAACTCAATATATTATATAAACATATACATATTATATATTTTTTTATAATACTACTTTCGTCCGGCTCTAAAGATCTCATTGTGTTAATTTTTTAATATTAATTATTATATCAAAACTTAGTACAAACAAATTAAAAAAAAAATTACAAAATATTTTTAGTAAAACAATAAATTATACAAATATATGATATTTTTAGTATTAACGCAAAAGATAAATATGACCGTTAGAGACCGACTATTAATCATAAAAGTATATACAATTATTGTTGTTGAATGAATACTACACTCCAATGTAAATTTACAGCATATTTAAAAATCACATATCCACATTATTTACCATGCATATATTACTACTACTCATTTCAAACTACATTAAGACTTAACTTCACATTCGTACTTCTAAAAACTACATAAAATCCCCAAAACCAGCATAAAACAAGAACAAATATTTATATGCAAAGCACCCTTTAAAATCGTAAAAACTTACTTATAATTCCTAAGCCGTCGACGCCGGAAAACTGATCGGTTCAACCACCGCCGCCATCCCGACGCCCCATTCCATCGGTTTCGCGATCAAATCCTCGAGCTCGGAGGCAATCATCTCCGATTTCTGTTTCGTCGATTCTCCCTGTTCTTCGTCGTAAATCAAGTCGTCTTCCATTAGTTTCTCCCACAGAATGAAGTTCTCCGAGGAGTAGACGTTGGTGTTCGAGCTGCTCGGTGGATCGGGTGTTCTTGTGGCGCTGGATTCGACAGATCTTCCGTCGAACAATCGTCGTCTCTTTGAGATTCCGTTCGACACAACTGAATTTCTTCGTCTCAACCTGTTGATGACATGCTGCAAGAACAGAGGATTTTTGAGAGATTTGATCAGGAATATGATCATGTTCTTTTGCTTGGTTTCGGTTAGAGTTAGGCGATCGCTGGCGGAGTTGAGGTAATGCATCGCGTCGTCGTGTTGCTGCCGGAGCTTATTGAGTTCCCGGTGCAGCAGGCGGTGATCGCTCTTCAGTTTCTCGAGATCGGTTTCCGACGAGCATTTGGCGGTGAGTGAAGAGGAGTTGTGGAGGATTTGTGGACTCTGTTTTCTCCTTTTGATGTGCTTTAGTAAGTGTTTCTTCCCCTTTTGAAATCCTTCGTTTGCGAATTCCCATCTATCTGCATCGATCTTCTTAAATCGCTGCCAGTAATGGTTGAACATCAGTTGCAGGATATTAATCGATTTGTGATATTCAGATTTCAGCAACCGTTATGGATAAACAGATTCAAATGTTTTTGGATCAACTTCAGCGATTTTACTTTCTTTTTTGAGAAACAGTAAGATCAGAATCGAAAACAGCACAGATCTACTGGAAGCATAACAAAGCATAGTAAATCATCATGTAGAAGCTTGAATTAAACTGAAGCTACTAAAAAGTGATGATCGTTTGTGATATTCAGGTTTCAGCAAATTGTATAGCTAAACAGATTTAACCTCATCAAAACTTTTGGATATGTTTTTTCCCGAGAAACAGTAAGAACAGAATAGATAACAGTACAAATCCACCGGAAGCATGACAAAGCGGTGTAAATCATCACGTAGAAGCTTGAATTAAACTGAATCTACAGAAAAGTTAGAAACGAGAAACAGAGGAATTGGATGAATTCACATCTGCGATCAATGATTAAGATGATGATAATGCTTACATAGGTGTTCAATTGGCGAACGAAGCTGGAGAAATTGTTGTGTTTGAAGTGTCTAGGTAGTAAATCGGACGAGAACTTGTGAATATCCCAAACAACGAAGCTCTTCCCCGACGAACTCCACGAGATAATGGAATCGGCGGTCGGATCATCCACCATCTCGAACGTCTTCTTCAGGAACGGCGGCGGTCCTACCTCTCTCAGGCCTTGTATCGGCTTCGTCTGCTCCTCCGCCGCCCACGCATCGTCAAAACCACTTCCGAAATACTCTTCGTCTTCCTCCAGAACTACCAATGGCTCCTCCTTCACAGTAGTGAGAAACACTTCATCGGCGCTGATTTCAGCCATTTCAGGCTCCAATCTCTCTGCGCTGCGACGATCAAACATTAATCGCTCTCCTCTGCCGGAATTGTTAGGGTTTGTTGGGGAGCAGAATCTGTACATTCGTGCGCCTCTGTATGACTTATGAGTGTGTATGGAGAGAGTGAAATGGGGATTGGAGAAGACGATGCCACGTATTTATAGTGCCCGATGAATTAGGGCCTTGTTAGGGAAATGTTTTTGTTTAATAAGACTTCTTTAGGGGTTGTTTGTTTGTGTTTTGTTTCATTGTAAGTTTTATTTTATTTTATTTTATTTTATTTTATTTTTTTCCATTTATATTGTAGTTATACGTTGAAACATTTTTTACACACAAATCCTTATGTCTAGTGCTTTTTTTTTTTTTTTTCTTAAAGTATGAAAAGATTCGATTTAAATTTAATAATAATAATAATAATAATAGTTAAGTAAAATATTTTGTAAGAAAATATATATTTTTTATTTTTTTCTAAATTTGTAACATTCAAATAATAAAATTTGAATTTTTTTTTTTGCCACAAAAATAGGTTTGAATTTGAGATTTTGATTTCAAATTTGATTTAATATGCTATTTTAGTAAAATAAAAAATATATTTATTAAAAATAACGTGAATCGAATAATATAATTTTTTTTGTTTCGAAATAAAAAATAAATAAATTTATATATATTTTTTTTGTGAACGGTTGATTTTTTATTGCATATATATACACATGCAAAGACAATAATTTTTATTGAGACAAAAAGTACTCCCTCCGTCTGAACTATAGTTTTAATTAGATTGTGTACAAGATTTAAAGAATATTGATAGTTGGTAAAAGATTTTTTTGTCCTTATGAATATATTAATGTAAAAAGTAGTGACAATTGTGTAATAAAAATGAAAAAATATAGGTAATTTTACAGTAATATAGTTATTTATGAAAATAAAACTATTATTTTAAAATGGATAAAAATGATAAACAAAACTATTCTATTTGAAGCGGAGGGAGTATTAGTTTTTAAAATACAAACAAAACAAATGGGATCACAATATAAATACAGAATAATACATCCAAACACGGCCTTGAAGTGTTTCAAAAGCATGCGCTGTGCAAAACGACAAAACCAAAAGAGTAAAGTGGGGCACAGCAAAACCGCTCCTGATAATTTGCCATTTGTAGCAATTCTCAGCACGGACTTAAACCACATCTTCCCATGTGTTTACATCAGGTACCCTTACTTTCTTAATTTCCACTTTGCCCCCGAATCCCACAACTTATTCTAAATTCCTCCGTTCAATGTCTCGTTATTTGCTTCAATGACACTGCTGGTTTTGAAAATTTGAATTTTGGTGGAAAGTTAACTGATGAATAATAAAATATTGTTTTGTTGTAAATTTAATTATGATTTAATATATAATTAATTAAGATAAATTCAAATATATATTTTAATAAATATATTTAAAATTGATGTCATGTGTAAAAGAAATAAAAATAATAAGAATTTGATTGGTCGTGTTCTTAGGTTTTTTGAAATAATAATAAAAAATATTTAAAGTGCTATAAATAGATTGATAATAGATTATTTAAATAATAATAAAAAAAAGAAAATGTATATGTATTTTTTAGGAACAAATAAAATAGATTTATATATACATGTAGTAAAAAATGAGACGATGAAAACACAATCACACAAACCTTAACTTTTAAAAAAATTATAAATAAATTATATATATACATAATTGTTGGACATGAGTCCAAAAGCATCCGAACTTGAAGCAGACTCAAAGATGAAAGGGGAGCCACAACTCTTTAGCTACGGAGCCGCTAAACAGCAATTGAACTTCATGTCTTGGAGCCAAAGACTGCAGCCTCCACAGAACCGAAGACAACAACTTCTATTGGATTGTGGTGCTTCCACATGATCGAAAACAGCAGCCTCAATGGACCTTAGGGCAGCAACTCCTTAGACTATCGCACTTCCATCCCAGAACAATGTTTCCATAAGGTCATAAATTTGATATCTCCATTGGGTTGAAAACAACTATCTCTATTGGACTGCGGTGCTTCCACAAAGTAAAGGAAGGTTGCCTCCACAAGATAGAAAGCAACAACTTTCACAGATCATAAGATAATTACCTTCATTGGCTATGAGTTAATAATTTCATACTGAACATTAGTGGAGAGCCTATGCACTTTCATACTTTATTCAAAAAGCTCTATGGAACAAGCCAACAAGAGGAAAACCAAAGATTCAATCTAACTCGAGGCTGTTGGGGACACATTACCGTGGAGCGGTTAGGAGTACGATGGAAACAAACCGGAGTAAGCGACAGATCTGGTCTAGAGGCAATTGAAGAAGTTCGGAGCAAGTGAAACAAGGTTCAAAGACAATGGAAGTGATTGAGAGCTGATGGAAGGAGGTTACTACGTGGTTGATGGAATGAGGTTGCCATGTGGTTGATGGAAGAAGGTTAGTAGGTGGTTGACGGAAGGAGGTTACCAGGTGGTTGAGAGATGATGAAAGGAGGTTACTAGGCGGTTGAGAGTGGTGGAGGAATAATTGGAAATGCTTATTTTTAGTGGGAAGATGCGGTATTCTATCTTAGGATTAAAATTAGGAAAAAACACATCACACACACAATAAGATGAACTCGCATATTTATCTATTTCATTTTCGTAGTTTTTAGTTTCCATTTATGCATTTTAATTCGAATTACTTGTCTTTATGTTTCTAGTATATTTTTATCAATTTTCCAGTAGATTTATCCGAGTTTTAGTAGATATTAGTTTAAGGGGGTGTTTGGCAAATAGCTTTTTGAAGAGCTTTTAGCTTATTGAACAGGTTGTAGCTGTTTGACCAGTCAAAAAGCTAATTTAGGTGTTTGGTAAATTAGCTTTTTGGAATAGCTTTTTGGACCCAAAAAGCTAATTTCTGAAAAGCTAACTTACCCAGCGTTTTGAAATAGCTTTTTCTGTAAATTTTTTTTTTATTCCTTATATGCCCTTAAAAATTTATTATACATTTTACACAAATAAATATATTTTGATTATTTAATAATTATATTATAATATTTTATTATATTATAGTTTTACTTTTATAAATTTAAAATAATTAATTTTTATATAAAAATTATTTTAATTGTAAAATATATAAATTTATTAAAATCAACATAAAATAAAAAATATAAATATTAATAATTTATTTTTTTTATTAAAATTACATTATATAAATTTTATACTAAAAATAAATTAAATAAATTAAATTTATTGAAAATTATAAATATAATGAACTAATCGATAACTAACATAATAAATATATATACGAAAAATTTATTATTTTATATTTTACATCATTTTCAATAAAAAAAACCATTTATATATTTTAATAAAAATATACTTATTATTTTTTAAATATAATTGTAATAAAAATAAATACTTTTATAACACTTTTACAATTTTCAATAACTAATAACAAAAAAATTTAAACATTCTAAACTCAAAAGACCATAATTGAATATATTAGAAATAAAAATAAAATAGAAATGTCCTCAATTGTCATTTTACGTATAAACAGCTAATATCAAACAGTTGTTTTACCAAACATTTTAATACAAACAGCTAATTGAATCAGCTAATCAAACCAGCTAATTGAATAAGCTAACAGCTATCAGCTAATTAAATAAGCTAACAGCTAACAGCTATGAGCTAATTGCCAAACACGCTCTAAATCCATCGAAATCGGTCGTCTAGGCTCGAAACCCCGTTTAAGATTGAAGCCGTGCAGGCTCCACCTAGAGAGCCGCCCCAAATCCGACGACGGACAGGCTCTTTGGAGTACTTCTGGAACCCACACCGGAAAACTATTTTGGAACTTTCGAATTTTATGATCCAACAATAATTAATACTTTATTTATTCATTTTAAAAATATATATTTATTTTCGACGTAAAATTTAAAAAATAATAATATTAAATTACAGTGAATAATTAAAAATAACGTAAAAATAATTATATTTTTACTTTTTTATAGTATAAAAATAATAATATAATATAAACTATTTTTTTATAATAAAAATAGAGTTTATAATTACTTAAAAAAGATAATTATTTTGTAATTTGTAAATAAGAAAAAAAAAAGTAATCCAACTCAAAATACTACATCCTCCAGTTAATTGACCCGTTACTCTCCACCCCGCCCCAATTGATGAGGATGGCCCGGCCCATTAATAACAGCCACGGCTGGGCCCATGCAATATTTATCCATCTTTTTTCTAGTTATTATTTGAAAAATAAAAAAGAAAAAATCTCAAAATTTTAATAACTTTTTCTTTTTTTTTTTATATTTACATTTATATTATTTTATATAATAATTTTGAACAAAAGTAAGAACAAAATAGTTAAAATTATACCATTTAAAAATTATATTAGATATCAATATAATAAAAATATTAATACGAAGTAAATATTATTTGTAAATAAGTAGGGGTATAATAATGTATATTTTTTTTATAAAGCTGAAAATTCATGGGTGCTATTCGAAAGTTTTAGGTATAATAATTTTTTCTCTGTTTTAAATATAAAATGATATTTTTAGTAAAAAAATAAAAAATAAGCATTTTATTTAGTACTCCTTATATCCCTTAACAATATATTCATGTCATTACATTTATATCATACAATACTATAGGATTGATTTAGTCTTTTTACATTTATTTCTACTTTATTCTAATATAATACTAATATTTCTAAAATTTCGTACAAAAAAACAAATAAATATATAGATATACTATTTTAGAGGAAATTCTTTTGTATGAATAGATCAAAATATTTCAGACAAACACATCCTATAAAAACTCTAAAAATCAAACAAATACACCCCACGCGGAATCCAACGTGGAGGCGTTTGATTGGCTGTCTCCAAACGGGCCGAACCGCCGTAAATTTATACTCGGCCCAGTTTTAGCCAAAAAATGGATCCATAGCCTAACACGTCTTTAAGAGTCCACTATAAATACTGCGGAAACGATAGGTTATGCTTCGGCTGCCTTTTCCTTTTTCATCCCTCTTTCAATTCCCCCTTTCGTCACTCTTCTCTCTATAGCCTACTCCGTTAGGGTTTTGTGCTTTTGAATCCATCTGTTAGGGTTCTTTTTGGTCGGCGGACGAGAGAATGGGCAGCAACAAGGACAACTTCGACGTTTCCGATCTCACCGCTGGTAACTGGAGTTCTTTTTTTTTATTTTTTTTGTGGAGTTTTGATTACGGACGGTTTTGATTTGGTTGAAACGAATTGCAGCCTTGAATGCGGGGGACAGAGCCGAGCTTGTTAATGCTCTCAAGGTTCGTTAGTAATTTTGCTTTGTTCCGACGGTTGCGATTTGTTTTGGTGCGGTTTGTGGTGATATGTGTGGTTAGTGATTGTTGGATTGTGGTTTGCGCTTTTGTTGAACAGGATAAGCTTCAGGATCTCGCTGGTAAGCACTCGGATGTGCTCGAGCATCTGTCTCCCACTGTCAGGAAGAGAGTTGATGTGCTGAGGGAAGTTCAGGTTTGTGTTCTTGCGTTTTTTTTTTTTTTTTTTTGGTCTCGTTTTGGATTCGTTTTTTGAAAATGATTTTACTATACTTTTATGGATAGTCGGCTTTGTAAGATTTTGATTGGTTTGCAGTAGCTCTTATATAATTTGTAGAAATGCTGTACTAAATCCGTATAATGCTGCCTGATATGAACAGTTACTGTTTATAAGATCTGTTTATGTGTGTGTGTGTTTTTTGTTTTTTTTTTCCCCTTAATGTGAGAGGAAGGAATTAAGATTATGTGGTTGTGATGTAACTTTGTTAATATTTTAGCTATTGATAGTGTAATCAAATTGGCTCATAAATGTGTTTTTAGTTGATTTAGTGCATGGTTTATATGTTTTCTGGCACAGTGTCTTATTGATTTATGTGCTTAACATTTACAGTCTCAACATGATGATTTGGAGGCAAAGTTTTTCGAGGAGAGAGCAGCTCTTGAGGCTAAATACCAGAAATTGTATCAACCTCTTTACGTGAAGGTGACAATTGGTTATTGCTTCTCTTTTTCATTTGTTGAGAAGGATTAACCCTCTTTGTTAGTTCTTATATCCAATTATTGTTTTCTAACTTGGCAGAGATATGAGATTGTGAATGGTGTGGCCGAGGTGGAAGGAGCTGCTCCAACAAGTGATGAAGACAAAGATGGTAAGGGTCTACTTTGGTACCACTTCAGAGCTTTGTATTATGTTACCCTGTGTTTGATTAATTACGAATTAAACAGAGAAGGGTGTGCCTGATTTTTGGCTCATTGCAATGAAGAATAATGAGGTGCTTGCTGAGGAGGTGCGTTGATCGTGAAATATATTTGCATTTTCCTTCTGATTTTGTTTTGGATGATCTTCTGCCATTTGAATCTGACTTGCTTTTTGTGTTGATATCGACATTAGATATCCGAGCGTGATGAAGCAGCCTTGAAGTTCCTCAAAGATATAAAGTGGTCCAGAATTGATAACCCCAAAGGATTCAAGCTTGATTTTTACTTCGAAACTAATCCATTCTTTAAAAACACCGTTCTCACCAAAACTTATCACATGATTGATGAAGATGAACCCATCCTGGAGAAAGCAATCGGGTAATACTTTTTATTGAAGTTATCTTAATTTTATAGTGCACATAATTGTTGCAAATCAATGATGAGAAGTTTCTTGCTGTTTATATTTCAGGACTGAGATCGAGTGGTATCCTGGAAAATGTTTGACCCAAAAGATTCTTAAGAAGAAGCCAAAAAAGGGGTCGAAAAATGCTAAGCCGATTACCAAGACTGAACAGTGTGAAAGCTTCTTCAATTTCTTCAGTCCTCCTCAAGTTCCAGATGAGGAAGAGGATATTGATGAGGATGCCGTAAGTATTAGCTGTTTTATATTAAGTTTTAATAATATATATTTTTCGTATTATTTCATATGTTTAGAATATCACCTCTTTATTCTTTTTCAGGCCGAAGAACTCCAAAATTTGATGGAACAAGATTATGATGTTGGGTGAGCCAATAGCTTCGTGTAACCATCTGTTCATGAGATAAAAAATATTAAAATTTTTCTTTATTGTTTTATATGAGGATGAAATAGTTGTGATATAACTTAGGAAAAATTAACCTTTGTTTAATTTTTATAACCAAGGCTTATTGAGTCGTCGCCATGTTTCGTACTGCTATTAAATGGCTTTTGGAGAATCTAAACTTGTTTTCTACAGGTCGACCATAAGAGACAAAATCATCCCTCATGCAGTTTCATGGTTTACTGGTGAGGCTGCTCAAGACGAGTATGGTGATGTGGGCGATGACGAAGACGATGAACTCGATGAAGACGACGATGAAGATGAGGATGATGAGGAAGAAGATGAGGAGGATGATGAAGATGACGACGATCAGGAAGAAGTTGTGACGAAATCCAAAAAGAAGGTTTAAAATTATATATATATATTTTTCTTCGTCGTTAGTATTTTTTCTGAACACTAACCATGAATTCTGTCCTTTTTCATAAACCCTTATCATCCGACAGCCATCAGTCGTGCGCAAGGTACAATCACATCCCTAAACTATTCAAATTTCTCTTCAATGTTCCTTTATAAAACAACAATACTGATTATGTTCGATGACATTGCTTGCAGAAAACTGCAAACGCACCTTCCGGCGACGGACAGCAGGGCGAGAGGCCTCCGGAGTGCAAGCAACAGTGAAAACGTGGATTGATCATCAGGTATTCTATGATTGGAAATCGTCATTAAAAAGTCCATCCGTGTATCTAGAGACGGTGTTTTGAAGTCTTTTGTCGCTCTCCTTAAGTTGATTTGTTCTCGGTAAAAAAAAAGGATTATTAAAATAGATTGTTGCCATTGCTGTGTTAATTTTCGTGCTTGCTGGTTGGGTCTTCTTCTGTTGTTTATTGGAGAGAGTATGCCTATAAATTTTGTCCATTTATGATTTTGCTGTTTCTATTTCCAGCCTTCGTTATTTGAACATGTTACTGTCGAGTTCTTATTGAAAATTCTTTGGTTTGGTTCTTGCTTCGGCTCCGATTCTACAGTAATATTATCTGTGTGTGTGTATATATATATATGATTTTAGTGAGTTGTTAGGGTGTGCGGTATGGGATGAGTTAATTGAAATAATGTGCCGACAGTTCGTGCTTTACATCTTTGATCAATAGTAGTGCGCGTTGATCTCTTTTATTGTTTTAGGACTTTAGACCTTGTTTGAAAATAGTTCTGCAATTAAAAATTTTTTGAAGTGGTTGCCTGATTCTCCATGGTGACATGTGATCATCGCCACATAGATGCCATGTTTCACTGGAAATTTTTTTATCTTGGTAAAATGTTATTTTAGCCTCATGTTTGACCTCTTTTATCAGTTTAGTACTTTAACTAGACTATGTTTGAAAATATTTCAGCTAAAATGGTCCACTGTGTCACTGATGTGGTGATGACATGTCAGCTGCTTTAGCTGCTTTATTGCCACATCAGCAACGGTGGACTAGCGTAGCAAATTCGGCACTAAAGGACTATTTTAGCGAATTTTTTTACTTAGGGGACTATTTTCAAATATAGTCTATTTAAGTTCTGAAATGATAAAGTTAGCTAGGGTCTAAATAAATCCACAGTTTACCCATATTTTATTTGTATTAAAGTCAAGTCTCTCTATTTTCAATTTTTTCTTTAATCCTGATCTTCAATATTTCTGTATAATAATGACATTTAGTTCAGTAGTTGTTATATGACAATGATTTTTTAGCGTCGAATATTTGTCCAATGATGGGATTTGTGCTGCAATTGTATCCTTTACTTGTTAATATTATTATTTTATTTTCGTGACAGCTATAACCAAATGTCAAAGGGCATATGTCATATGTGTATGTTTTGTATTAAACAATATGTATATTTTTTTAGAAAAACCAAAATTTGTGTTTTCTATGTGATGAATTAATTTGAGTAAATAGACATATTTTGGTATTATTTTTCATAATTAATAGGTTCGAATTATTATTATTTTAGTCTTTAAGATCTCACCGGTATCTCGTGATGAAGAACCGGTCCAGGTATATTGCTGATTTTATTAATCTATTTCATGTTTTTTTTTCATTTAATTTTACAACTTAGTCCATTCAAAGCTCTCCTCCCAATTCTCTTTGGACATGCACTTGCACATAGAATTGTCAATTGGTCTATTCGTGTCGGATTGAATACTTTAAACGGGTTAAATTTATTTATTCTAATTCGATCCGTTTATTATCGTATTGGGTTCAGGTTGATTTGTGGTAACCCGTATATATAATTAAGTCAATTTTTTATTGAAATTAAATAAATTTCTGTCTTATTAGTTTTTATTGGTTTTAGTCTAAAGTAGGTTGAATTATTTAAAATTGAATTTAGTTTAAATTAATTTATGAAACAATTATTGAATTATGATTATTTTACATATATAATAAATATATTAATCAATATTAATATATTATAATTGGGTTGTTATGTCGGGTTCGAGAGAGCTTCAACTCTAATTTGAGCCGTTCATTATAGTGTCGGGTTCGTGTCTATTCGTATACATAATTGAGTTGAAATTTTTGATCCAAATTCAATTATTTTGTGTCGGGTTAGTTTTGCCGGCTCTATTTGCACATGCTATATTATTTTATGTCATTCAATTTTATTGGATATGTTCTTATTTTTTTTTAGTAAAAGATTATACTCCATCCGTGTCTTATTGAAAGGTTACTATTTTTTATTTTTGTCCAATTGAAAGGTTATTATTTTTTATTTTCGTCCGTCCCAAAACAAAATTAACATTTTCAAATTTAGTAATTGTATTACCTATTTAACATAATAAATATCTTTTCAACTTACAATATATTATACAAATGCTATTATTTTTATATTACACCATACACTAATAGGTGTATTTTTGTTTTTTTTTTATTATAATTCAATATAATATTAATATTTAAAAATCTACGTGTGCTACGGAGAGAGTATTATATATTTATAATTTTTTATTATAAAAAATAAAAAAAGTTTACATTCAAATTAAAATGAGTTTGAGAATTATGCAACACAATTAAATAATGGAAGGAGAATTATGTCTTCTACATAGATTACGGGTATTATTGATTTTATTTATTTATTTTTGCTTATATAAATATATTATTTTACCTACATTATTTCTTTTAATACTATTTATGTGAGATTAAGATAATAATATTTTATTAATTGTATATGTTTAAGACGACTGTTAGCCTGTTCTTATAAATATGTGCTATTCATATAAATGATTTTTTGTGAGAGAAGATAAAAAGTACTTCTTCCGTCCCACAACAAAGTATTCATTTCATACAATATAATAACTAGGGTTAATTTAGTCTTTTTATTTTTATTTCTACTTTATCTTAATATAATATTAATATTTTTAAAATTTCATGCAAAAAGCAAATGAATATATAAATATGGGACGAAAGGAGTATAATATTATTTGATTTATTTTTTTATTTTTTATATTGTGCATAAAAAATTATTTGAATGAACAAAACCAATATTAGCCAATTTGTATTACCATATGATGCTTCAAACATTTTTGTCCCTAAGATTAAGTGCGCTGAGAATAATAAGATTTAAAACTGAAACCATATGTAATGTAATGTTAAGAGGACATCTAAACAAATTCAAAGGCTGTGTTTGATTGAAAAGTTTATTTATTATCCCAAAAATATTAAAATAAATATTTATTTTTTATTTATTACTCCTATTACACTAAAATATACTCATTTGGTACGAATCAAAGTTATTCATTATGTTATTTTTGTTTATCAAAAGTATAAATTAAGTATCTCTTAATTAAATATCAAAATACTTTTACTTATTAATATCACATTACACTAAAATATTAGTTGAAATTTACAAATATCATTTAATATATATTTATATTTTATTAAACAATTATTTTGATTTAAATTTTTAATATTCAAAATTCAAATTCATTCAACCGATAGAATTTTATATTTAAAAATATCACATAATATATATTTAGATTATATTAAATAATTATTTTAATTAAATTTTTATATTCAAAATTTAAACTCTAAACTTAAATTTACAACAAAATATTTCTTGTATTTGATGTAATATTTTCAAATATATATATATAGATATATATTGTGTTATTAATCAAAACTTGTAAAATTCTTTAATTACTTACAACAAAAATATTATACATATTTGTTAATTTATACCTAAATTAACAAAAATATTCCCATTTATTTTTTTAGTTTATCATTTTTAAAAATAAAATATTTATTTTTTCTTAATTAAGGTGCTTAGACTCAAATCTTTTAAGTTTACAAGTAATATATTATACATATTTGTTATTTATACATTACTTAGGCTATCTTAGCCTTTAAAAAATAAAAAATAAAAAATAAAAAATCTTAAAATTATTTAACTAAATAAACAAACCTTCAAAATATTTTCAATTCAACCTAAATAAAGCCTAAAAATGGAACCATTGCCAACATAAAAGACAGCACCCAAAACCGGAGGGAAAAATTGGTATGCACAAAGAACAACAAACCAAAGCAATAACATAACAGGTAAACCCTCATAAAACCCTAGAATTTCGCTGCCTCTTTGTCTCCTTCCCCAAATCAATTCCACTTCAACAGCATCAAATTCACCATGTTCCCTCCCAACCCCGCTCTTCTCTGGCCCCTCCGCATCGAAGCCTCTCAAAATTTCAGCTCATGCGACCGCTGATACAGATTGAAGCAATCGAAGCACCGGAAAAAAAAGGCGCGGCATTGGTTTCCGGTTTTTGGGTTTTTGGTTATTGTTTGTTTGAATTTTCAGTCCCTGTTCTAAGTCGGGGATTGGAAATGGCGCGGGTTCTTCGAAATGCCTCCGTTTTGAGACGCTCCCTGTTTTCTCAGTTGCAGGTATTCTTTTTGGTGTTCTTTAATGTCGTTGTTATGCGTGCTGTGTTCTTATTTATTTTTGTTCTTGAGCTCATTAGCTATCTCCTTGTGTTTATTGTATTTTGAATTTATTTTTGGGTATTGTGCAGAAATGTTGGGATATTATATCAATTTGGAGTGAATAATACACTGTTTATAATGTTTCTAAACTTTGATTTGATGTGATTATATTGTTGTTACTGCAGTTGCATAATTCGATGAGTGAATTATTTGGATCATCTGTGCAGATGAGGGGTTTTGCAGCCAAAGGTACTTGAAAGTTTCAGTGTATGTTCGTTTTCTGCGTTGGTTTATGTTTTATTATCTCGTTGGATTGATTCCACAGCAATATAGTGCTCGATAACACCGGAATCGGCTCCTTTTTTCTTTGGATTTTTGATTCAGGTGTAACAAAAGATGATAACAATTTAAAATTGGATTCGATTGAGTTGCTTTTCATCTTTAAATGCCGACCAAGTAGAGGGTTTAGGGTTAGATTTGGCGTGACAGTGGGGCTGGGGCGTCATTGGTATTCGTATGCACAATTATATATGGAGCGCAATGTGTAGTATAGATTACGTGTTATTTGATTTGGTTTTTTTTTTTTTTTTGTGTGTGTGTGTGTGTAATATATTAAATGAAAAGTAACGTTTGATTTGATGATTTTGGGGGAAGACAAGTGATGAATAGGGTTGGACCATATTCAAACCTTAAAAACGAAAAAAATACAGGTGTGTTCTTTAAGGTTGGATTTGGGTTTTGGAATAATATACATTTGAATTGAAATAGTATCTTATATGATGTAAATAGGTGCTTTTTGTGATGTTTCGAAGGGAAAATATTTTATTTGCGTAATTTATTAAATGGAAAATAGGTATTTGATTTTTTGGTCTTGAAAAATAGGTATTTGATATTTTGTTCTCTCTGTTGCTTTCTTTTCCATTTTTTGTTTTTGTTTTTGTTTTTGTTTTTATTTTTTGTTTTGTGGCGATTGAGTTGTAGTTGAGGACGAATTCCTAAGTCATGCATTCACTATGATCATTCAGAAGCTTTTATGTGTTATCAGAAAGTATTGCCTTGAATTATAGGATCATTTTAGTATTTTCTTTATTCTAATTATAGGGAAGAAGTCGAAGTCAGATGCTAGTGATTCAGGTGAAGAGAATTTGTCCAAGAAAGATTTAGCATTGAAGCTAGCTATGGATCAGATCGTCTCATCATTCGGAAAAGGGTCCATTATGTGGCTTGGTCGGTCGGATGCTCCTAAAAACACTCCTGTGGTGTCTACAGGGTCATTTTCTTTGGATCTTGCATTAGGGATAGGAGGGCTACCTAAGGTATCGTACAACTTTTAAGGGAGTAGGTGGTATTTTTGTTGAAATGTAATTTTGCAATTCAGATGCGGCATTTGGATATTTTCGTTAAAGAATTACCACTTCTGAGTCGAATTATATGATGCAACATTTAGTGATTCTTTGTTAATTTTTTTTTTAATGTTCAATGGTGCACCAATATTACATTGTTGATTCTCTTTTTCATTAGCGATCGCATATCTTGAAAGTACATGTTACCATAGTCAGAAAGTGTATTTTGTAACATATGTAGTTATTTAGCATACTAATAGGTTGTGTTTGTTTGGAAGTTTGGATTTTGAGTTGGGATTTGAATAGTAAAAATGATGACTTGTAATAATTGCATGATGTGATATAAATAAGTGTTGATGTGATATTTTGAATATATAATTAATTCTTAGTATAATATAAAAAATAAAAATAGGTGTTTGATTCAATATTTTTTTTTGGGGGAAAAATTTGAGAAAATAGTAGAATTTTGACAAAATCTCATCAACGAATAGACCCATAATATATATTAAAGTGTACGAGGCTTTTTGTGTATGTATGGTTTCAAAGTTTTGAAATTTTAACTCTTATTAGGGACGCGTAGTGGAGATTTACGGCCCCGAAGCTTCTGGGAAAACAACCCTTGCTTTGCATGTGATTGCAGAGGCTCAAAAACAGGGAGGTTAGTTATTTGCTCTTACTAGAAATCATCGTTGAAATTTTTTGTTATGCAATAGTTCGTGTTCATGCTCAATAATATCGGATTTAGTGTAATAGATAGAACTTATTTTTCTTCTTGCCCTTGTCGCGTACAGGTTATTGTGTCTTTGTAGATGCAGAGCATGCTCTCGATCCAACTCTAGCCGAGGCTATAGGAGTCAACACACAAAATTTACTTCTTTCACAACCAGACTGTGGCGAGCAAGCCCTCAGTCTTGTTGATACATTGATACGAAGTGGTTCTGTTGATGTTGTCGTCGTAGATAGTGTAAGTTAGATTGCATGATCTCTTACAAGGATTCCTTAATTTTTCTTGGTATAATCTTTTCTTTTTTTTTTTCGTATCTTGCAGGTCGCTGCTCTCGTCCCTAAAGGCGAGCTCGATGGTGAAATGGGCGACGCACATATGGCGATGCAAGCAAGACTCATGAGTCAGGCGCTTCGCAAATTGAGCCACTCGTTATCTCTTTCTCAGACAATATTAATTTTTACTAATCAGGTATGGACATGAACTCTTGTATAAACTTGACATCATTTTTTTTTATCGAATTCTTTTAAATTTAGCTTTAACATTGTCTCATCTCTAAGCTTCTTTCTATTACGTGAGATTTTAGGTTCGAGCAAAGCTGAGTACTTTTCCGGGATTCGGTGGCCCCACAGAAGTTACTTGCGGTGGAAACGCCCTGAAGTTTTATGCCTCCGTGCGTCTCCATATTAAGAGAGTTGGGCTCGTTATGAGTGGGCGAGAGGTATACTTTCTCTACTTTCTTCCGGTTTTTTCAAAGTGCATAAATATATTTCTGAGTATGTTCTCTTCCTTAAAACCGTAATTGTTTTTACTTATACTCCCTCCGTCGTTATAATGCATGCTCAAGTATTTGAGCGCGAGTTTTATCGAGAGTAGGTAATAATTGTTACTTTTTATCTTTTATAATAAAAAAAGTGCAAGATGTAAATACTTTCTCTGTCCATGAAAAATATGCTCGGATTGGTTGAACACGGGATTTGGATGAACATAGTATTATTTTGGTCGATTGTGATATAAAGTAAATATAGTTTGGAAAGTATACAAGTGAGTTAATAAAGTGAAACATGTTTTGATAAATTGAGTATAAATAATTGCGGACATATTTGTAAATAAGTGTAATTTTTGTTTTTTGTTATAAATAGCATTGTTTCTTACTAAAAAGAGATGAAAACAATTTTTTATAACAACTTAAAAAAAATGAATATAGATTTGAACGACGGAGCGGAGTAGTTTAAATAAATTGATTTTGCAAATAAGAGTTTTTATGATGTGTGTTTACTTTTTATTTTGCTTTTCGAGTGAATAATTATTGTACGTGACGTTGTGCACGGAAAATTGGATATTTTCATATGAAATCTCTACGATAAGAGTCTTAGGATAGACGAGAAACCTGGTGTAATAACTGTCTCTTCGACTTTTTACATTCTGTTTTCTACAGACCATAGGAAGCCAAGTCAGCGTCAAGATCGTAAAGAACAAGCACGCGCCGCCATTCAAAACCGTAAAATTCGAGCTTCAGTTCGGCAAAGGGATTTCCCGGGAAGCTGAGCTCATCGAATTGGGAACCAAACACAAGCTCATCACCAAGGCCGGCGCATTTTTCTACATGAATGGTTTACATTTTCAGGGCGCGGAGAAGCTCAAGAAGTACTTAGCTGAAGAAACGAGCGCCAGAGAAGAGCTAATCGCCAATTTAAGACAAAAACTTGTAGGCGAACCGAACTTAATCCAAGAAGTAGAAGAAGAAGAAGAAGAAGAAACTGTTGTTACCACTGACGAGGTTGTTGAATCCAACATTACAGACGAGGAATCCGCTGCTGTCGAGGCGTTGTAATGATTCGTCATTTTCATCGAGGTGAATCTTAAACATTTTGGTAAAAAGAAGGAAGTGATCGATGCTCGATCTACTGCTTTGCTCGGAAATCTCTCCTCGGCGGAGGTTAGTTTTATTTTATTTTTTTAACTTGCTGCATTGTGTATGCTTTTAAAGATTTTTATTTTGGTGTATATTCGGCGAGGCGTAATATCTTCGGATTTGTTCGAAAAAATCTATCTTTCATGTGTCTTTTTTTTATAAAATTTGTTCGGACACAATGTGCACTTCTCTAAGGTTAGGTCTCCCCCTTTTTTTTAGCATTGGTAAATTTTGGATTTTGGGCGTTTTTTTTTTTTTTTAAATATGAAAACTAGTATTTTTTTCGTCCGGCTTTAAGGGTCTCATTTATTTATTTTTTTGTCATTGTACTTAATATTAAAAATATTTTTATATTTATATAAGTTTTTACACAAATGCGATTATAATAGTATAATAAGATACTAACAAAAGTATTTTATTTTATTTTTTTTTAAATTTGTACTACGTTTTTATATGATAATTAATATTCAAAGATCAATACGTAAAAAGTAAATGAGATCATTAGAAACGAACGGAAGTAATATTATTTGATAATATTTATAAAAACTAGTGTTATTAAAAAATTATTAGGTGAATAGGTTTTTTTTTATAACGTGGCAATCCGCAGTCGTTATACGTCGTAAATTCTGATCGGACTTAATATTCTGTAAATTAGGTCCGACAAGGCAAATCACTTTAGGCGAATTATGGTAAAGTAGATGTATTTGTAAAAAGAAATGAAGTTCATAGTTGTTATGATCCAAAATAGAAATGCGAGTGTAATATAAATATTTAATAAAAAGAATAAATATTTGATATTATGTTATTTTTAAAAAAGTTAGCGTTAAAAGATAATGTGTATGTAAATTTGGAGATTTGTATGGAGTTGTTTTTGTTGTATGGATAATTTTGTTGTGATCTAAAAATGATTTGAGTTGGAATTGAAATTATGTGCCTCTAAAATGTTATTATACTTAAAAAATCAAGTAATATACTCTCTCCGTTTCATAAGAAAATATTTATTTGTTTTTTGCACTTAATTTTAAAAATATTAGTATTATACTAGAATATAGTAGGAATAAAGTAGAAATGACTAAAATAACCTTATTAGTACGTGATATAAAGGTAATGACATGTGTGTAATATATTAGGGTATTTGTAATGTTAGGTAGATAATACAGTTACTAAGGAAATGAATACTTTGTTAGGGGACGGACTAAAATGAAAAAATAAATACTTTATTATGGGACGGAGGGAGTAATTTGAATGTTTATTTATTGATAATTTTATTTTAGTAAATAGTAATTAATTTTTATATTAAAAAATATTCTTATTTTTTAATTTAGTACAATGTAACGTGAACAACATGAGATGTGTTAATTTATTTTTTAAATTTCTAATACATATTAGGTTTTGTGCAAATAATTTAATGAAATCTTCTTACCTTTTTTATTTAAATTACATTCAAAGGCATCATCATTTTATTTTACAATTTATTCATTAGGGAGCGTTTTTAATATATGCTTATTTGTTTAGGCCCATATATACAATTATATTATTTTAATATAAAAATAAAATATAGGTATTTTGATAATTTTATTAAAAAATTGATAAAAAAAAAATTATTTATCAATAATGTAATTTATAATTTCGTATCAAAGCATTACTATTATTTATCAACAACCTTCAACAAGACACGCCCTTAGAATTTATTCTTTTAATATTTATAAATTATTTGAAATTTTATTTTAATTATTAAAAATTATAAAAATATTTTGAAAATTATTATTTTCTCCGCTCGTCTCTAAGGATTATATTTACCTTTTGCGTAATTGTACTTAACATTACAAATATTTTTATATTTGTATAATTTTTTTGTAAAAATATTATATATTAGTATTATAAGACATTAATACAATTATTTTTGTCATTTTTTTTTTATTTATATTACATTTTGATATAATGATGAATAGTATTAAAAAATTAATACGACAAAAAATAAATATAGCCTTTAGAGTCTGGCGAAAATAGTATTAAGATGAAATAATTATATTATTTTTAGATTTTTGAAAAAATAAATAATGATTTTTCTTTTTTCATTATTTTCAGAAATAATGTTAAAAAAAAGTATAAAGCAGTCAATTGAAACCAACAATTATTTATTCTAAGTCAATATATATAGTTGTTCTTTGAATTAATTTTCAGTCAAACATTGCCATTTTCAAGATTCCATTAGTTGTATTTGTTTTTCTGTGTACTACTGTTGAGAAATTTTGATTAATTACTGAGAATGGTAAAACTATTATAGAAATTGTGGAAGGTATATATTTTTTATTTTGAGATGTTTTGCGTGAAAAAAAAAATACTATTTTTATTATGCCATTTTATATTTTCTTTGTCCAAGAACTATATTCCGGCTTGTATTTGGCATCGGATTTAAGGAATATTGATATTATATTGGTAGTGAATAAAAAGTATGGGTAAAATATATTTTTGTCTTTGTGAGTGTATTAGTATAAATTATAGTAGCAATTGTGTAATAATAATGAAAAAGTAAAAGGTAGTTTTATAGTAATATGATTATTTATAAAAAATGAGACTATTCTTTTAGAACGGACAAAAATAGTAAACAGAACTATTGTATTGGGATGGAAGGAGTAATTGATTTTTCGTAGGGGTGTCAAAAGTAAACCCGACCCGAAAAATCGAACCCGTTCGACCTGAAATTTTTCAGGTTCAGGTTTGGATATTTCGGGTTTGAAAAAAATCGGATCGACCCGAACCTTCGTGTTCGGGTCGTGTTTCGGGTTGACCTAATAACTTGAAATATAAAAATCATGTTAGATTTTGGGTTTCGTGTTTCGGGTTGACCTGAAATTTTTATTATTATTATTTTAATTTATAATATTTATATTATTTTAAATATAAAATAATATAAAAATTTTAATAAAAATGATATCTTTAGGCCAATTTAATTCTTTTTAAATTTTCGAGTCTGTTTCGTGTCGGGTTCGTGTTGTGTTTGTTCGGATTTCGGGTGACCTGAAACTAATTCAGGTCAACCTGAATCCGACCTGAAGGAATTCGTGTCGTATTCGGGTCTAGAGTTTCAAGTCAGATTTCGGGTTCGGGTTGATAATTTTTTTGTTATCCCCATGGCTCAATCCGACACGAACACAACCAAAATATACGAATTGACACTCCTAATTTTTCGATAGTTTTTGTATTTATCCATAATTTTTTTTTCTATTTACTCTATTATTTTTATTATTGATTATTTGATAATTTTTATATGAGTATATTATGTTTTAGTTTCATATCTCACACTTTCTATCATTTTTGTAAAATGTATTGTATATTTATTATATTAATATAATTTATATGTTAGTATTTATTTTTCTATCATGTATATATATATATATATTATCTTTATATTTGGACTATCAACGCTAATTGAATTTTAAAATACTAATATTTTTTAATTTATGTACAAAAAAGTAAATAAATATATGGCAGGTGGTAAGGTCTTATGCATCATTTAATCAGTTTCATTGTTAATCAAACCATTCATATTAATTGAAGATAGTTTAGGTATTTAAAAAATAAGTAAATGGCATTTCAATTAAGAAAAAACTTATTATATTAAGGATAAATTATATAACACACCCTATATTTTATTTATTGCATAAAATTGAAAGTTTGCATAGAACACCCTGATTGTCCAAAATTGATGTTTGGTTCAAAATAAAGCATAAAGTATTTTGTGCATTTTTAGTAAAATACAAGGGAGTTTCATATAATTTACCCTTATATAATTAGTTACGCTAAATTTGGAAATATAAATATACTCAAATTTACACATTCCAAATAAAATAATATTTGGCGTTGTCAAGTATACTGACGTTACAACAATAATATTTTGATGGTTAAGGTAAACTTCCTCCGATACATATTTTATTGAAATATTTTTTTGCATAATTTATAGCAATATAATTAACAATGAAACCGATCGAATAATGCGTAATAATTCAAAATAATATATTCCCTCACTTTTAATACAATAGTTTTGTTTATCATTTTTGTTCGTCACAAAACAATAGTCTCATTTCCATAAATAACCATATCACCGTAAAATTATTCATATTTTTTCATTATTATTACATAATTATCACAACTTTTTACACTAATATACACATGAGGGCAAAAAAATTATTCATCTTTACTTTTTACCAACTACCAATATAATATCAATATTTTTTAAATTCCATACCTAATACAATAAGACTATACTTTTGGAACGGACGGTGTATCATGTATTTTTTATAAAAATATTAGGACCTTATTGAATCAATCAATCATTAAGTCCATTAAAAATGATGTAAGACTTTAAGTACGTGATAATAGTTTGGGTAAACTGTTTTTTTAGTCCCGTAGCTGGACCCCATTATCATTTTAGTCTCGTAAGTGGAGCCTGTCGCAAACTAGTTCCATAAGTGAAAAATTTTCGTTGTTTTAGTCCTTCGGCGCCGGAGACGCCCGCGTGGCTCACCGGAGGTGACGTGTCCGCCAGGTCAGCGACACCTGGCGGACACGTGGATTTATTTATTTTTTAAATTTTTTTTAATTGGACAAAATAAAAAAATACAAATAAAATTAAAAATAAATTAAAAATAAGTTTTAAAAAAATTTAGAAAAATGAAGACCTGGCGGACACGTCACCTCCGGCGAGCCACGCGGGCGTCTCCGGCGCCGGAGGACTAAAACAGCGAAAATTCTTCACTTATGGAACTAGTTTGCGACAGGCTCCACCTATGGAACTAAAATGATAAGGGGTCCAATTACATGACTAAAAAAACAGTTTATCCTAATAGTTTTAAAAAATTATAGAGTTTATTCTTCTAGTCTTTTAAATCAAAATTAATATTACTTTCGTTCGGCTCTAAGGGTCCTATTTACTTTTTGCATATTGATATTTGAATATTAATTATTATATCAAAACATAGTACAAATTAAGAAAAAAATTGCAAAAATACTTTCATTAATGTCTTATAAAACTAATATAATGACGTTTATATATTAATATTAAATACCATGACGCAAAAGATAAATGAAACTGACGGACGGAGGGAGTACTATTCACTGCGTACAATTTTTAATAAAAATATATTATTTTTTCTCGTAAAATATCATATCAAAAATATTATTTAAACAAAAATTCAAATTTACACTCTATTTCAAATCAAATTCAAACTACAAGCACACAAACCCTATGTATTCATGAAATAAGTATTGTACATGGTGTGTTTGATTTGTCTACAAATCCCTTAATTGTTGTATAATTCTTATTTAATACCCGAGTTAGATGATGCATTCTCTTTGTACAGTAGTATGATTTTTAAATTGGAAATTTAATTTAAATAATATCTTAATATAATAATTTATGTGAAAAATAAATATTACTATTAAAAATATAAGAACTGTACAAAAAAAATTAAAATAGCGTGCAAAGACACAAATCCATGTCCTTTCATTATTATTATTATTAGGGTAAACTATTTTTTTAGTCTAGTAACTGACTTCCTTATCATTTTTGTCCCATAGGTGAAGTCTGTCGCAAATTAGTCTCATAAGTGAAATTTTCGCTGTTTTAGTTCTCTGGTGCTGGAGACGCCCGCATGGCTCGCCGGAGGCTATGTGTCAGCCAGGTCAGCGGCATCGAGCGGACACGTAGATTTTAATTTTTTTTTTCATTTTTTAAATCTATTTCTAATTTTATTTTCCTTTTTTAATTTTTTTTATTTAGTCCAATTGAAATTTTTTTAAAAAATAATAAAAAAAATCCACGTGTCCGCCAGGTGTCGCTGACCTGACGGGACACCTGGCGGACTCGTGGCTTCCGGCAAGCTACGCGGGCGTCTCCGACACCAGAGGACTAAAACAACAAAAAAATTTCACTTATGAGACTAGTTTTCGACATGCTCCACTTACGAGACTAAAATAATAAGGGGGTCCAACTGCGAGACTAAAAAAAATAATTTATCATCATTATTATTATTATTATTATTATTATTATTCACAAATGGAGAATTTCACCAAGTAGCAATGCCAAAGCATATTTCTAAAAGAAATATTACTACATCTACTATATATTGTTTGATTATTTGCTTTTAATAGCATTTCTATAATATAATTATGAGTTTTTGGATTATATTGTTATTATTTTATAAATTATATTAAAAAACAATATATAAATAAAAAAGTATTTTTATTTTTTGAAACATTTCTAATTAAACCTAATAATAAAATATTTAAAACATGTAGAGAGTTTTGTTTTGTATTTTTAATTTGATGCATGTTTTATATTAGATATAAAAAAAATATAGGATAAATAGTTCTTTTAGTTCCGTAATTGGACCTTTGTCATTTTAGTTCTGTAAGTGAAGTCTGTCGCAAACTAGTCCCATAAGTGAAAATTTTTCGCTGTTTTAGTCCTCCGGCGCCGGAGACGCCTGCGTGGCTCGCCGGAGGTGACGTGTCCACCAGGTCAGTGGCAAACACGTGGATTATTTATTTATTTTTTAATTTATTTTTAATTTTATTTGTATTTTTTTATTTGGTCCAATTAAAAAAAAATTAAAAAAATGAAAAAATAAATAAATCCACGTGTCCGCCCGGTGTCGCTGACCTGGCGGGACACCTGGCGGACATGTCACTTCCGGCGAGCCACGCGGGCGTCTTCGGCGCCGGAGGACTAAAACAGCAAAAAATTTTCAATTATGAGACTAGTTTGCGACAGCTCCATTTACGGAACTAAAATGATAAGAGGGTTCACTGACGGGACTAAAAAAACGGTTTACCCAAAAATATATGAATAATATAGAAAATAATATTTTATTTTGGATTGTTGAATTTTTATGAATTAATTGAGTATATATATTATATTTTTTTATAATATTAATTAAAAATATTATTGAAAAAAAATTATATATATATATATATAATAGATAGATTTATAGATATGCATCATTGTGGATTTATACTTTATTTATTTATTTTTGCAACAAATAATCTGTCAATCAATAAATTCAAATTGGAAGACTTTGACTGGGAATATTTTTCATCACCTGCTCAAACTTTTCAATAATAATAATAATAATAATAATAATAATAATAATAATGATTAAGCAAATTAACAGTGTTAAATTTTTCTGTAAGCACATAAAACAATTAAACAATGTGTTTTTATTTGACAAAATATTTATATATATATATTATGTTAAATAAAAATGTATTAATGTATTCAATGATGAACTAGCTTGCGAATGTTTGGGGAGGACAATTATAAAATAATTACCAAAAATAAAAATAAAAATAAAAAATTTCACTCTGAAAAAAATATGTCAATATAACTATAACATGAGTTAGTGAAATTATATCATATGTTCTACTATCTAAATAATTAATTTATATTACTTAAATTTTTATACTCAAACAAAAGACTTCATATTTACCGGGACGAAAAAAGGTATACTATAATTCTAGCCAACAAAAATAAATTTGCCATATATATATATATCATACAATATGTTTTGACTGATGCAAACCTGCTGAATTTTTATGCTGAATAGTACATCGTGTGCTATTAGACAATACATAATATTATTACAAACAACACACTATATAGGTTAATACGATACAAATACAACACATGCTATAGTTTCAACAACCACTACAAGAAAAAATCATTTTTGTAACAAAACTTTTTTGTCTCTAAATCTACTTTTTCCGTTACCAATGACATTAGAGACGGAATTATGAATGAAATTACGTTAGCTACGTGAACTTTAGGGACGGAATTCCGTTACAAATATATTATTTTTTTGTAGTGAGCACACAATATTACTACAAACAACAACCAGTATTACTACAGACAACACATTGTATATATTAATATAATACAAGTACAACACATGAACTAGCAACATATACTATAGTTTCATACAACACACAGCAGTTGATTTTAGCACACGACATACTTGTATACAACACACTTGTTATTATTAAAAAAATAACACATACCTTTATTATACGCCGCATATGCTGTGTGTAATACTAATGAATGTTGTTTGCATATATGAGATGTGGTGATATGAAAAATCAGCACCGTAATCATTTATATATATATATATATGTTAGAGAGAGAAAAAGAAGAGAGAGACTTGCTTCTCACGTGTATATAGAAAGAGAAGTAGTTGAATGATCACTCGATCATATATACATATATATATATATTATTGAGAAGCAAATCACCATCAAATTAGCTAATTAGCATAAATCAAGAGAGGGAGGGGGAGAGAGAGGAGAGAGAAAATTAGGGTTTAGGGTTATATATAGAAGTGGATGAAGATATGGAATTAATGGAGTCTATGTTTGTAGCAGAAGAAGATCATGCCAATATTAATCGAACAGCCTTCTTTCAACACTTTATCCACTCTTTCCCTGGCTGTTCTTACATTTCTCTTTGGTCTCATCATCACCACCATCATTACAAGTATATACCTACCCTCTTTAATTTAATTTAATTTAATTATTTCTTCGTCAAATTATTTATATATATATATATTCAACTATTCGATTATTCGTCATTAATTTTATTTCCATTTTTTGCAGCACCAGCTGCTTGATATACCTTGATGGAGTCTACACACACCCGGCCCGAGCCCGAGCCCGAGCCCGATTCGACGCCTATCGTGAATCCATCCACTACGTCGATCACGGGTATGTATACACACATAACTCGTACATGAAATCCCTTATCATTTTTTGTATTTTATTTCAACCATATTTGAAAATAATCATATATTTCATTCTTCCTCGATATTTCAATCCTCTGACGAGACTTTGAAAAAGCTAGCATTTATGTTGTAAGAGAATCAAGACATCGACTTAGAATGAAGTATTTCGTCTATCCAAAATTAATCTATCTATTTTTATTTATTTTTTTATTTTTTTGATTTTTTTCAAAATCAATCTATGTATGCTTTTTCTTTTTAATAATTACAGTCTTCACAAATATTTTATCCATCATCCAAATTTATTTTCACTTTTTTTTTTGTCATCCAAATTAATTCTATACCACATTTTCTATTTTCTTTTACCCAAAAAAGTAAGTTTCTATTTTTACCTATTTTTTTAAAACTCGTGCCCGATCAAATGAGCACACAATTGATGATGGATTGAGTATTACTTTTTTAAAAAATCTTGCATCTTATATATATACTATACAACAATATCGCCAACATAATTAAATTAAATTTATAAAAATACCCACATAGATAAAATTGTACATTTATTAATCTATTGTATTATAAATAAAATATTAATATTCTAAAATCTCCATATAAGATTTATATAATTACGATTTCGATCGGTAGACGATTCCCGGGGTTCGCCTTCAAGAACAACCTTCCTTATATAGAGTTCAAGGTGGATTGTCTCCTTAGGTTTGCTTCTTCTCAACTTCAACTACAATTCTACAAGGTAATAAAAGACATACATACAATCATATATATATATATATATATGTAAGAACTTTACAATATTTATGCAAGATTTTTACAAGACATGTGTATAATTTGTGTTCATTTCCTCCATCTTTGTTGATCATTTCAGGAAGCTGGGATTAAGGTTTGATTTCTATCTTAAAATTCTTGATTCTCATTTTCTATTTTCATTTCGGAATATTCGAAGAAATTAATGCACCATCTTCTCTCACGCAAAAGTTTTACTATTTAGATTGTCGTGTTTATGGGCTGCTCCGGAGGGGAGATTGAGTTAGGCCTTTCGACCGAGTCTCAGGTAATAGTACGCACGATATATAAATATAGTCTCAGGTAATAGTACGCCCGATATATAAATATATACTCCTCCTGTCTCATTTTAATTGACAATTTTATTTTTTTTCCTATAACGATGGATATCTTTCTATTTTGGATAAAATTTATTAGATTAAAACATAATTAATAATTATAAATCAATATAATTAACTAAATAACATATAACCATCCATTTAAAATCTTTTTATTTCTATCTATTCCTTAAACATATTTTACAAAATTAGTTTATATTAATTATAAATAAATAAATATATATATTTTTTATTATAGATAATTTTATTCTCTATACATATTGCATATATTTTTCTATTGCAATATAAATTTTAAAATATGTAAATACATATTTAAAATTTATAATAATATACATTAAATTTATTTTAAAACTACTAATATTATTAATTATATAAAAAATAATAAAATAATATCATAACTGACTATTATTAGCTAATTAAACACAATTACCTTAAATACCGTATCACTAATGAAATAGGCCAATTCTTCCAGAGAGATGAAGTATATCATTACAATGCTCGTATGTATATGTTTGTCGCATTTTTTCCTTTTTTAGGTAGATCTTCGAATGGAAATCGAAAAATGGTTCCCTCTTGATTTTTCAAGAGGATCCACGCATCTCGACGCTAATCATAATTCCCACACGGCATCCTCATCGTTGTCCTTGTCGGGGGACACGACGAGCAACTATTCTTATTCGTACCCATACAACAATGTCGACTCGAATCATGCTTATGTTATCGGGGAGCCTATAAAAGAAGCATTTCTCGTGCAACAAAGTGTTGAACCGAGTTTTCGTCCGGCCGCTTTTACAATTTATCGGAAGGAAAATTCTACGGCATTCAATGACAAAAAATATAGTCCGCAAAGACAACATTATAGCATGTTCAAGAGATCGGTTTTGTTCTTTAGAAAATTGAGCGTAACGAGCATCACGAAGCAAGGAAATCGACCTATGCCTACGCAGGTAATTTATTTATCGAATAAGGATATTGTAACGATCATCATATAGTTCGGGGACAAATTGCAAAAAGTATTTCGTACATATGTTTAATTATCACTCTTTTCTTTTAATTGTCACCATAACGAAATATATCCTGCAAGTTCACAAATTTGTTATTTCAGTACATTGACCGCGCATAAATTTCACAACCCGTCAAATCCGCGTGTTGCTGCTATTGATTGACACGTGACTTAATATTGGATAATATAAAATATTTACAAAATATTTTTAGCAAAATTGTGACATGTACATGATATTTTTAGTGAAACTGTGAGATGTACATAATATATTTTGCTAGGGTGTCCATAAAATGTAAGTCACAGCAAGTGTAATAGATATATGCGGTCAATGTACTGAAATAACAAAATTGTGACACTTGTAGAATATATTTTTCTACAATGACAATTAAAAGACAAAAGTAATAATTATGTATATCTACGTGGTATTTTTTTGCAATTTTTCTTATAATTCAAATATGTTTTACAAGTGCTTTGAGAATAGTAATAAATTGAATATACAATAAACAGTTGATGCGACATAAATAGACGTTTGTATTTGATATGATATATATATATATTTTTTTTAAAAAAAAAAATAGAACAATTGATGAATACATCTAATATTAGAATTTATTTTATAAATTGCGCAATTAGGTGCATCACATGATATCCGAGAGGAGGCGAAGGGAAAAGTTGAACGAGAGTTTCCAAGTGTTGAGATCATTGCTTCCCCCGGGATCGAAGGTTTGTTTTTCTTACAATCCTATCTAAAATTTGTCGATCTTCAATTACAACGCTCTATAGTTTAAAAAAATAACAATAAAATTAAAATCAAATATATTTTTTCTCCACGGATGTAGAAGGATAAGGCGTCGGTTCTTTCCACCATCACGAATCACTTGTCTTCGTTGAAGTCTCAAGTGGATGAGCTTCAGAAAAAGAATCAAGAATTGGAATTGCTACTTTCGAGCGCTAATGTCAAAGTAGCATCGACTTCTTTTTCCCCTCTATCCTCTTTCCCAATGAATCAAACGACGAGCATCAAGATCTCAAATGATTTAGGGGTACGAGTGATGAATTTGATCGTGGATTTGAGATCGAGAGAATGTGGAATGCTCGATTTGACCAGTAAAATTTTGAACTTGTTGAAAGAGCGAAGAAATGTGAGTTTGATCTCCATCAAATCTATCACAACTACCAGCGAAGCGAATCTTATACGCGGCTTAGAATTGAGATTCAAAGTCGAGGTATGTATATATGCTCTTATTTATTTTTTTATTTTTCTCACATTTTCACCAAGGAATAATATATACATTCTAAACTCAAAAGTTTAAAAATATTAGGAAAAAACAAAAACTAATTTCTCTATCCATTAATTTTCATTATTTTTAGTCTTTTAAATATATTTTATTAATAATTTTGACAAAATCAACAAATCTTACCTTTAACTATTGTCATTTATTCAATATTTATTTAGAACAAATATCATTAACTATCTTTTTATTTTATTTTTTAATAAGTGTACATATCACATCGTAATATTAATAAAACATTATACTCTTCCCGTCCCAATACAATAGTCTTATTTATCATTTTTGTACATCCCAAAATAATAGTCTCATTTCCATAAAAATCATATCACTATAAATCTATCCTTACTTTTTCATTATTATTACACAATTGTCACTACTTTTTACACTAATACACTCACAATGGCAAAAAAGTCTTTTATTCGTATTTTTTACTCACTACCAATATAATATCAATATTTTTTAAATCTTGTGTCAAACCCAACCCAAACTATAATTTTGGGACGGATGGAATATCATTTCATGTAAAATTATCTAAATATCTATTTTTTATGATATTAATTACAAATCTATGGCTCTTTACACATTTAAACAAATTAGATCATATAAATGATATTTGTGATATATATATAATTTTATAGAGAATAAATTTTTTTATAATACATATAAATAAAAATTTAGAAATATATATGTAGATATAATATAAATTTATAATTAAATTATACAAATTAATACACATTTATATTATTATATTCATAACCATCGAATCAATACACATCAAAACTTTCAAAATCAACCAAAACCTAAACACAAAAGAAACACATAAATTAAAAATCACTTTAAAATTCAAATAAAAACCAAATTCAAACCCAAATTTTCCCAAAACTCTCGTAAAGAAACTCACCCTAAGTATAAACTCAGCTCCGTTGACGTAATGACATGTATAAAAGTTACTCATTTCGTTCCAGATTTTTGGTCAAAGCTACTGTAAATACATAAATTTAAATAAAATATAATTATTAATTAATTAAAAAGTGTATCAATAAAATAATTATTATATAAAAAATAATTATAAATTAAAATTAAAATAATTAAATAATTTAATTATAAATTATAAATTATAAAATTTAAAAATATAATTAAAATGTATAATTATATTCTTAAAAAAAATATAGAATAAATTGAAATAAAAAATAGGGAGGAGTATAATTTAAGTGTTTTATAGTGAAATTTTTTATAACAGTTATTGTTGACTATGATATGTTAAATATTTTATAGTAATATATTAATTGAAAAATAAATTTCTTAAATGATATAGTAGAAATTATAATTATAATTGAATAGTATAAATAAACAGAAAAAAAATATATTCTAAATTTAAATATTGACTATTTAATTTAATCACAAGTGTAGGGGAGGGAGTAGCGCTCCCGGGACTGCAACGCCAGAGTGGCACTATTGACTATACAAAGTGCTAAAACGTGTGGTGTTGCACTCCCGGGAGATACTCGATTGGTGAATGTTTTTACAAATTAAATATATGTAGGAAAAAAAATTCAATTTTACTTCTTTTTTTCAAGAGAATTTTATTTGAATAATCTTTTCATATTTTATTCATTAGTAATTTGAAGGATTTCTATTATTCATATATATTTTTTTAAGAAAATATTAAATTAAATATTTATTTTTCTTTTATATATTATATTAAAAATTAATTTTACATTCAAAATAATATATCAAAATATATATTTATATTATATTATATAATTATTTTAATTTAAAATTATTTACTATTCAAATCGTAATTATTAAAAATTTTGAAAAAATACTTCAAATAAACAGTGTAATATTTTTTCAAAATTATATACTCTCTCCGTCCTATTGAAAGGTTACCATTTTTTATTTTCGTCCGTCCCAAAACAAAGTTACTATTTCCTAATTTAGTAATTGTACTATCTACTTAACATAATAAATATCCTTTCAACTTATATTACATCATACTAATATGGGTATTTTAGTCTTTTTTAACTATAATATAATATAATATTAATATTAAAAAATCTATATGAAAAAACAAACGTCACCCTTCCACTAGGACGAAGAACGGAGGAAAGTATATGCAAACAAACATAAATAACACAACTACAAAACTAGAATTATATATACAAATTCTTAAATTTTATTGCATGCACCTCGTTAATAGATAATTATCTGATTTATTTTATTCCATTTTATTTTATTTATAGGGTGTTGACGATGATAGGTTTGATGATGGTGAATTCGAAGAAGCAGTAAGAAGAGTTCTTATTATTACATAACAAATAGATACAGACATGTGTATGTATATATATATAAATATGTACGTATATCTGTATTTCTTATATAATATTTTCGTGAAATATTACTCTCTCCGTCCCATATCTATATATCTATTTACTTTTTACACAAAGTTTTAGAAATATTAGTATTATATTGGTATAAAGTAGAAATAAAAGTAAAAAGACTAAATTAACCTTATTAGTATTGTATGATATAAAGATAATGTCATTTGTGTAATATATTGTAAATTGGAAGGGTATTTGTAATGTTAGGTAGATAGTACAATTACTAAAAAAAATAAAATGAATATTTTGTTATGAGACGGACCAAAATGAAAAAATGAATAGATTGTTAAAGGACAGACGAAGTATCAAAATACGCAATTTACTTGCGTTGGATTTTATATATATATATAATGTGGAAATTATAGGTCGTTATTCATCGAGTGCGTTTTGTGTAAACCCTCAGTCAAATTTAATTTGCTTTTGATTTTCATTTTATGATTTATGTTTCAATAAATGTTAATTTTTTGAAAAATAAAATGGGTAAACTTCTTTTTTAGTCCAGTAACTGGACCCCTTTATCATTTTAGTCCTGTAAGTGGAGCTTGTCGCAAACTAATCCCATAAGTGAAAAATTTTCGCTGTTTTAGTCCTCCGGCGCCGGAGACGCCTACGTGGCTCGCCGGAGGTGACGTGTCCGCCAGGTGTCCCGCCAAGTCAGCGACACCGGGCGGACACGTGGATTTATTTATTTTTTTCATTTTTTTATTTTTTTTAATTGGACCAAATAAAAAAATACAAATAAAATTTAAAATAAATTAAAAATAAGTTTTAAAAAAAAATTTAAAAAATGAAAAAATAAATAAAAAAAATTCACGTGTCCGCTACGTCAGCGACACTTGGCGGACACGTCACCTCCGGCGAGCCACGCGGGCATCTCCGGCGCCGGAGGACTAAAACAGCGAAAATTTTTCACTTATAGGACTAGTTTGCGACAGGCTCCACTTACAGGACTAAAATGATAAGGAAGTCCAGTTACGGGACTAAAAAAAACAGTTTACCCAAATAAAATTGATATTACTCATCAACATAATTTTTTAAAAGTATATTATATCAATATATATTTTCTCTTGCAATATATCACATAAGTAAAATAAATATTCCTTCCGTCCCAATACAATAGTCTTGTTTACCATTTTTTGTCCGTCCCAAAACAATAGTCTTGTTTCCATAAATAACCATATCACCGTAAAACTATTCATACTTTTTCATTTTTATTACACAATTGTCACTACTTTTTACACTAATATATTTACAAGGACAAAAAAAATTTATCTCTATTTTTTTACCGACTATCAATATAATATTTATATTCTTTGAATCACATGTCCAACCCAATTAATACTATATTTATGAGACGGAAGGATTATTATATATATATATATATATAGCAAACAAAGCATGTAAATTTTTCTTTACAAATTGAAGTGTATAAAATAATATAATCATGGTACATAAACATATTTTAACACTAAATAGTGAAGAAACTATTCTATAAGTAACTATACATGTTTAACATATGTTTCTTTTTTTAAGTTTTCATTTTTTTATTTTTTTTTACAATAATTTAAATGTAATATTTTTAAAAAAAATAATATATATATTTATTTTATTTTTTACAGAGAATCAAGATTGCTGCATTAAAAAAAAAATTGAAGCCAAAATTTAAAAGAATATAACTGTATTAGGCACTATTTAATAGTATGGTTTTTGATAAATTTTTATAAAATAATAAATTTAAATTCAAATAAAAAGTTTAATTTTAAATCAGAATCAAACGAATCAATTCTAAATAAATTAATATTGTGGTCGATATATTTGATTTCAAATTAAAATTAATATTATTTATTTAGCATGATTTTTAATAAAAATATACTATTATTTTTCGCATTACATATTATATTACTCCCTCCTTCCACGAACTAATGTCTTACTTTCCTATTTGAGACGTCCAACAACTATTGTTCTATTTCTTTTTTTTTTTTAAACATAAATTTTATATTTTTATCCTCCGTTTATTTATTACTTTTCATATCTACCATACAATTAAGGACAAATTTATCAATTCATAACAAAAAAGACAATCACCTAAAAAACCGTGCAAATATACTTTAGGATAATAAAAATTAGACGGAGGGAGTATCAAATTACTATTTAAATATAATTTTAAATTAATTTTAAACTATAATCAAATAATTTTTTTAGAAAATAATTGCAGAATCATAGTTTAAAAACTTTCACATATAATTTTTTAAATGTTTTTCGACAATTTTATAAAATTAATTAATTTATATATTAATCACATGCATAAACTGAGATGCATATTGTTAGGTATATTTTACTGGCATATCATTTTTAAAATATCAATAAATTTCTTGAATTAAATACTTTTATAGTTTCATAATTTGAAAAATTTTCCACACATCATCTCATTTATTTTATTTTATTAAAAAAAATAATAAAATTCAAAACCCATTCAAACAAAACTTTTGTGTAGTCATTGTTATGTATTTTGACTGCCGTTTTTTAAAGTAGTTATTGCACCAATTCTTGTGTTAGCCAAATTTGACCGTTATTATTTATTATTAATTAATTAATTAATTAATTAATTATTACTCCCTCCATCTCAACTATGTATTTTAGGAGAGATATAATTAGTAGACGATTAAAAATGTATTAGTAAAAATAATTATCCTATAATATAAATAATTATAAATTAAGATTAAGATAACTAATTAGTTTAATTATAATTTAAAAGAAAATAAATTAAAAGTTTAAAATGAGATTAAAGTGTGTAATTATTTTCCAAAAAATGAAAGTGACATAGTAAGTGACGGACAGAAACGGTAACATGGACATGGTATGTGGGACGGAGGGAGTATTATATATGATAAATTTCATGAATTGCACACAGATATTCCTCGTCTTCATCTTAGATAAAGTTACATTTAGTTTCGCGTGAATATTAAAAATATTTTAGAATAATAGTTAGATGAATATTTAAATTAAAAAAAAAAAAAGAAATTGCATTTTGACTTTATTTGTAATTGAATGGTATTTATATAAATAATTATGATTTAAAATATGTTTACAATAAATAGTGAGATGAATATTTAGATTAAAACATAAATTTGCATTTTGATTTTATTTGTAATTGAATGGTATTTATATAAATAAGTATGATTTAAAATATGTTTACAATTAATTATTTTATTTTTTTATTATTATTTCTTTTATATGGTGAGAGCACAAATTCTGATATGGAAACAACACAATACCAATTTATGAAAATAATAATAATATAATGTTTTTAAATATACTCCCTTATAATATTATTATATTATTTTTTATATAAATAGTATTGCTGGTATTTTAAATATTTTTAGCATGTTAATAAAATATATACAATATGGATCTCGTTTTGTAGATAATAAAATTTTATATAATATAAATATATATATAAATTATTGATTTATTTATAATTAAATTAAAATTAATTTTATAAAAAATGAATAGTTTAAAACATAGATAAAAATATATATTTATTGAGGAGATATATAAAAATAAAATGATTTTGTGTGAATCTTATTTTTAATAGGTTATAAATATAATTAAATTGATTTAGTTTATTATTAGGTATGTTTAAGATGAATAAATTTATTAAAAATAAAAATAAGTATCTTTTACAAAACCGACAAAAAAAAATGATCATCTATTACGGGACCGAGTGCGTATTTTTTTATATAATTAATTATTGTCAATTATGTACCTATATTTTTATTTAGTTGTGGCATATAATTTATATTTTAACAAAAATTATATTCATATTAATAAATATTATTAAAATACAAATTTTAGAATATTAAATGCATATTATAAATTTATTTGGTAAAATTGTTCATAACTCTGAACACATCGTAAATCTCCCATTAACTTCAAAAATTGCATGACATCCCCTTATATTTTTAAAAATATTGCATGAAATTCCTCTGTGATTTCAAAATTCAACGTACTTATTTACTTTAAAATTGCATGACACCTTTTATACTTTTAAAAATAAAACCCCAATAATACGAAACTTATAGATTAAAAATCATCTTCTCAATTATACAATGTTCTTTAAAGTACAAATGAGTGTGATGCAATTTTTAAAGTATAAAGAAAATACACTGGATTTCGAAACCAAATGATAGTTATGAACAATTTTACCAATTTACTTTAATCGAATATATATTACTCCCTCCGTCCTGGAACTAAATCCGGAACTAAATATACATTTGTTTTTTGCACGTAGTTTTAGAAATATTAGTATTATATTAGAATATAGTAAGAATAAAGTAGAAATGACTAAAATAACCTTATTAGTATGTGTGATATAAAGGTAATGACATTTGTGTAATATATTGTAAGTTGTAACGGTATTTGTAATGTTAGGTAGACAGTACAGTTACTAGAAAAGGAAATGAATACTTTGTTATGGGACGGACTAAAATGAAAAAATTGATACTATGTTATAGGACAGAGGGACTACATCATTAGCGAAACCATATGTTGATTGTTTATGGACCCCTTGATAGGACATATAATATTTCATTTCTCTAAATTTAAAGTATTTATTACCATTTTCGTATGTTTTACTTTAAACTATCACTTTTTTATTTTTAAAAAAATAATCATTAACTAATACTAAAATATTCTTAATTTTTACTTAAATTACAAACATACTACATATATATATATATTATTACTTTATACATAAATCAATGTACAAAATTATTAAAAATTCTTACATACTTCGATTAACTAATAAAATATTATTATTTTTTAATATACTACAAAACCTCAAAACCATAAAATATTATTATTTTTTAATATACTACAAAGCCTCAAAACCGTTATGACAGAGGGAGTATTAATAGTATATATTAAAATATTTTTTTTTTTTTAGAGTGTGTTCTCCAATGAGGTGTACAGTAAAATGGGAGTAAAATGGGCGTTAAACCATATGTGTTTTTTTTTTTATTATTTTTTTAAAAAAATAAAAATTTTATTTAATATTTATTATAATTAAATAAAAAAAATATGCAATATATGTCATTTTGTATAAAATAAATTTTTTTATAATACAAATAAATAAAAATTTAAATATATATATATGTTGGATATAATATAAATTCTTAATCAAATCATACAATATAAATTTTATCAATTAAATTTACTACATATTTATATTATTTTATTCATTATCCATCAAATCAATATACATCAAAACTCCCCAAACCAAACCCAAGCACAAACACAAAAGAAACAATAAATTCAAATCCATCCCAAAATTTAAATAAAAATTAAATTCAAGCCCAACTTTCTCCAAACTCCTTATTTGCCCTCCAAATATATAGGTGCTAGTTTAGAAATTCGAAAAGTTTCGGGGTAAAAGCATAATTTAGAAAAACCCTGCCCTGTTCAATCTTAACTGTGTTGGTCTTGGTGATGGTTGAAAGTATGCTAATTTCTTCGAATTTCACTCTTCCCAGCACGAGTATTCAAGGCAAGATCAATCCACTCTCACCCTGCATCACTCTCCCGCAGCTGCAGGTTCGCCATCGCTCTTATTCCTGGTGCAGCAGCGTCGGATTGAAGAGGAATCTCGTCAAAGGTATTGATTCTTATCTCAATAACAGCTGCGGTAATTGATTTTGGGGGAAAAAGTGATTCGTTTACTGAATTTAGGGGTCGTAATAGGGTAAATCGATTCGAATTTTATCGCCAGCGTTTCGTTATCCATTCGTTTACTAATTATTTCCAATCTATATAAAGGTGTTTGTGTGCCTGCGCAGTTTGATTTGTTGTTATCAATAAACCATTGTCAAGTGGTGGAGAAATTGGTTTATATTGTACAGTATTCATAAATTGTATCTCCATGGCAGTGTTCATTAATTTTTTTTTTGTAAGAATGAACAAATGTGTGTGGAATCTAATGCTTAGATTATGAATTGCTTTACTGGTTTATGCATAGGTGTTTTCAATGGATGGCTCAGTGCCTTTATTGGTTGATTTTGTGTGCAAAATGAATATTATGATTCACAAAATGACCATCTCACCTAAAAAGAAGTCATTTAACATGATATTAGAGCCGGAACGTTCATATTCGAGTCCGAACGCCATCTATTTGTCATCTTCCACATGCACGATTCGAATGTGGCGAATATCCATTTTGCCCGTGTGCGGCCGTATCTTTTCAAGTTTAAACTTTTAAGTGAGATATTTATGTAACATGATTCATGAGTTAACTGGATTTAACTGATAGGATATTGAGTGGCTTTTTACCTGTTGTGAATTTGATAGGAGAATGTACTCCACAAGAATGTGTTTCCCTTTGATGAGTAACTCGTAAGCTCTTGAGGTTAAACGTACACGGCCTAGTGAAATTTTCAACTTGGTTTAGAAAAGCACGACGAAGACTTGAGTGTAAACGATTTTCTAGGAAATATGCCTCAAATTCTCTTTTTCCATAAGGTTTGATGAAATTTATAAAAGTTGACAGCAATCTTAGTCATGGACATGATTAAGTACGGACAACCACAATTAATTAGAAGATTGTAGGATGTCGATATGATATTGGGCCACAAATGCTCCTTGATTACGCCCATGACTGAAGAGGTCACGCCCGTGATTAACACTTCCGATATCACATCTGCAACCCAAAATCTCCTAATTCATTTGGTATTAACTCCCATTTTATGAGGTTTTGAACTTCCTTTTGGATAAAGATAATATAAGGGGACATTTTGGGAGTTGTTGATTGGGAAATCCAGTTCAATAAATGTATTATTGTAACGATTCGATTCATCGAGGGAATTTCTCATTTGTTTTGGATTTTCCATGTAAATTCTCTGTTCTTTTCTTATTTACCAATATTTTTAAGCTTCAATTGTTTTTCGATCCATTTCTGCATTTACTTTTTAGGCGTAAAAATCCTAACACGATCCTACTAGGAATTTAGTTGCACAAAAATTGAAATGGATATGTGTTTATTTGATAGATATCTTGAGTTTCGAAGAGTGGTGAAAGCCTTGTGTTATTCTGTTTCCCAAATATTCACACCTTGAGTTTGTATATTGACTTGGGTCATCGCGCATCGAATAAGTCTTCAAAAGGGACTTGTGAATTTAGTATAATACCTATCTCCTCTCTCTTTGTTACCCTAGTTTTCTTAACCTTATATTCTTTGCTGAGTATTAATGCACACCAATTACAATGTCCCTGCAGCTATGCAGCAGAAAATAACAATTCCGAACAAGCGTGGGGAAAAGCTTTCAGGCGTGTTACATGAGACTGGCTCAGAAAATCTTGTAGTTCTATGCCATGGTTTTCGATCAACAAAGGTTGGTGGTGCCTTTTGGTTTGGTTACTTCCACAATTTCATCACTACAATTCTTTTGATGTTACATTTACACACCAATATTTTGCTACATCCAAAGATAAAATATTTCCTTCTTGAATAAATAATTGAAATGTTTCGTCTCATTGTATACAACAGACAGATAGTATAAGCACATGTTTAGTCTATATACTATCGTAGATTGCTACAAATTTTGGTTATATATACTATATGTATGTGTTTGTAGTATGATACTTATGGTATAAACCCGTATATACTTTTGTTTATTAATTGTTTGGAGCAAATGATTTTATGCTAAAAATCTCGAAAGTTATTTGAAATTTCATCACCTCTAACCATAACAAAATTTACATTCATCCAATTCCTAGATTTTTGTCCCAATAATTCTTTTACTGGGAATAACTTTTCTGAGTTTGAAACAAATCGAAACCAGAATCATACAACAGGGAAAAATTGTCTCTTGCCGAAGTCGCATAAATTTCAATAATCGGTTGAGGTTTCTAACATGATTGCATCCTTTTTAGATTTGGATAGGGAGGATAAAAACAAATTTAAGTAACTCTTAAGGACTCAACTAATAAAACGTAACACAATCCTCGTCTAACTAGGATTGTTTTCGGTGAGGCTCGCTACTGTTGACTTCAACCTCCAGCAGCAGCTTCCATAACAGTGTTCTTCGAAAGCTCAGCATGTTATCATTTTTCCATTATTCATCTCTTTCATCTTACTATGTAGGAATACACTATCATGGTCAACATTGCTACTGCTTTAGAAAATGAAGGGATCAGTGCATTTCGCTTCGATTTTGCTGGAAATGGGTATAGTGTTCACTTTTATTTTATTTTATTTTTTGCAGTGAAGTATGCAGTGAAAAAATTGCTGTGAGAATTGTCTAAGAACAATACAGTTACATTTTTAAATGTTTTTTTATTACAATAATTTATAATAACAGCGTGCAGTATCAGTTGCTTATTAGTGACAAACTAAACACACTTCACTTTTATCCATTTTTTCCTTACGGCTCTATTTATATGTTAATCTTGGATTAAATGTCATATTCTTGTGACTTTGAATACTGTCGGGCAACAGGATGTTTCATACCTCCCAGGTTGATAAGTTTCAACTCGAAGCTTAAAGTTCTTTTTTATTATTATTATTATTTGAACAAATTCAATGAGTTCTATTATGCAATTTTTTAACTCCAGAAATGTAAGTTCAAACAATGCTGCATCTTCTGTATGCCACAATTACTCGAGCTGATTATATGACCATTGAGTTAATTTATGGGTACCACACTGTTATCGGACACATTAAATAATTCTAAGTTTCTATGTAATGCAAAGAATCGCACACTCATTTATTCATTATTGGATGATCACTGCTGAACTTGGATTCGTATTGCATCCCTTTTCCGCTACAAATTGCACATCTTAGTAAGCTACTTGTCATCCTCTTATAAGCATCCGAAGTAAGTTTCTAGAAATGCTTTGGTAATTTTCATATCCCTGTCCTCGTTTCATGTGTTCAGTTGTTTGCAGGGAAAGTGAAGGCTCTTTTGAGTTTGGTAATTATCTGAGTGAAGCCGAAGACTTGAGGTCTGTGGTTGAGTACTTTAATGGAGCAAAGCGGTCAACTGCTGTGGTTCTCGGGCACAGTAAAGGTATACTTTGGTCTAACTGTCTTTTCATTCTAATTGATTAAAAAGATTGAAATGATCTTCCTTCTCAAGATCACATGACATGAGTTGTCGAAATCTATTGATACCTCTCCCAAATTGGATTCTCAATTGTTTCTGTAGAAACACCTCCCTCTATCATGCTATGTTAATGTTGACATTACCCAAAAACTTAATTCGATAAGAAGATTAATCATTTTCCAATTTATTTTTAATTAAATTTCACCCTCCCACACATCTCTATATTATTCATCATCCGTCATGTAAAAATAAGCTCATTTAATTTGGGCACGGGTTGTTATGTGGTGTGTATTTGTTGCTTTTTATAGTAAGAAAGTAGAAAAAAGTGATTAAAAATAGAAAATAATTGTATGATTCTTTTGCTAAAAAAAAGAAGCAAATCTTTTTTCTTTATGACAGGCAAACAAAAAAAAGAAAGTGAGCCTATTTTTTTTTTACGACCGATGGAGTATATATTTGTAAATGATGTGTTGGAAAGACTGGATGAATGCTGCAGCGCTCTTTGTTTTCTTAATAATAAAATAAGAATTCGAACTCTAGCTTTACAACAATTTGTTTGTTACTGAAGCATATAATTTCTTGAATTTAGATCATAGCTTTTTTACGGCAATGGCTGCAAAATTTACTTGATTTCTTGCTCCTAAATATTACAGGTGGGGGTGTGGTTCTCTTGTATGCGTCTCGATATCATGACATACCGGCCGTGGTGAATCTCTCCGGCCGTTATGATCTCAAGAGAGGACTTGAAGAACGGCTTGGTAAAAATTTTATGGAAACACTGAAGAAGGATGGATACATTGATGTGAAAAATAGAAATGGTAATCGTGTATACACCACTTTTTTCTCCCTATTCGTTGCTAGTCGAAGTAATGTATGAATATTTATATATGTGCTACTCCCTTCGTCGGGTAAAATTATATAGGTTTGGTTGGATACGGAGACTAAATAATTAATGATATTTTAACGTTAAAGTGAGATAAATAAAAAATAAAATACAAAAATTTATTAAAGAATTGATAAAATAATACTTAGAAAATTAGAAAAGGTAAAATAGCAAATTGGTTGTTACTTATTAAAGCAAGAGTATTAAAATCGTGAGTGGATAAAGTTAGTTATTATAAATGAATAGTGACATAATTTTGACGGATGAAGGAAGTATTATTATAGTATGCTCATAATTCTGCCTATAGATAAATACATTTCTTCCACATGGTTTTATCCGTGTGCAAATTTTTGGGATTGAAGAGTACTTCAACATGGTGAATTATTCGCCATTTATTTCATGTTTCTATGTTTTTTGAGTATATAAACTCCACTTGTTTTTTGTTTTTGTTTTTTTTTAGGTGAAGTCGAATATAAAGTCACTAAAGAAAGTATGGAGGAGCGACTCAATACAAACATGCACGATGCATGCCTTTCAATCGACAAGAACTGCAAGTAAGGTTTATATTAAATTTATCTCATTATAGTCCCTTTTGTGTGATTGTGTTTTATCGATCTTTTCTATGAAAATTGCTCACGAGCTCACCCCTACGGTTTACTCTCATCGGGAAAGACTTCTATATGATTGTCTTTCCTTAATTATTCTTGCATACAATTTAAAATGTTATTTTTTTCTTCTTTTTTTTTTTTTAATGCTAATTGTGGACTATTTGGTCGTGTTTTTTTTTTTTTTTTTTCTTCAGATGTTTTTATTTTTGTTATTTTTAGGTAAAATAGTTATTAAACGTGATACTTTGTATATAAAATGGGTATGTTTTTTTCACAATGGTTGTGTTCTTTTGAGTTTGTTCACACATTTTCACTATTTCCTAGATGCATTGTTGCCAATGAAATACATTATTTTCTTTCATATATATTTTTAAAATAACAAAAATATACATTTTTATAATATTTTTATAATTTTCAATAATTAACGATAAAAATACTAGAAACTTACGAAAACTAAAAGAAAGAGGTTGCATTAAAAAGTGACCGAACCTTTGTAGTTGTTTCTATGCTTACTCTCTTATCTTATAGGGCAGCATTCAAACATAATTTGACGAACTTTTGGTTTGTTTTCGATTTGAAATTTCTTTAATAAAAATAAATTTGACGTGACGGTGTGAATGTAAATAGGTATTTTATGTATATGATGTTTTTTTCTTAAAAAAATTATATTTTTACCGTAGATACTCTGGTATAAACACAAATCAAAACACCATTTCTTTCCAAAATTTTCCAAGTCAATAAAAAATTTAAGGAACAATTTAATGTTATTGGCTTGTGTTCATATCTTATAGTTCACCTATTCATCGTTCATCAGCTCGAAAAATAAATTGTTTGGTTGTGATTTAAAATTGATTTGAAATGGAACGTTAAGTTTGAATTTTTGTTGAAACAGTATTTTGATGTGATATTTTATGAAAAAATATATATATATATTATATATTTATTAGAAACTCTGCAAAGTGAACAACGTTAGATCTTTGTTTAAAATGTTGAAGCAACAAACCTTAAGTAGTAGTTATCTACGGCGAAGCTATACTAATGTATCGAATTGTTACGTGTAGGGTATTGACAGTTCATGGATCAGCCGACGAGGTAATCCCAGTAGAAGACGCGCATGAATTCGCCAAGATCCTCCCCAACCACAAGCTACAAATCATAGAAGGCGCGAATCACGGATATTCTTCGCACCAAGATCAGTTGGTTTCAGTCGTATTGCCCTTCATAAAGGAATGCGCACAACCGACGAACAATATATCCAAATAGGATCTTATTCTTCAAGGAGAGGTGATTTATGGACTTCGACTTGAAAGTGAAAATGTTCGTGGTGTATTGACTATTAAGCGACGTTGGTAGTTTGAAAATTTCGATAGAAAAGCTCGAGCTTGCTCGTGACCGTTCGACTCATCCTTGTTATAAAAGCACTCTAATAAATATTATTCAGGTATCGGGTCGGGTAGCCATCCCCTCAACTTTAACTGTACTTTGTGCACTCAGATCATAGGCGGAGCATTTTCAACTCATAATTTTATTTTTGTAAGAATTATAATATATTTACATATTTGCCGAATAGAATTTGACTTATCTCCAATCATATTATAATATTTTGAATTTGAATAAATATTAGTAAAATTTATTGAATTTATTAGACTATTCATGTCAATTTAACACATTCGATTTATCGTGATTTGCGGACCGAAATATTTCAGAGTCAATCTGCAACAACTCATAGTTATTGAAAGGAATGTAATCTTTAATGGTAGTTACCTTCCATGCTTATGTCAAAACCTAAAAACTCTAATTTTATCTTTGAGGTAAAGTAAGAAAATCTATCCTAATACGCTTAAATGAAGCCCCTAATTCGACATTTAAGTTGTAGCTTGCTCATATGCAAAGAGCCTTATGAAATAAGTATTTCCTCCGTTATTCAATGTGTGTTCAATGCGTAGTCATTTGACTTGGTACAAATTTTTAAGAAAAATATATAAAAATAAAAATTTTGAACTTTTAAGATTCTTTTTTATCAAAAAAAATAAAATAAATTTAAAATAAACATGGATAACACGTGAAAATAGTATTTTTGCTTTTACCATAGTGTTCTTTTAAGGAGATAAAATACATTCATAAAGGCGACTAATTTGTTTTCGTATTATTTGGAGTGAACTCGTACACATAGTTTGCTAGTATGATTTATTTAGATTTGGCCGAAAAAAAATAACAGACGCTAAATTTTCACTATCATAAAAAAGGGTAAAGTTCTCAAATACACTTCATTGTTATAGGACCAAGCTGTCCTAAAGAAATACATTTTCCGTTTGGATGTTTATACTATTTTTATTTGATGAAAATTGAAAAAATAATATTTTAATATAAAAATATACTCTCTCCCTTTCAATCGAAACGAAACATTTGCAATTTTGTAATAAATTTAAAAATACTACTCCCTGTAATAAATCAAAAAATACACTCCCTCTGTTCCGTATTCTTTTTACCATTTTCAATCTACCATCTTCAAAATATTTCTTTTCTATTTTTTTTTTTTAAAAAGTAACCGTACACTAATAATAAAATATTTTTAATTTTTTTTAAAAAAACAATTGCACATTTCCACTTCCCAATAAAATATTATAATACTCCCTCCGTCCCCCGCTACAGATAACCCCTTTTCCTTTTTTGTCCATCCCATCTTTAATGACCCATTTTTATTTTTAGAAATCAATTTAATTAAATTTCTAACCTCTTACAGGTAAGACTCATATCTCTCTCCTCAATAAATAAATATTTTTATCTATATTGAAAACTTCTTATTTTTAATAATTAATTTTTTTTTATTTATTTGTATTATATAAAATTTTATTTTCTGCAAAATTATATCCATATTGTATATATTTTATTGATATATAGTGCTAAAAATATTTAAAATGCTAATAAAATTATTTATATAAAAATAATAAAATAATATCATAATTTATTATTAATACTTTACTAATCGCGTCCTTAAGCAAATGTGTCATCTTGACTGGAACGGAGAGAATATTTCTTAATTTACTATAAAATTTCAAAAGATTCCTTCGATATAAACAGGAGTAATATTTTATTAATTACAAAATTTGATATTTTTACTTTTCAACTTTATATATAAAATAATTATATGTATAATAGATGTATTTGTAATTTAAGTAAAAGTTAAATGGTATTTTGATATTATTATATAATTATTTTTTCTAAAACGAAAAAAAATATTATTTTGAGTGAAACAAACTTAATGATAAAAAAAATATTTTGAATTGGAATGAAAATAGTAATAGATAAAAATAAAATAGAAACATGATTAAAAATTTATTAAAACATTAATAAAAAGAATAATGAGACAGAGTAAACATAATCAATATACAAATAACCAGAGAAATATTTTACTATAAATTAATCTACTACAAAATTTTAATAAATTTAATGACCAAAAATAACGTATATAATACTCGCTCCGTTCCGTTCCAATACAATAGCCTTGTTTATCATTTTTGTCCGTTCCAAAACAATAATCTCACTTCCATAAATAATCATATTATTATAAAACTACCCTTACTTTTTTATATTATTATTACACAATTGTCACTATTTTTTACACTAATACATTCGCAAGGGCAAAAAAATCTTTTACTCGTACTTACCACTACCAATATAATCAAATCATGTGCATGTGCCAAACACAACTGGACTATAGTTCTGAGACGAAGGGAGTATATATTTACATATTCATCCATACAAGATAAAAATTTACTTTTCTTAGCGAGTGTTTACTTTCAAATATAATTTTTTAATTAAAATATTATACTCCCTCCGTCCCAAATACCATATCAACATTGCCACGTCACTTTTCTTTTTTAAAAATAATTACACACTTTAATCTCATTTTAAATTTTTTAATTTTATTTTTTTAATTTTAATTAAACTAACTAATTATCTTAATCTTAATTTATAATTATTTATATTATAAGAAAATTATTTTCACATTCTGGGAGAGAGTATCAAATACTACTCTACATTTCAATAATAGTTCTCTTGATTTTTTATTTTTTATTTTTTCAATTTTTTTCACTTACATCACAACTCACAATTGCTTTTAAACATCAAATCAAACCACTATCTACCTAAAAACATCAAAACCCAAAACACACCAGCACCCAAAAAAAAAAAAAAAAAAAAAAAAAACAAACACAAACACACACAGCTGAAAATGTATGAAATTCTCTATTTACTCCTTATTTTACTATTTTAATTTATTTTTTTCTTTCAATAATATCAAATCAAACACCCAATTTTTATTTATTTTATTACACTAAAATTTAATTTTACATCCAAAATATCACATCAATACATATTTATATCACATCAAACAACTATTTTAATTTAAAATTTTACTATTTAAAATCAAAACCTAAAACCAAAACCTCAGAAGTAAACACACCCGATCCCACAAGTTTATATAAATTAAAGTATTTCGATTTCCCTCTCTAGAAAAGGGGCCAAAAAAAGAAAATACATAAACAGGGCTCCACCATTGATGAAATTTAAGGTATAAAAATACCCAATAAAAAGCTCTTTTAGGCTCTAAATTTTGGCAGAATCAAAAGCATATACATACACACGAAAAACCTTCGGCTAAACTACCAAGACGACGGCATATATTTTTCATGCATACACAAAGTATGAAGCTGTCGAAGCACATCCTACAGCAATCGAAGAAAAGGATAAATAAATAAAAATTGATGGAATACCTCAGCATCGAACATCTCCCTTGTTGTCTTTTCGTGGATGATGATGTCTACATTAGGTGTTTACGCAGCAGGAACTTTCTTCCCATCCTCGATAAAGAAAATTGCCGTCTCTTGGATCTACAAAACCAAAAGAAAACGGATGCGCCAAAAACATGAGGTATTTATTTAGATGGGACGGCAACATTAAAATGTAAATGCAGGTGACTAACAAAATTTATATTATGAAAAGAACAGTATTTGGTGCTACAAAGTAGTTTTAGAATATAAGAAACGTAGTTATTAATACTATAAAATAGATCGTAGACATACACGAATTCATTCATTACAAGATTTTAAAACTCCACCGAGACTAACATAATTTAGAAATAAAGGGTTTGCTCACTTAGCGTTTTCAGATGGAAAGATTTTTCATAGATATTATTAGAAAAATATACTCCCTCTGTCATATATATGCATTAACAAAATATATATATATATTTTATCCACTACAAAAAGTAAACAATTAAACAAAATATTATTTTTTATATTACCAACACAATGCTTCATAACTAACATAAAAAACATTACATTTAAAAACCCAAAACAGTGGCAAAGTAACATTTAATCAATATGAAGGAGCAACCTTCCTTGGAGATAGAGACATATTTACTTATAAAATTAAGGAATGAAAAAATATAAACAAATAAAATAGCTTATGAAGTTGAAATCATTTATATTGTCGACTACATAAATGTTAAAAAGAAAAAAATAAAGTGACAATTTTCTAAAAGGAAAAACCAAGGGTGTGTTTGGTTTTGAGTTTTAAGCCCAAATCACCACTATTCAGTCTTCACAGTTCTAAATAAGAATACAATATTTTTTCTCACAAAAGATCACATCAAAATACTATTTAAACCAAAACCAAACAAACAGAAAGAATCCGCTTAACAGGCTCGATCTGAACAAACAATAAACCAAGCAAGGATGTTCTTACAGATAAGAAGGCACAGATACGCAAAGAATTCAATTTTTAAAGCTCCAATAATTTCATTTATGTAGCCAAAAATAAGATAACGACCACTTGCCGAAACAGATGTGAATGGGAAATATCTAAAAAAAAAGCACCACACATAAGCACACATAAAAGCGATGGTAAATGTACAAATGAGGAGAAAAGGATTACATCTGGCCAGGTATCGGTGATGAACTCGACTATGTCATAGGCAATGTCTCCTTGAACATCAATTTGCTCCTTCTCGGTGGGGCCCTGTCAGGAAGGACATAAATTAGAGGAATGAATCAACTTATAGTTTCAAATCCTTGGGAGCCATAGGGGCTTCAAAACGACTATGCAATTTACCTTAACAACAGAAGCTCCAGTGGCAAATTTTTTGCCAAGCTTTTTCGATGCATCACTTAATTTAACCCCTGCAAGGTCACACGAGAGAAGACAATTGCACTAAGCTTTGGAAGAATAAGATATCACGGATGTATAATGCATCTAATACAAAAATCAGGCACCGAAACATCCTCACCAAAAAGGTCCAGGCCTTTAACTGTAGTTATACATTTCCTCTTGTTGCGAATCATCTTTTCAATAATAACTTCTTGTTTTTCCTGCAAAGCAATTCAGAATCCCAATATACGCCATATCAATGTTTTGCTTTACAAATACAGCGACGAAAAGATGCTATTCATTGCTACCTTTAAAATATGTTTTGCAAACTATGAATTAATTAAACATCCTCAGTTTGTCTTCGTAAACACAAATACAGCATCACAAAACAAACAGGCAAGCTTGGAAACATAATATGGTTCAAGATGCCTTTCAGGTGTAGATCCAGAATGCAGTCAAGATAGGATCCACACATTCAAGATAGAATCCAGAATGCCACCATGCAGCCTTGACCCCATTTGTCAAGCTGACCGTTAGTACAATCATCACGCACTACTGATATTGGTGAAGAAAAAAAGGCACAAATTCTTTTAAAGCTTATATTTTGTTCAACACACATCTTGTATTATTTTATACCACAACTTTTTGTTATTATATATACACAAATAATCAAAACCCGAAGCACTAAGGCCCTTGAACAGACATAATACACATAAAGCTGATGAATATGTTAAGACAAAAAAGTAGAATACAATGGTACTGATTTTGACCATAATGATTTCAGACCCGTTAGTTCCTCAAAACTATGGTAGCATGAATAACCATAAAATGTATCATGATTTTTCTGAAACCCTTAACAGAAATGACTTCTAAAAACAAGTTAGAAGATCAAAATGCAAAGAACTTTTTTTACCTTCTTTTTAATCTTCCCACCTGGCAGGCGCTTCACTTCTTCCTTGGGCTTTGATGCACTTGCTGCAAGAATGTTGCTTAAAATTAGAGAATAATTCAACCATGTCTCATAAAAGTGGAACAGCTCACAACAGCATAACAAACAATATAGTGATACAATTAGTTAATATTAAAGAAAAATGGCAATAGCAAAAATAAGTCACACATGTAACTACGTAAGGCTCTATAAAATGAGAGGGTCTACAAAGCTTGAAGGCCTAATTATAAAATCAATCATAATATAAAAAGGTAAAGAGGACAACAAAGGTATTTTAGCTGATGAATATTTATAAACAAAATGGTTATTCTAGCCACCTCTTAATAAAAGTACAAGTAGAATTTGAACAAAATCGACACATTATGCATTAACTACAGTTTATTAAGAGAGGGAGAGAGAGTAAAACTTAATATAATAGTGTAATACTGTTAAGTTTTAAAAGCGTTCCATAGGCATCTAAAGGATTTTTTAATATATATATATATATCTATATATACATACATACTAAAAGATGGATCAGGAGAAAGAATAAAAGAATGGGGTTGGTTCCATCTAGTAAATTTGTATCATAACACCAAAATAAATACATCCAAGAACATGATCTACTAGTCATTTATTCATGCAAATTAACAAATACTAATAATATGATTAACTCATAATATAACTAAAGAAAAGCAATTTCGAAAACACAAAAAATATCAAAATATGTAAGTAGAACATAGATAATTATAGAGAACGGGAAAGATATTAGGCAACTTATTTATCACCCAAATTCGACCTACTTTCCGAATTAATTATATTAAATGTATAGATTAAGAGCATGGAAAAAATATAATTACTATGATGTGTTTGGGATGGGCTACTTCTACATCTCCCTGCTGACAAATCAAGACACCGATCGAATAGGAAATTACCTAAGATGTTTCTCGGATGTACAAGCACATACTCAAACAACTGAAAATTAAAATTTTATCTCACATACCAACCCCTGGAAGCTGCTCCTATTGTTCAAAAATAAATAAATCAACTTCATTTGCAAATAAATTGATCGACTAGAACAATCAGTTTCCAACCAAACTCCGAGAGAAAATATCAAAAACGAACAATACTTCGAATATCCAATTTCTGCACCAGACCCTCAAATAATACGTCAAAATTGCAACTCCACAACACAACCAAAATTAAATATAGACAAAAAGCATTAGAAAATCACAAGAAACACAAACAATTATCAACACAGGGCTTTATTGTACCATCGGACGAAATTGAAGTGGACTGGAGCTTCTCAGATACACCATCGGCGTCCTTCGCGCCAGCCTCTGACAAAAAATACATTAGAACACTATCGGATATACTCCAGCAATCAGGTTATGCGGTGATGATTTTTAGGGTTTATGGAAGTAACCTTGGAGGAGATCTGGGTAAAGATCGGGAGCATTCTTGATCAACCAGGGTTTGCACTTGTCGAACTCGGGGCCGAATTCGCAGTACTCGGCGGGCAAACCGCAGACGCCGCAGTATAGGACCTGGACCGGTTGGGGTTTCTCCGCCATGGCCGATGAGCTCCGACTGTGGTAGTGCTCCTTTGTGCGATTGCGTCAAGTTAAGTTGGAGTGTAGACGACGCTGTTTTAAAGCGTTTGAAAAATAAATGACGCTTTTTTAAAGGGAAACACGTTTATTACCATATACAATCCCAAACATAATATTCCCTCTCCCAAACATTGTACAACGTCGATACAATAATTTAAGTGGATAGTATTAAATATGATAATTTTGGTATATTTCTTTTATGAATTTGAAAAAAATTTGATTTAAATTTGATATTAAAATCATATATGATAAAATATTTTATAAGAAAAAAATATATATTTTTTTTTAAAAAGACATTTTTCAAATAGTAAAAATATTAATTTTGTATCAAAAGAAACGTACCCTTGATAATTAAACGATATGATGAAAATATATATATATTTATTTGAATAATGTGATATGATAAAATGTGAAATAGAGATTAAATATATTTAATTATTTTAAACTTATGTAATTTTGTTTAGACATTAATATAAAAATAATAATAATAAAATTTAAATTATAAGTATTATAAAAAATTATTCAAAATTTAATTAAAAAATAATATTATTATTTTAATACTATTATTTAATAAATTATCATATTTAAAATTATTTATTATAAGTAAAATAGTATAAATTTAATTGACAATAAATATAAAAATAAAATAAAAAATAAAAAATAAAAAATAAAAAGAAGAAAAAGAAGAAGAAAGAGTGACTTTTATTGAAGGGGATTGATGATTATTAACAAGAGGATCGTTCAATCGATGAAAGTCAAATGGAGACAATTGTTTTGGACGAACATAAATTTAAAAAAAAACAATAGGATGAAAAATATATATTTTTTAATGAATTTTTTAAGATTAAAATTAATAGATTTTTGTTATATTTTAAATATTGCTTTACAAAACTATAGATGAGAAAAAAATAAAATACTGACATGTATTTTGTCCAAATTCATAACTTTCAATTTTAGTTGATTTCTAAATATTAATATTAAAGTTATTGATCATGATATTAAAACTAATAAATTTTTATATATTTTATTCGTTCAAACAAAAGGTATACATTTATTTTTTAGGCAGAGTTCAAGAAATAATACTCATTCCGTCATCTAATTGTGTGCTTATTTGACCGGGCACTATTTTAAAAAAAATATGTAAAAATAAATTTTTTTTTTTAAAAGAAAATTGGTATTCTTTTACTAATAAAAGAAAACGGGGAATAAATTTGGACGACAAAAAAAAAGTGAGAATAGATTTGAATGACGAGATAGATGATAAGTAAAAACAGTGTAATGATATTTTTGTATTTAGGGTATTTGTGAAAAAAAAATTTAAAGTATTTGTGAAAAAAAAATAGTTGTAGGTGGAAGGTGGATGGAGGGAGTATATTTTAATCAAATTAATATATTTTAATTATATTTATTAATTTTTATTTTTATTTTTTCAAAAATTAATGTCAATACGATTCGAATTCAATTTATAATGAGTGCAATATAACAAAATTTATATTCCCCAGAATCACAACAACAGGGCATCTGCGCACCCATGGCGGCTCCCCGCATCCTTCTCGCCGGCGACGCCGTCGGCCGACTCAACCAGCTCTTCAAACGCGTCGCTTCCGTAAGCTCCACAGTCTGCCACACAGATAATTGCTGCTTCAAATTATATTCGCGAATTTCAGCTCCATAATCTGCCCTGCCCATTTTTCAGGTGAACAAATCGGCGGGGCCGTTCGATGCGCTGCTGTGCGTGGGGCAGTTCTTCCCGGACACCTCGGAGCAACTGGAGGAGTTCAATGACTACATCGAGGGCCGCTCGAAGGTCCCCATCCCAACTTATTTCATCGGCGATTATGGCGTTGGGGCTCCCAAAATTCTGTCAGTTGTTGCTAAGAAATCGGCGAATTTAGGGTTCAAGATGGATGGATTAGAAGTCTTTGAAAATTTGTATTGGCTGAGAGGCAGCGGGAAGTTCACTCTCCACGGTATTTAACTAAACTCCCAAAACGTTGCTTAATAATTGTTTCCAGAGCTTATATATATATATATATATATTCATGATGTATCATTCAATTCAACCATAGATAATTGTAAATGGAAAATTGATATTTAGAGTTGATATTTATAGATGTTCAGTATATATGCTCTTGATCAATCTGCTAGATGCTTGCAAGGATTGCAGATGCTGTGAAACATTCATTGGGTGTGTTTATTTGAGGGTTTGGGACTTGAATACTAAAATTTTGAATTAAAATAATTGTATGATGTGACATAAGTAGTTGCTGATGTAATGTCGAATCTAAAATTGATAATTAGAATAATATAGAAAATGAAAATAGGTGTTTGATTTGATGTTTTTGGGGGAAAAAATTGATGAATAGTAAAATTTTGTAAAAATTCTTATAAGAACACACCCTATAGTTTGTGTCCAAGATGGATCGACTATTGAACAAATACAGAATTGTGTCTAATCTTTTGTTTCTTTGAAAATCAGAAAGAAGAAATAAAAAATAATGAACTAAGCAGGAGGCACTTGTAAGTGCAGAAATCCCTTGCTTGGATGTTCACCCTTATTTGGTTTCCAATAGCTAAATGTTTTACTTTGAGGATAAGCATGAAATGCACAAAAGCATCCAAATTCATTCGCTTAACCTGCATCAAGTGGAGAAGTTTAAATACTGTCTGTTCATAGTCTTATTTTTAATCTACCTCCAAATCCATAGATAAATTTTTACATAGGAACTGAATGCTAATTATAAAACCCCATTTATAGGAAATTGTATCATATTGCATATATTTTTTATTGTGATATATTTTTCTACAATATATTACATGCCTACTGCATGTGTCCATTTGTATGATACTAATACAAAATAACCCATGTATAGGTCTTTCTGTAGCATACATATCTGGTAGGCACTTGTCTGTTAGCCAACAATTTGGGGTATACAGCCAAGATGACGTTGATTCGTTACGGGCATTAACGGATGAACCAGGAATTGTGGATATATTCTTGACATATCCTTTTTACAAGTTCAATATTGTCCACTATTACTTCATTCCTATTTCAATGCTTTTGTAAAACTTGTTTTCTTTCATTCTTATGCAATTTCCACCTTACTTGTTTCCTTAATTAAATTTCACTAATGAATGGCCCAAGGGAGTGACCAATGGAGCTAATCCATCCAGTATTCCTTCGGGAATATTGGATTCACCTACGGGAGATTCAACCATTTCAGAACTAGTAGTAGAAATCAAACCGCGGTAAGAATTTCTTAGTTTAGTTATGTGCTGTGCTATATCTACTTAAAACTTAAAATAACAGATATAATATGATATTCAAGTATTGCACTTTATATTTTAGAAAAATCAAATAAAATTGAGGTTTTTTGAATTCGAATAGTGGTCTTTTGTTTTGGTAACTTAAACTTATATGTATTATGTAATGAAGATATAACAAAATTTGGGAGATGGTACAATCATGAAAAGAAAGAATAGTATATTGAAGGCAAAGGCACCTCTGATTTCTTGGGTTAGGATAAATAAGAAAATCAAGATGCTTCTTCCACTATGATAAAAAATAAAAAATAAAATCTTATATAAAAGAAGTGCTATCTAATTACAATGCTAAAAAGTCTAAACAAGTAGATACTTGAGTGGATGTAAATGGAAAATGGATGTTCATCACAATACAGAGTTTAGCTTCTTATGTCTTGCATCAGATTTTTCAGCCTTTTCAGCAGTTTCTGACTAGACTTACTCCTAACAAAGTTGATTCTTTCGTAGCTACCATATTGCAGGCAGTGTTGGGCTCTACTATGATCGTGAACCTTATGCTAATGCTGGTGCTGTCCATGTGACTCGTTTTATTGCCCTCGCTCCAGTTGGTAACAAAGTCAAGCAGGTATTGTTGTAGTAGTTTGAGCTTCTATGATCTTCTAAATTGTGAGTTGTTTTCATTTATCTCGTGACCTGCTGCACTTATTAAATTTTGGGTTTGCACAATGAAGAATATTTTAGTTTACTGTCTTTCTATTTATCCTTTCCCCACTTATTTTCTTCTCAGAGCTCTATATTCAAGTCATAATAGCTCATGATCTCTTATTTTTTATTTCAGAAATTCATTCATGCACTTTCTCCTACTCCAGCGTCCAAAATGTCTGCTGCTGAGATATGCACAAAACCGCTAAATACCACTTCATCTCCATATGCACTTGCAGAGCAAGATGAATCTGGCAATGGATCTGTGAAACGATCTGCCGACAGCACTTCTGATTCACAGTATTGGCGATATGATGTCACGCAGAAAAGACAGAAACATGGAGATGGTCACGGTGATAGGTTGTGCTTTAAATATGTATCATCAGGGTCTTGTCCAAGAGGCGAGAAGTGCCATTTTCGGCATGATGAAGATGCGAGGGAGCAATCAATTAGAGGCGTTTGTTTTGAGTTTTTAAATAAGGGAAAATGTGAAAGGGGCACAGATTGCAAATTTAAGCATAGTTTGCAAGAAGAAGGTCAGGGAGTTTCTAACAGGCGATCTGGCTCTGGAAGATCAAATAGGTAAAAGATAAAAATGATTTCTAGCTATCATATACTTTAGCATATCATTTTAGTATCGCATATTCAGCATATTTTTTAAAACTCATTTTTCGATAATTTTGTGGTCCAGATCCAAGGAATGCTGGTTTTGTTTGTCCAGCCCCAGTTTGGAATCACATCTGATCATCAGCATCGGAGAATACTGCTATTGTGCACTAGCTAAAGGACCATTAGTTGAGGATCATGTGCTGATAATACCTATTGAACATTTGCCAAACAGCCTGTCTCTACCACCCGAATGTGAAAAGGACTTATTTCGACTCCAGAGCAGCCTTAAAGCATTCTTCAAGGGACAAGGAAAGGAAGTAGTATTCTTCGAGTGGGTTTCAAAACGTGGAACCCATTCTAATGTTCAGGTGCATAAAGCTTTATTGATTTCATTATTCTTTCCATGCCCAGGTCTTGCTTGATCGATGCAGATTTTCTCGACATAATCTCTACTTCCAAATTATATCTTACGGTACTTCCATGTACAATCATTCCTGTCTAAGCATCATTAATCTATCCTATGCAGGCTGTTCCAATTCCATCATCCAGAGCATCTTCTGTTGGCCAGATATTTAATTTAGCTGCAAAGAAATTGGGTTTCACGTTTGAAACACTTCAAAGTAAGTCCAATGTTATCTGTGCGTCCGTTTTTTCTGAAATTATTCTCCCAGTTTGAACATGGAACTCAATCATTGCAAAAAATACATTCATCTATTTATCACAAACTGTTCTCCTTAACATTTTCAATTTCTTCTCTTTGCAGATGACAGTAGTTCAGAATGGCGTAAAACACTGCAAACTCACGTTGATAGGAATCAGAGTTTATTTTATGTGGAAGTTCCTGGGGGAACAATACTGTTGCACATTGTTGACGACAATGAAAAATTTCCTGCTCAGTTTGGCCGTGAGGTAAGTAACACCGAAAAGGATACAAATATCAAGCTCTTATCTATTTTATTATATCACTGTTCATTCTCGCCCTTTTCGTGTTGTTCAGACCACAAAACAAGTATCCCAAACCTAGTGCAATGACTCAAATCTTATGGATAGCACTTAGTCTTTCCTCTCACGACTTACTAGTTATTAGCAAAAGCAACTTTTAGTCATCGGGTTGTCTGTTTTGTTATGATTTCTTTAGTAAACACCTTAATGCGACCTCCTGTTTTAGTTGGCATGCCGGATACTTCACTCAAGCGAACTAGGAAATTAATTTTCTTTGAAACGAGAAACAACTATATGTGGTTTATTATATCTGTCGAAACTATCTGCATGGAGGAAGTCAGTTGATGACATGAATATCTGAATTTATCAGTAGGTAACTGTTAGTAGTCCCGTTCGATGGTCCTTCTTTCGATGTTTAAAAGTATTATGCATTGTATAATTGAAGTCTATCCAAGTTTTGGCACTCTCTTGGATTGCTACCATGACTATCAAACTTTGAAACCATGAAAATAAATTCAGAATCATACTTAAAGAGGATTGTCCATGATTGGATTTGGTCGATGTCACGCCTCATTTTTCCTGCAGGATTGTTACACATCCGTGTTTACTCTAAAGTCCCAAGATTTGTCGTCGCAGGTTATGGCCGGGTTGCTAAACATGCCGGACAAGGCTGATTGGAAGAATTGCCAGATGAGTAAAGAAGATGAAACAAAAATGGCTGCCAGCTTCAAGAGTCAGTTTGAGGAATACGATCCAAATAACTGATACCTTCAGCTCATCATCACTCTTGATCGGCAAGAACCTCTTTTTGCTACTCTCTACTCTGAATTAGACAAACACACATATACATATACATATATATATTTCCCTATATATCTTCAGGCCTTGATCACACACAATTCCGAAATGGGAGAGGACTGTTTATCTTCTTCATCGAGGATAAAATCACGGTGCGTTCTTCTTTTGCACTATTTTTAACTTAGAGAAGATGAGTTTGTGAATTTAGTATAAATTTAAGGTGTTGTCTTGTGCTTTTGCTTCGGAAAACTATAGATAAAAGTAGTCGGTATTCAGTATTTAGTATTCAGTGCTACGGCGATCCTATATTGAGTGTCGCCTATGCCCGGTCAGGTCACCGGGCGATGAGGCGCGCACATAGTAGCAATGTCGAACCGAGGTTAGCATTGCCAACTATGGGTACAATCTTTAACTTGATAGATGGCATTTCAAAGTTTATCCAAAAGTTACAATTCAAATGCCTGAATTTGTCTCCTTTTTTTTTTTTTTCTCTCATTTTGGAGGGTGTGGTTGGTTTGTGTTTATGTTTTTGTTTTGATTTTAAATATGGTTGGATTGATATTTGATGACAGAAAATAATGTTTCTTTTGTCCAAAAAAAAATAGTACTTTAAGTCACAAAACAGTTGCCTTATTTTTTCATTTTTATTCCATTCAAAATTTTTATCTTTTTATTTAGTAATCGTGGTCTTCATTATACAACAAAATTATCTCTATTTATTTACAATATTTAAAAAAATGTTACTATAAGATATTTAGTCATTTATATTTTACTTTATATTTACTTTTAATTTAATATTATTTTTCCTAGATTAAATGTTCATTCCCAATAAGACATCTAAAAAGACATGTCTTTTAGGAATGAGGGAGGATATGCTAAATTGGATTGGACACTAGTTTTAATAAATATAGTATTTTATCCGTCCTATATATTTTGTAATATTTTTTTTTTTGGGTAGTTAACATAGTTTGCAACATTTTCGAAATATTTAACTCTTTAATAAATATATAGTACTCTTTTTGTCCGCCTCTAAAGGTTATATTTATTTTTTGCGTCATTGTAACATTAAAAATATCTTCATATTTGTATAATTTTTTTGTACAAATGTCATTTTATTAGTATTATAAAAAACCAATTGAAGTATTTTGCAATTTACTGCGTTTTGATATAATAATTATTGTTCAAATATCTAACACCTTAGTGCTGGACAGAGATAGTATATTTTATATTAAAAATTAATACACACTTCTTTCTCCTATTATATTATTTAACTTTAAAATTATACTATTTAATATTATTCATTTAAATTCTCTTGCCGAAAATAAAATGTATCATCTTATACGGGTAGAAGAAAAAGAGAGTATTATATTGACATAAGGAATGATATATTGGGAAATATACTAGGGAATTAACGAGTGAGTTGGTTTTTGATAGATTAGATGTGTAAGTAGTTGTGTTATTTATGGAAACATATGTAATGTTGAAAGATTATTTGCTATAAATAAAAATTGAATATTTTTGTTTGACAAATAAAAAAGACATATTTGGTGGACAAAAAAAATATTATTATAAAAAAAAGTATCCATGAATACCTAGTAAAGAAATTGAAGATAAATTCTACTTTCTCCGTCCCATATAATATGGACGTATTATTGTATATACGAGAATTTAGGTAAAGTATAATTAGTAAATAATTAAGGAGTGTATTAGTAAAAATAATTATTATAAAGTAAAAATAACTATAGATTAAAATCAAGATAACTAAATAGTTTCATTAAAAATTTTTTAAAAAAAATTATAAAATTTAAAATGTGATCAAAGTGTATAATTATATTTTTAAAAATAAAATAATAAATCATATGAAACGACCGAAAATAAAAAATATGAACAAATTACCTATTAATAAACTTGCATTTAATGTATCATGAAAAGGGGGTTGGGGGTTGTTAGAGTACCTACAAAGATTTATATATATATATATATATAGATATAGATATAGATATATATATATTGGAAAGAATAAAGGTGAAGAACATATTCTCACATGCATGTGTTTGTTGAGTGTATTTTTAAGGGATAAGTTTTTTATTAAAAAATATCTTCTTGTAGATTTGAAAAAAAAATAAAATAAAAAATTACAATGCTGTTTTAATTTTGTCTACTCTAATTTTATAGGGTTTCTTTATATATAATTTTAAATTCAAATTAATATTATTTATTATATCATTCGCATTGCACAATTTTTAATAAAAATATATTATTTTATTTCGTAAAATATTACATCAACGTACTGTTTCAACAAAAATTCAAATCAATATTCAATTTCAAAATACAACCAAATAAAATTATAATTTTCCTCCAAATTTGGTTTTCTTGTTTTTTATTTTAAACATTAATTAATATTATTTAGTCGGTAAGATATAAATATATTATTTTTCTCATTAAATATTAAATTAAAATATTATTGAAATTCAAATTCAAATTTAAATTAAAAAAACCATACAAAACAATTATAAACAATACCAAACTTTTTTTCCCTTCATATATCAATAATTATCTTATTTTAAAAGGGTTTATTTGATTTTTGTTTGAATTTTCATTCGAATTTAGTATAATATTTTATAACAATAAACAATCATTTTTATTTGAAATTGTTCGGAAATTAAATAATAATAATTTTAATTTAAAATCAAAAGTAAACATACTCGTTTCTTTTTTTGCAGATAATTTATTTTATATTCTTGGACGACTGTATGTTTTTATATTATATATTACCCCATCCAATTTCTATTGTCTTAAAATATATTTGCACGGTTTTTAGGTGATTGTTTTTTGTTATGAATTGACAAATTTGCCCTTAATTGTATGGCAGACATGAAAAGTAATAAACGAATGAAATGTAAAACTATAAAATTTGTATTTAAAAAAATAAATAGAACAATAGTTGTTGGACGTCCAAAATGAAAAAGTGGGACATAATTTGTGGACGGAGGAAGAATAAGAAATTTTGTCAATGATATAAAAAAATAAATAAATACTATTGTATTGAATTGTTAATTTTTTGTAAGCAAATAAAAAATATATATATTGTGATGATGTGTATATATTATACTCCCTCCATCAGTAAATGAAGATTAAGAAAAATAATTATTTTATTGAAACAATGATAAAAGTAAATAATAATAATAATAATAATAATAATTTCGATATTTTTGAAAATTTAGTTAGAAGTTAAAAAAAATGAAAAATGAGATAATAAAGGTAATGGTATTCGGTGTAAATAAGTGTTTAACGATGGATAATAATTAAATTTAAATTTGTTAATTTTGTCATATTAGTAATGTGATAAATTTAGCAATTAATTAAAAAAAATAAAATAAAATAAATTTGACTTGCATGAAATATTTTTTATGATATTTATTGAGAATAGTATTGCCCAAAATAACAAAATGAACACATATTTTTGTCCAGAATTCTCAGGAGTTGTATATATTTTGATCATATAAGTACCCCATTGGCATTGAAATTTTGGCTTGAAAAGATATTGATGTGTTTCCTCGAAATTTTTTCAATATATATTATAAATTTAATATTTTTAAAGTAAAATAATTATTCACTATAATCCTTGTTCCCTCGTTCCCATAGCTATGTATCCGTTTGCTTTTTGTTCGAAGTTTTAGAAATATTAGTATTGTGTGATATAAATGTAATGACATTTGTGTAATATATTGTAAGTTGAAAGGGTATTTGTAATGTTAGATAGATAGTACAGTTACTTAAAAAAAAATTGAATACTTTGTTATGGGACATACTAAAATAAAAAAAATAGATATTTTATTATGGGACGGAGGAAGTATAAAAAATAACTCGAAAATGTTCATATTTTAAATTATTAGTATATTATTATTATTATTAAATTTTAAATTTTAAAATAATTTTAGCTTATATTTCATCCTTATCAGAACAAAGTATTTATTTTTTTTTAAGTAATTGTAATATCTAACTAACATTACAAATACCCTTATAATTTACAATATATTACACAAATATTATTACTTTTATATCACATATACTAATAAGGTTATTTTACTCATTTCCACTTTATTCATACTATATTTCAATATAATACTAATATTTCTAAAACTACGTACAAAAAATAAATAAGTATTTTACTTATGGAACGGAGGGAGTACTATTTTTTCCAATTTTACTAGAAAATACCTATAATTATCCAATTTAATTTTAATTTTAAAATTAAATTTTAAACTCTAATCATATACTCCCTCCGTCCGCTTACAAAGTTTATATGTTTCTATTTTGGGACGTCCAATTACAAAGTTTACATTTCATTAAATACCCTACTATTTTTTCACAAATACCCTTACTTTACATCACATCATTACTTTAACACAAAAAAGTAAAGACAAAAATGTCATTACACTATTTTTAACTACTCACTGTAATTAAAATACTATTATTTCTTAAACACCGCGCCAAAAATAAATGTAACTCTTGTAAATGGACGGAGGGAGTATTTTTTTTCATATCTTCTTCCTAATTGCGTCGCACTCTATTTTTTCAAATTCAATCTTTTCTTTCGAATCGATACATTAAATCGCTGCTTTTAATTAATTATCCAGCCGACATCGACGTTAATAATATTATTTTATAATTATATATAATCAATATATTTATACCGTCTACAATTCGTTTTTTACTCAAAAGGCCCCAAAAAAATCCAAAACTACCCTACAACATACTAATAATTACTGTTTATAATTTTACGGTTATAAGTTTTATCTATTTCACCTTGAAGAGGGTAAAAAGCGTATATTATGTGACATTGCACTATTGGAAGATAGTTTGGGGGACCGACATATTAGGTAGCTGTAATTCCGTGAGTTGTAATATTCCTCCACCTTAGACACGTGCGCAAACTTTAAACTAAGCCCCACTTGTCACGTGCATATTTTCTTTGATATTTATTTTGTCGGCGTTAAGAGTCTCATTTATTTTTTTATACGTTGGTATTTGAATATTAATTATTATATTAAAACATAATATGAACTAAGAAAAAATTATAAAAAATACTTTCATTAGTGTCTTATAATACTAATAGAAAAATATTTGTACAAAAATTTATAAAAATATTTAATATTAAGTAAGTATTAAATAAATAAAAAATATTTTAGTAAAAATAATTATATATAAAATTAAAATCACTAAATAATATTATCTCTATCCCCTTGAAATGTCTCATTTACTTTTTGTGTCATTGTATTTAAAATTAAAAATATCCTTATATTTGTATAATTTTTTGCACAAATGTTATTTTATTAGTATTATAAGACGCTAATAGAAGTATTTTTGTCATTTTTCTTGATTTGTACTACGTTTTCATATCATAATTAATATTCAAATATCAATATGCAAAAAGTAAATGAGACCCTTAGAGTCAGACAGGAGTAGTATAATCAAGATTAAAAAATTATAAAATGTTTCTAAATGTTTAAAGAGAAGAGTAATTTAGGTAATTTAATAAATAAGATTGAAAGAGTGTTTGAGAAAGAGCTTTTACTTGTTTGACCAGTTAAAAAGTTAATTTAGGTGTTTGGTAAATTAGTTTTTTTAAAGAGCTTTTTGGACCCAAGACGCTAATTTCTGAAAAACTCATCTACCTAGCGTTTTGAAAGAATTTTTTTCATTTTAATTTTGGTTATTTCTTATTTACCCTTAAAATTTAATTATTTATTTTATACATATAAATATATTTTTATAGCAGTACTTATTAATTATTTTTAATATATTTAGTTTATTAAATTATATTTTTATTTTTTAAAATTTAAAATAATTAAAATTATTAATTATTACAAATAAATTATTTTATTTGTAAAATATATAAATTTTTAAAACTAAATCAAATAAAAAAACAAAAATTATTAATCTATTTATATATATATTAAAATAATAATTAACATAATAAAAAAATATATACGAAATATTTATTATTTTATATTTTATATAATTTTAATAAAAATATATAATTTTTTTAATAAAAATAATTTTCTCAAATTTAAATAATAAAAGTAAAAATAAATATTTTATAATATTTTTATAATTTTCAATAATTAATAACAAAAATTCTCATAAATTTTAAACTAAAATGAACAAAATTAAATATTTAAAGAAATAATATATCAATGTCCTTAATAGTCATTTTATATATAAACAGCTAATGTAAACCAATTGTTTTACCAAACACTTTAATATAAACTGCTAATTGAATGAGCTAGTCAAACCAGCTAATTGAATCATCTAACAACAAAAAACTATCAGCTAATTGTCAAACGCACCCTAAATAATACTACAGGATTAGATTGTATTAACAATCATATAAATGAATATAATTGTAACGACTCTTTAATTATATAGGGCTCTAATACATTACATTAAAGTAAACAGACTTAAGTCGGATAAAATATTATTATCTACCCTGATTTCATGAATTAAACTCATCTTTTATGTATAAAATAATATGATGTATAATGATATATTTTAATTTATTCAAAGATTAAGATACTTTTATATTAGAATGAGATTAATTTTTATACAATACAAAATGTATACATTTATTGAAAGACAAAATTGATAAAGTATGATTTCTTCGTCCCAGCCAAATTTATTTCCATTTTTCTTTTTAATCCGTTCATTAAATTTATCCAATTACTAAATTATTTTACAAAGTCAACAAATAACATTGAATTATTACCCAAATTTAACATTTATTTACAATAAATACACTCCTTCCGTCCCAAAATTATAGTGTTTTGATAAAAAAAAAAAGAAAAAAGAAAAAAATTCTTATTTTTAATATTTAGTTGTCTCAATTTTATTTATTTTTTTGGATTTTGTCCATATACTCCTTCCGTCCCAAAATTATAGTTTGGGTTGTGTTCGACACATAATTTAAGAAATATTGATATTATATTGGTAGTGGGTAAAAAGTATGGGTAAAAATTTTTTTTGCCCTTTTGAGTGTATTAGTGTAAAAAGTAGTGGCAATTGTGTAATAATAATGAAAAAGTAAGGGTAGTTTTATAGTGATATGATTATTTATAGAAATGAGATTATTGTTTTGGGACGGACAAAAATGGTAAACATAACTATTGTATTGGGACGGATGGAGTATTACTTATATATATATAATATTATATTTAAAATACTATCTCCGTCCACGAATAAAGTAAATATTTCTTTTTTGCACGGTATTTAATAAATAATAATATTTTAATTATAGTGAGTAGTTAAAAGTAGTGTAATGACATTTTTACCCTTATTTTTTGGTGTAAAAGTAACGATGTGATATAAAGTAAAAGTATTTTTGAAAAAAAAAATGAAATATTTAATGAAATATTTACTTTGTAATTGAACGTCCCGAATAAAAATGTGTAACTTTCTACTGGACGGATGGAATATTATTTAAATTTAAATTTAAATAAAAAGTTCATTTTTTAATTAAAATCAAACAAACCGAGTTATGTGTTGTTTGTGGGGTTTTAATTTAGATTTTGATTTTAATTCGATATAATTATTTGATATGATATAAATACGTGTTAATATAATATTTTGAATATAAAATTAAATTTTTTTGTAATATAATAAATTAAAAATATATATATTTAATTTGATACTTAAAAAAAATTGAAATAGTAAAACCAAATCTAAGCTTCCATAAAAAAAAAAAGCATATTTAATTCCAGGCATATGTAAATGAATTTGAGGGTAAAATTATTTTTTATCCTTCTACTGTAATTTTACCTATAAAATAAGAAGGGTGTATTTGTTTTATGTTTCGATTCGAATTATTTTTTTTAATATGAAATATAAAAACAAAAAATATGTGTAACATATTATTTTTGTAAAAAAAATATATCAAAAAATTTTCACTAAACAAACCCCAATATACTAAAATGCACATACAAAAAATTTTTTAAAAATTTTTTCTTTTATCATTTTAGAACTTTCAGTGGACCATGTCTGAAAATAATCTTGTAAGTGAAATTTTTTTGCTAAAATGGTCTTTCGGTATCGGACTCGCAATGTTGGCCCGCCGCTGCTGACGTGGCGCTTACGCGATTGACATGTCATCGCCACGTAAATGCCACGTCATCGATACATTTTTTTTAAAATTTTACAAAATATTTTGGTAAACTATATTTTTAGTCTTGTATATTTTTAGTCCTGCAAATAAAATTTTTTTCGCTAAAATAGTCATCCGACGTAGCATCTACAATTCTACGTGGCGATGACATATCATCCGCGTCAGCGACACAGCAACAACGGCGGACCAGCGTGACGAGTCCGGCGCTGGAGGATCATTTTAGCTAAAAAAATTTTACTTACGAAATTATTTTTAGATATAATTCACTTAAAATTCTAAAATAATAAATAGAGGAACTAAAAAAAATAAAATTACCCTATATTAAAATATGTTTTTTTTTAACATTTTTCCATACATTAAAAATAATAATATACTTACATATATTCATTATTTTATTATAATAATAATATTTTCCGTATGATTCACGTTAATAATACTACCTCCGTCCCAAATATCGTATTTGTTACACTGTAGATACATAATTAAAAATGTATTAGTGAAAATAATTATCCTATAATATAAATAATTATAAATTAAGATTAAGATAACTAATAAGTTTAAATTTTAAAAGAAATTAAAAAGTTTAAAAAGATATTAAAGTGTGTAATCATTTTTCAAAATAAAATTAATTAGTAATTAGTACATAATTAAAAATGTATTAGTGAAAATAATTATCCTATAATATAAATAATTATAAATTAAGATCAAGATAACTAATAAGTTTAAATTTTAAAAGAAATTAAAAAGTTTAAAAAGATATTAAAGTGTGTAATCATTTTTTAAAATAAAATTAAAAATAATATGGTACTTGGGACAGACAAAAACGGCAACGTCCCACTTGGTATGTGGAACCATGTGGGACGGAGGGAGTAATATTTTCCGTATGATGCACGTTACAAAATTTCTTTCAAACCAAAACCAAAACACAGACAAACACACATTTTGGTATAGGGTCCTCGCTCACTCCCATGGCAAGAAATTGAAATTCAGCAAAGACAAAAACCCTAATCCCCAAAACCCATTTTTTTTACCATTGCTGTAAGAAACTCTCCAATCAGAATCTTCTACCATCGAATCTCTGATGAATAAATTAATCCATTCATCATCAATCAATCAATTTCAGATTCAAACAAACAAAAGCCTTCTCGTGTTGTTTTCTAGCCAGAAACAGGAACGTGAATTGGCACTCACACACGCCACCAAATTCAGTGCTTTGATTGCTCGCTCACATGCTCTCTGTCTCTCTCTGTCCAGCCCCTTTCTCTCTCTCTACACCTCCAACAACAAACAACAATGGTGGTTCCACAAGAATCTGCTCAATTTGATTTCTCACCATTGTTTCCGCTCGCCATTATTGATTCAATTCGATTCGATTTGATTCCTGTTCAGGTTTTTAGAGAAAATTAATTTATGTTTTAGCTCAATTTAGGTCCTCTTTCGAATTTTTGGATAAGATGGGTGTAGTGGTAATGGTGGGAGTTCTTAATTTGGTGCTCGGATTATGCGCATTTGCTTCGACATTAGTCGCTCGAGGATCTGCTGGTAACCGTTTTTCTCAATCCTTTGCATCAATTTTGTTTCTTAATTTTGCTCTTCTTGTTTGCAATTTGTGAGATATTGTTGGCGTTGTTCATGTTTTGAGATTTAACAGATTTCTTAGATCAATGTTGGAAGTATATATATGTGTGTGGTGATGTTAATTGATCTTCTGATGCAATGTGAATGATGTTATGTTGTTATGGATCTGTTGCATTTTCATTCGAATTAATCAAGCTTTTTTGTAGTCTTGTTTAGGTGAATTCATTGGCTTTTCATTTGTAGTCTTGTTTTAGTTTTGTTGAATTAGGCTTTGAGTCGAATTCATAGATATACTATAAGAAAATAGCATTTTTATAATGGAAAATTTTTGTCTCTAAATTCATTTTTTTCGGTTACTGTGACATTTTTGACAAAAGTTCTGTCCCAAAGTTCCTAATTTCTGTTACAAATATGTTGTGTTTTTTGTAATATTAGTATAGTAGGTGTTATTGCATCAAACTACTCGATTTCTTTTGTAGTCTTGTTTGAGTTTAGTCGTCATAGGTGTTGTTGCATCGAATACTTTGAATTTTTTTGAGGCTTGTTTGAGTTTAGTCATTGTAAGCGTTGTTGCATCGAATTCCTCGACATTTTTTGTAGTTTGGCTTGATTTTTGCCATATTAGGTGTTCCGTCGAACTCCTCGACTATTTTTGTAGTTTTACTTGAGTTTTAGTAATAATATGTGTTATTGTGTCGAACTCCTCGACAAAAATATTGTTTTAAGTTTACTCATAGTACGTGTTGTTGCATCGAACTCCTCGACTTTTTTTTTTTTTTTTTTTAAGTCTTGTTTGAATTTAGTCATAGTAGGTGATGTTGTGTCCAATTCCTCGACCTTTAGCCATAGTAGGTGTTGTTATATCGAATTGCTCGACTTTCTTTGTAGTCTTGTTTGAGTTTTAGTCGTAAGAGGTGTTGCATTGAATTCCTCTATCTTTTGTACCGTTTCCATCATTTAAAATTATGCTTATTTGACCGGCACGAGTTATAAGAAAAATGGATAAAAAAAAAAAAAATATTTTAGGATGACAACAAAAAAAGAAAAGTAAATATAAATTTGGATGAAGAAAGTGTATCATCTTCTTTGAGTTTAGTCGTTGCATCGAATTCCTCAACTTTTTGTTTAACATGATTTGAGATTAGTCGTAGGAGATGTTGTGTCGAATTTATCGACCGTTTGTGTATCTTGTTTGAGTTTATTCATAGTAGGCTACGAAGTCCGTGTGGTTTCTAAATTGCCTTTGATGGCCTACATTGCTCGTTTTTTACCAATCGAAGATAGCTTAGTGTTTTATCGCGTAAATTTCCTATACAAACTTGTTCTCTTTCAATCCATTCTCTTAGTATCTTAATCTATTGACACATTATATATGTATCCATCTTCGTTGCGTAGTTACTCTCGTCGGAGAAGGAAATTCCGGCAATGCGCCGATTACGAATGTATTTTCCGGTGTAACACCTTCTCCAGTTCCTCAACCAAACGGTACTGTTTTCTTTCGTATTTCATCGAAATGACTCTGTTTTCGCTTGTCTTCGAGTTTCATGTTTGTTCGATTTTCTTTTTCCAGGAATTCGCGCGGCGCCTCCTTTCGCCTTCGATCCGACTCCCCCAACAACTAAAGGCTTCCCGCCTTCCATTTCGCCGCGCCCCTCAGCGTCGTCTCCTCCGAATTCAATAATTTTGTCGCCTCCTCGTAACGCTCCGATTACAGTCGAAGCTCCCGTTGTGCCACCTTCCGTCGATTCGCCGCCACCGAATGAGCCACCGGACGAGCAAGCTAATCCGCCGGTACTGAAACCCGCACCACGTGCAGGCAATGCTCCCGTCTCTCCTATCATTCCAGGTAATTGAACGTTAATAATTTTACCCTGGCCTTTTTGCTAGATTTGTCTCTAAATTAACATATTCGGCTACACGAATCGCTGCAGCTCCTCCTCCGTCTGGATCGATTTTTCCGGGAACATCGTCTGCTCCTCCTCCCCCAAGTGAGCTCGAACATTTCCATCGTACATTCATTTCGATTATAATTTAAGCTAATCAAACAATTGTTAAATGCCAGATGTGCCAATACATCCATCGCCGCCACCGGGGAACTCTGCAGTGCCTATCGAGCCAGTTCCCGTCGAACCTCCTCCGGGTAATTTAGTCTCTCCAATTCGAGATAGTCGAAATATTCGTTTTTTTTTAATGCTCAATCGTCCTTAGAACTGCGATACTTTGTTGAACAATCTTTTTATTCTTGACCGTGACGAAATTTTGGCAGCGATAAACCCCCCTCGGATGATAGCGCCGCCTCCTATGTCGCCTGTCACCGCACCAACGAAGCGAAGCTCCCATCGTCACCCGGCACCCCTACACCATTCCTCGATTGAAGGTTCGTCGAAAAGAAATTACGTACTAAGTTCCGAACTCTGAGTCGTCATAACGGAATGGAGACGTAAGTTTTTCTACCGTACTTCTTGTGGTTAGCTGCAGCTCCCAAATCAATCGGGAAGTCCGACGTCGCACCCCCTCCTCGACTGTTTTCCAAGTCTGGCTCGGGTTTCGATTCTCCGAAACGTCACCATGCAAAGGTTTATATGATCTCTCCCCCGCCGATTTTTTATGCGACGCCTCCGACTTCAGGTCACTTGAATAGATTAACAGTTCTACTCGACGTATTTACATTTCGGTCGAATTGTTTAACCTTTCGATGATCGATTTTTTCGAACAGGTTTCCTGTCCGCCGAGCCGCCGACTCCATCTTCAGGCGATCGACATTATTCTCCTGGTATTGTCTCTTTTCTTCTTCCGAGTCGAATATACTTTTTTACACTTGAAAATCGAATTGTTTTTATCCTTACAAGTTCCCTCCGACTCTGAAGTATCGCCGAGAAGTCCCAAAACTAGACGTTCGCCGCCACTTCGAGCACTTCCGCCTCCGCCGCCTCATGCAGGTATTCGATACGCTCGATTCTCGAACTTTCGATGACACTTAATGTAATCGATCACTTAAATTCGATGTTTTTATATAATTCAACAGACTGCGCTTCCTTGACGTGCCAAGAGCCGTTGACCTACGGACCGTCAGAGTCGTCTTGTGTTTGTGTGCTGCCAATACAAGTCGGGATTCGAGTCTCCGTCGCTCTCTATACGTTCTTTCCGTTAGTTTCCGAGCTAGCGAATGAAATCTCGGCTGGAGTTTTCCTGAAACAAAGCCAAGTTCGAATCATCGGAGCGAATGCAGCTGAGGATGATCCCGACAAGACGATCGTCCATGTCGATTTGTTGCCACTTCGAAGGAAATTTGACGACGCTACGGCAAATTCGACGTTCGAAAGATTTTGGAACAAACGAGTGGCTATAAACGCTTCCTTCTTCGGCGATTACGACGTGCTGTATGTTCGATACCCAGGTTATGGTTCGCCCCTTATTCATTTGAAGAGTAAAAACTCGATTGTATCTAATGCTCGAAACGATCGTATTATAAATGACAGGTCTCCCTCCGTCTCCGCCGTTGCCACCATCGGCTGTTAACGATATTCCGAGCAAAATCTATCCGAGCCGGGACAATAAGACACGGACGATCCAACCGTTGGGAGTCGATATAAGCCGGACGCAGCGCAAACACGGGCTTAGTCGAAGTACAATTGTCGCGGTAATCGTTTCTTGTCTTGTAGCTGTAAGTTTGTTGTGTGTGGCTTTATGGTTTTCGATCTACCGTCATCGACACCGTCTCTTTCTCCGGCCGGATCCGACTCCACCGAGCACAATGCGTTCACTTACGAAGTCGTCGGGTAAGAAACCTCGACTTTCTTTCGAAACAATCTTGGCCTTGTGTGTACCTCTTGCTTTTCCTGACGAACTTTAACGAACAGGCGTGCCGATATCGATGGTCGGAAGCGCCCCGACGTCTCCTTCGTTCTCGTTGAATTCGAGCATTGCCGTCTGTAACGGCTCCGCGAGGAAGTTCAGCTCGAGCGACGTGGAGAGAGCAACCGATTCCTTCAACGAGGCGAGAGTGATTGGCGAGGGCGGGTTTGGACGCGTTTACGGTGGAACGCTCGACGACGGGACGAGAGTCGCGATCAAGATACTCAAGAGATCCGACCAACAGAGCGGTCGGGAATTCTTGTCGGAAGTCGAGATGCTCAGCCGACTACATCATCGGAATCTCGTGAAGCTCATCGGAATATGCGTTGAGGATCGCGCTCGTTGCTTGGTTTACGAACTCATCCCGAACGGCAGCGTCGAATCTCATCTACACGGTATGTCGACGAACTTTCGACCCGGTTGCTATCTCCGTTTTCGCCGTTACACATCTCGTTTTTTCTTGTATTATTTCTTTTAGGAATCGATAAAGAAAGATCGCCGCTCGACTGGAGTGCCCGGATAAAGATCGCGCTCGGAGCCGCTCGGGCTCTCGCCTATCTACACGAAGACTCGTCCCCTCGGGTAATCCATCGGGACTTCAAAGCGAGCAACATTTTATTGGAAGACGATTTTACCCCGAAAGTATCGGATTTCGGATTGGCTCGAACCGCATGGACCGAGGAGAATCGACACGTTTCGACCCGCGTCATGGGAACTTTCGGGTAATTTCGATTTCTAAAGTAGTATACAAATTTGACAAAATTGTTTATAACTCTCCGGTGGCTTTCGAAATTCAACATAAATCTTCTCTATACTTAGAAAATTGCATGACCCTTATACTTTAAAAAAACGTTACATGAAATCTCCTGTCTTGTAAAAACGGGGGATGGGAAATCATTATTCTCATCACACTAGAAATATAAAAAATGATTTCATGCAACGTTTTTAAAAATACGAGGGGCGTCATGCAATTTTTAAAGTATAAAAGAATTTACACTAGGTTCTGAAACCACACGAGAGTTATGTCAATTTACCTATAAATTTTACTACTCCCTCCGTCCCATTGAAAGGTTGTCATTTTCCATTTTCGTCCGTCCCAAAATAAGGTTATTATTTCCTTAATTTAGTAATTTTATTAACTACTTAACATAATAAATACATTCTAACTTACACTATATTACACAAATCTCATTATTTTTATACTTTCTCCGTCATCCAAATTTATTCTCACTTTCCTTTTTTTGGTTGTTATCCAAATTTATTCTCGTTTCCTTTTTTAATAATAAAATACCATTTTTTTTACTTAAAAAAAAAAAAGTAAGTTTCTATTTTTACTTATTTTTCTTAAAATTCGTGTCAGGTCAAATAAGCGTACAATTAGATGACGGATAAAGTATAGGGTATTTTTGTCTTTTTTTACTACTATTCAATATAATTCTAATATTAAAAAATACGTGCAAAAAGTAAACTGTAACCTTTTAACGGGATGAAAAGAGTATTTGGAATCTGTTTTCTGAAAAAAATCTATTTTTTTTTTCTCTTATAAAACATCGGGTAAACTCGATTCAGACTGAAAAGATTGTGATTTTTTTAGGTATTTGGCGCCCGAGTACGCAATGACGGGACACCTTCTCATAAAGAGCGACGTGTATAGCTACGGCGTAGTTCTCTTGGAGCTCTTAACTGGGCGGAAGCCGGTCGACATGTCGCAGCCGGCAGGTCGGGAAAATTTGGTCGCATGGGCACGGCCGCTATTGACGAACCGAGAGCATTTAGAGGCAATTGTCGATCCGTACTTGGGTCGAGACTTGCCGTTCGATAGTATCGCGAAAGTCGCCGCGATTGCGTCGATGTGTGTCCAGCCGGAGGTGTCGCACCGGCCGTTCATGGGCGAGGTCGTGCAGGCGTTGCGACTCGTATGCGACGACGACGACGATGACGGCGAAGATCGGGACCGAAGGTCGAGCTACGACGATTTCTCGAAGATTCTCGACGACAACGACGACGACGAGCAATCGCGATCGGACCGGAGGTTGGTCGAAGCCTTGCTGATGAGCCCGTCGTCGTTCGATGGGTACGACTGCCGGTTCGATGCCGAGAGCGAAGTGTCGCTATCTGAGCTGCTGAGCTCATCGGCGCCGCCGCTGCAACCTGGCGGAGCTGCCGGCGGTGGTTCGGCGTCGGGTTCGTTTCGGAGGTACTGTTCGAGCTCGGGGCCGATCGAAACAAGTAAAGCGAAGAAAGTATGGAAGACGGTGCGGCGGGTGACGCGCAGCGGCAGCGTTAGCGAGCATGGCGGCGCCGCCGCCGCCGCCGCAGTGCTACGCCGCCTTTGGCCGGGATCTCATTGACGTTGTAGTTCATGGAGAGAAGTGTGTATTAGTTTTCTGAAACGACGTCGTGTAGGCGTTTGCGGTGTCCTATATGTATTATTGGAGTTCTGTACAATTGTAGAATGTAAAATTTTAATAAATGGTAAAAAAAGAATGGTTTTATAAATGACTAAGGGTTGTCTTGTGTGTTTGTCTCGGATTTGGATTTTGAGTCGAGAATTTAATGGTAAAAATTTTGAATTTGAATAGTTGTACGATGAGATATAAATAAGTATTGATGTGATGTTTTGAATGTAAAATTAATTTTTAGTATAATATAAAAAATAAAAAATAAGTGTTTGATTTGATATTTTTGAAAGAAAAAAATTGGATGAATTATAAAAAATAAATTCAATCCCCCAAACAAACACGCCCTACAGTAACTTCAATTTTTTCTTTTAAAGTAAAATATAAAAATTGTATGCATATTGTAAAAATAATATTTTATATATTTTTCTAATAATATTTATTAAAAATTGTTCCAACTAAAACCATAGTGTGAACAAATTTAAATAGTCTCTCCGTCCAGTTAATTGTCCACTTTAATTGATATATACACGTGTTACGTAATTAGTAAATAATTAAAAAAATTATTAAAAAAATAATTATAATATAATAAAAATAATTATAAATTAAAATTAAAATTACTAATTAATTTAGTTAAAATAAAAATATATATATAAATTATGAGGCGGACCAATATATAAATAGTTGACAAATTATACCAAATTAGAGAGAATAACAAATAGTATTTTAGACTTGAACTATATTTTTTATCATTTTTATTTGTCTCACTCCAAGTATCACTATTCTATTTTATTATTTACATTACAAATATATCATTACACGTACAATTAATATTAATATTAATATTTATTATAAATCAAAAGAATAATATAAATTTAGTAAAATAAAAAGAAAAAACAAATTTGGTATTTTTATTATGGACCAAGGTAAAAACATCTTCCTTTTTTTTTTCATTTATTTATTCAATCAAATTAAAATTACATTTTATAATAAAAATACTCCCTTTATTTCATTTTTACACGGAGTTTTAGAAATATTAATATTATATTGAGATAAAGTAGAAATAAAGGTAAAAAGACTAAATTAACTTTATTATTAGGGTACTGTGATATGATGGAAAGAGAAATATATATATATCTTTTTTTATTTTGATGATACGAGGGGATAAAGTGTGGGGTAGAGATTAAGTATAATTAATTATTTTTTATTTTAAAAATATTGCAGGGTGTTTGGGACATACCAAAAAGGAAATATTACAGGATGTTTGGGACGATAATGACATTTGTGTAATATATTATAAATTGTGATTGTATTTGTATTTGTTAAGAGTGGAGTAATAATTAAATATCGAAAATTCAAATCCAAAACCGCAACGAGACAATCAAACACACCTAATTATTTTCAAAAAAAAAAAAAGAAAAAAAATGGATAGTTCTTTATAAAGAAACTCCTAAACAGACGAAGAAAGGGTCTGCAAATTGCGAACAGATACATTTCACATTTTACTCTTCCAGGTTAAAATCCAACAAATTTTTGTTCCGATCTTCTCACCGCCACAACGATCCTCTCAAACGGCGTATGGATGCCTGCTGCGCCACCCAGGGCAGGGGAATCGATGCCAATCGACGCACGCAGGCTGTGGAACTTTCGATCAGACTATAACGATTGAGTTTTCCGATGATCCACCGATTAAAATCGAAGAATCTGCTGCCAGGAGTTCCGGCAACCAAAACCTGCTCATATCGCCTGTAAGGTAAGCGGTTTTTATGGCTTTGTATTATCCGTCGATTAGGTTTCCAATCGAATGCTCTGTTCTAATTCCTTTGCTCCGTCGGTGGTCTTAATCGCGTCGAGGTTTTGGATTTGGATTTGGATCTGATTGCTGTGCGATTAATTGCTTAACAGTTAGAACACGAGCTTCTGCGGATTGGTTAGAAAAAATTAAAATAAAATGTGGTTTGCGTTGTTTGGAATTGGATAGTTAGGGTTTTCCTTTTCTATGTAATTACCAATTTCTGAAATGTGTATCCGATTCCTAACTTGTTGGATTGATCATGGTGAATTTTATGGTTGCTAGAGCTAGGGCTAGGGCTTTGATCTGATATTCTAATTAGGTTCTGATTATCTTCCAAACTCGAATTGTTAATCCATATCTGATCCGATTACTGTTTTCCATATCTTACAGTGAACGTTTGGAACTGAATTAGAGTATCCAAAAACAAAAAAAATGATTGAAATGGGGGAAGCTTCAGAAACTGAGTCTAGAACATTGCTAATGAGTAGTTCTTCTGTCGAAGAGGAAAGTTTACGCCGCTCGCCGAGTCCGATTTTCGGGAGAGGCAGCTGCGGCGGATCAAGGAACACGAGCCCTCTAGGTCGAATGGGGTCAAGAAACACGAGTCCGTCGAGGATCAAAACGAAACCGCGGGGCCTGGATGAAGAAACAGCAGCCACATTTAGCAAATTTGTTCAACCGGATATTCGAATGGAGGATAATATATGGGCGATGTTGCCGGAGGATTTGTTGAACGAGATTCTAGCTAGAGTGCCGCCGTTCATGATTTTCCGGCTCCGTTCCGTATGCAAGAGATGGAATTCGATTTTACAAGATAATGGTTTCTTGAAGTTCCATTCCCAAGTGCCGTCCCACGGGCCTTGTCTTTTAACGTATTGGAAGAACTCGCAGACTCCTCAGTGTTCGGTATTCAGCCTCCCGTTAAAACAGTGGTTTCGAATCCCCGTCACGTTTCTCCCGCGTTGGGCGTTCTGGCTTGTCGGGTCGTCGGGGGGGTTGGTGTGCTTATCGGGAATGGACGGGCTGACGTTCAAGACGGTAATCTGCAACCCGTTGACGCAAAAATGGCGGACGTTGCCGAGCTTGCATTACAATCAGCAGAGGCAGTTGATCATGGTGGTGAATCGCAAAGATCGATCGTTCAAAGTCATAGCGACGAGCGACGTGTTCAGCGACAAATCCCTTCCGACCGAAGTCTACGATTCGAAATCCAACAAATGGTCAGTCCACGAACGGATGCCCGCCGTGAACCTCTGCTCGTCGAAAATGGCCTTCTGCGACTCGCGGCTGTACCTCGAGACCCTCTCCCCGCTCGGGCTGATGATGTACCGGCTCGACACGGGGCAGTGGGAGCATATTCCGGCGAAATTCCCCCGGTCGTTGCTCGACGGGTATCTCGTCGCGGGGAGCAAGAAGCGACTTTTTTTGGTGGGGAGGATCGGGCTTTACAGCACGCATCAAAGCATGAAGATTTGGGAGCTCGATCATTCGAAGTACGTTTGGGTTGAGATTAGTCGGATGCCTCCGAGGTATTTTCGGGCGCTTCTGAGGCTGTCGGCGGAGCGATTCGAGTGCTTCGGACAGGACAATTTGATATGCTTTACGTCGTGGAACCAAGGGAAAGGGCTGCTTTACGACGTCGATAAAAAGGCATGGTCTTGGATTGCTGGATGTGCTCTACAGGCCTATAATAGCCAGGTATGTTTCTATGAGCCAAGATTTGATTCTGTGATCTATTGAGCTGATCTTATGATGATGAAGATGAAGATTCAAATTGTGTTTTTTTTTTTTTGTTTTTTTTTTTTTTTTTAATGTTCTTGAATGTTTTGGGACATTTTTTATTTTAGGGATCTTTGGAAATTAGAATGTTTTTAATGTTGTTTCTTTGTTTTGTGTTGTGCCAAAATTGATAATTGAGATGTTGTTAGTTGTAAGAGGGAATATAGATATAATGATGTTCTTTTGTTTTTGGTTATGGGAAGTGAATCTTGGCCTAAATAGATTTGGTGTGCTCTTTTTTTTTTTTTGGAATTTTTTTTTTTGGAAATTAGTTTGATATGAAGTCTTGATTTGAATTTTTTTTATTTAAATCGTATTTTGATGTGGGGTGTGTTTGTTTTGTGTTTGGTTTGGAAAAGAAAATTGATGTGAGGTCGTTTAGATAATACTCCCGTCGCAATACAATAGTCACATTTTCATAAATAATCATATTACTATAAAATTAGTCTTATTTTTTCAATATTATTATGCAATTGTAACTACTTTTTACACTAATATACTCACAAGGGAAAAAAATATTTCACCTGTACTTTTTATCTACTACTAGTATCATATCAATATTCTTTAAATTTTATGTCAAACAGAACTTAAACTTATATTTTGAGACCAATGGAGTATAAAAATAATGAATATATATAATATATTAATTTTATTTTATTTTGTGGATGTGTTGGAAAATTTCTTTCGGATATTTTGCAAGAGAAAATAACGTATTTTTATTAAAAATAATTCAATAGTGTTTGAAATCACAAAAGAACAAACTCATATTTTAATCTTGATTTTTATTTTGGATGAATTAGTTGTTGGACATGATTTTTATAGTATATTAAGATTTAGTAATATTTTAATTAGTTAATAAAAAATATATAAGATAGTTTTGATATTTTTTCTTTAATACAAAGAAAATAAATAATTTTTTATTTTCACCTTTAAAAATTTTAAAAAAATATTTTGAGTGTGACAAACGAAAATTATAAAAATGATATATTAAATTAAGACCATAAAAAACAGAAAAATTGAGAAAAACTCAGATAATTGAGGCATTGTCATGCAAAAAGGGTGCGTTTGTTTTGTGTTTTTTTTTTTAATATTAAGAAATGGAGAATTATTAAGAATGTACTCTCTACGACAATTGAGTATTGACACTTTATTTTAGCTTTAACATTTATTAAATCAAAATATATTTAACGAATATAAATAATTTAATTAACTACGTAACATATAATATTATAAATCATATGGAATTCACTCAAAATCTTTTTATTTTTATTTTTCTCTTCAAAAAATAAATATTTTAATCTACATTTAAAACTCTAAATTTATTTGAAATTAATTTATATTAATTATAAATAAATAAAAATATTTTTTTATTATTATAGAAAATCTTCTTCTATATAATATTCATATTACATATTTTTATTACAATATATTTTTTTAATATTTAAATATATATTCTAATTTTTTTTAATTATATATATTAAATTTATTTTAAAATTATTAATATTATTAATTATATTAAAAATAATAAAATAATATCCCAACTCACTATTATTAATTAATTAAACTTTATTTTCTTAGTATAACTAATAAAATAGTCCAATCAGAGGGAGTATTATTTTTATTTTACTTTTTTTCAAAAAAACCTAATCATACACCTAGAGCGGTTAAACGAATCGAACCGTTCGTGAACTCTCGCGAACGTTAACGAGCCGAGTCGAACAACATAAACAAACTCGTTTGATTAACGAATGAGCCTGAACTTTGTTCGCGAACGTTCGTTTAAATAATATATTTATTATAAATATTATATGTACATATAAAATATTAATTTAAAATATATAAATAAATAATTTTAAATTCTTCATAATTTATATATAAATTAAAAAAAATAAGACAAACGAGTTCGAACGAACTCGAACGAGCTTAATCGAGCCTAAACAAGCCGAACACGAGCTCAAACAACAAAAATTCTTAACAAGCCAAACTCGAACACTACGAACGAACTCGAAAGCTTGACGAACGAACACGAACCTTGTTCGCGAATGTTAACGAACACTTAAATTTTAGCTCGGCTCGGCTCGGGTCGGGTCGGTTAACAGCTCTACATACACCTACTAATATCATATTAAAAAAAAAAAAGGCAAAAAAGCCTTCTGCAATTCAAAATTTTAGTATTTTTCAAATAACCAAAATAAGTCTAAAACAAATCTGAACAAACCCCCAAAAGAAAGTTCTACACAAGCAAAAGTTTTACATGTTAAAACAAACATCATAATCCAATCCAAAAAAATGGCTACTAAAATAAGGCTGTTTAGTGAAATCATAATAACTACATTTTTACCTGGATGAGCATATATATATATATATATGCCCAGAATTTGTGATGAAACTCATACTCAATCCGAAGCTCCCGATCGAATCCTACGTTCCACAAATGCCCCCGGAACGTCCTACATCAACACAATATTTTTTTATTTGGTTTTGCTGGGTAGGTAGGTAGGTAGGTAGGTAGGGTGTGTGTCGACTAAGTTAACAGTAAGCAATTCGGAAACTGGTTAGTTGTAGGAATGGAGGAATATTACCATTTTGCAAATATGGTCGAGAAGCCTTTTTATGGCTTTACATATTCTCGGATGAATTCCTCCAATTGAGAAATGTTGCCAGTCAAACCGGATGCTTCTGATACGGCTACCTTGTTATGACACTGATGAAATCCGAAGGCTTCTCCCGGCACCCCTAGCGTGTATTCATTTGTAACATCTGCTGATGATAGCGCCGTTCTTGAAGCTCGAAGCTTGTCGCTGGAGAATCAGCGTGAAAAGAAATAGAAATTTTGTTAGGAAAGAAAAAATTTATAGAGTTCTTGACATCGTTTCCATATTATGCAATCTACAATATATATATATATATATATATAGAAATAGAATTCCGGCTCAAAAGTATTTAGTTCACATAGAACATCATATCCAACAACTATTTTCAGCATCATTTTCACACTATGATAGTAGATTATATTATTATTATTAGGCTTAAAAATATTATTTCCAATATTAAAATTCTAAGTAAAATACTTCTTCCATCCCAGATACTAGGTCCTTATAACCATAGATAGGAGAATTTAATTAGTAAATAATTAAGAAATGTATTAGTAAAAATAATTATTGTATAATAAAAATAATTATATTAAGATTAAGAGAATTAAATAATTTTAATTAGGATTAAAAATTTTACAAATTATGAAATTTAAAATGTGATTAACATACATAATTATATTTCAAAAAAAAAAGACAAATTATGTGGAACGGACCGAAATAGAAAAAACAAACATTTTATATGGGACAGAAAGGGTATCTAACAATTATTTTCAATATGCAATCCATGTAAAAAAAAAATAGAAAAATAAATAATTCCCATCAAAAAAATATTATTTTAATAACCAAAATTCAAATATAAAACGTCGCACATCTTCCTCTCCAAAAAATTTCAAATTTCTAAACATATAACACCAAAAACATCTCCAATACAAGTAAGCACACACTTTAAGGTTCCGGACAATTTAGATATGGTTTTCAAAAATTTTGAAAATAGTAAAAAGTTCAATGTTGATGTGATATTTTGTAAAATAAAATAATTATTTGATATAATTTTTTAAAAAAATATATATTCTGAATATAAATAGTGTCAAAAGTGATTTATGGGTTTATGTAAACAAAGAATGAATGACATGGAATAATGGGAAAGAAATTTGATAAGAGAATGAATTTTGCAACTTTCGGAATTAAATTAGTCTTACATTTCCTTCTCCAGCTGTTTTCTGATGAAATCTTTCGTATGAGCAGTAACTTTGTCGACCTTGTTGCACAATACAAGCAAGGGAATCTTCTTCTTCACAACACTTGCCTTGGTCAAAATATCATAAAGATATCTGCAAACAAAATCGAAATATACCAGACAAAAATATATCTTAGTCACCTTTGTTACGGGGTTGCGTGTGTAGGGTCCACACTTAGAATCAAGACGGTACATACTCGGAAGCAGCCCGAACATTGGGCAAGAATTCCACAGCATCAACCACAAAAACCATGGCAGCTGCTTGAAGCAAGAACTCGTCCAGTTTGGGTCGAAGACGTGAGTGCCCGGGAACATCAACAATGTGAACAGGCTTCACTTTTCCCTTCTGCGAGAAAATATCACAAATATAAAAGGTGACATGACCTAGTTGAATCTGAAAATGGTATTAGCCATTCTATCTATCGCACTATGTTCTTTCGCCTGAAAGCTGATATAAGTCGACATATTTACATAAACTTTAAAAATAAAAAATAGAGGGCATGGGGATCACCTTAGAGGTCTCAGAATGTAGAACAAAAGTTCCTTCATTTTGTTCCATTGACGTCACCGTGCCCTGATGGGAAGAGCCATCTCGAAGCTAGTGTAGAAAAAAATAAAGTATTTAATGGCTTAAGGCCGGGAAAAAACACAGTTAAAATCATTTAAAGCTTTTCATTACAAACCATCGATATTCTTATCTGGACAGTTACCTGGTAAAAAAGAACAGTCTTTCCACTTCCACTTAGTCCAGTTAGTACAATGGTATTAGATGATCTTCGCTTAAAAATACGAACTGCGTAAATGATGTTCATATAATTTAGTGGATGGGAGCTATCCATGAACAAAAAATTTCACATATATGAGAATTGTCGAATCAAGTCTTCTAAGTGTGAGTATAATTTCGTTTGTATAATTTAGCAACAGCATTTTTCCCAAAAGAAACTTCAACCCAAGCAGAGAGCAGAGTACCAATCGATGAGTTCTTACTTGTTTACTTAGGCTGAAAATGGGAATAAATTAATTAAGCAACACGAATTTGATTGTTGCAAGCTTTTCTAGTGTGATTTCTCATATTGAATAACAAATCATTCTTGAATAACATATTCATATTTTTTTCCTATATTGAAACTTCATTCAAGATACAGTGAACTGGCTTACAAGAAAATGTAATAAGGCATCTGTCCAAACTACTCGAGCCAATTCATAAATGAAATGGTTAAAGCTCTGGCAATTAAACCATAAGTACAAGATTTAGAAAATATTCAAGTAATTATGAACAATCATGGGGCTCCGGTAGGTTTCTTTAAGGTCTAGTTTTGATCTTGCACTATTCATAAATTTTTTTCCTCTCAAACCATCAAATCAAACATTACTTTTCATTTAATATGTTAAACAAGAATCAAATTTTCATCCAAACATAACATCAAACACCAATTTATGTAAAATCAAACACTACTTCAATTCAAATTTTTTAAGATTCCCAAACCCCAATCCAAATCCAAACCTTAAAGAAACAAGAATCATTCACCTTTCATGACCCAATCTTGCTTGTTCACTGGCATCTAAGATTCAAATCAAGCAACAAACCAAGAATTTACAAACTTGGTAGACAAAATTACACAACTCTCGGTAGAATCGACTCGATGTTATCACCCTCAATGTCCCTCATTTAGTATGGCAGCATACCATATTACGACATTGTAATTGCAACAAACCTCAGTCTTAAAAAACCAAATGATAATACTAACCTACTCCTACAACCTACTCCTACAGAGTAAAATTTAACTCACAATTATTCCAAATTTATCACGTTTCAAAAACACCACATTGCTCATTAAATTCTTCTACCGAGTGTTTCTACAAAAGAATTTATAGTTAAAGATGCGGCCAAATTTATGAGTACAACACTAAATTAGAGAAAAATCTATTCAGGAAACATACAAAACGCCAATGAACAGAGGATGCAGTCATTGCAAGTAAAACAAATCTAACAAAACTGAAAACATTTGCTGAAATGGTAGCAAAGGTCGGATTCGAGAAACTTACCAAGTAGAAAGAAAATTACAGTGAACAGGACTACTCCAATTGCAGCGTAAAGCTGAGCCGGTGGGATCTTCACAACGAAATCATGAACATCATCAGTCAGTTGCTGGAATTGGATCTTCAGTTTAGCTATCTTCTCCTCGTCCATGGCTCCTACCATAGTTTAAATTTCCATAGCCCAAACAAAACAAATATTAAACAGGAAATTAGAACCGTGCTCCAATTTGGCCGGTACAGATCTGAATCGAACGAATTGTAACAGGAACAATCAATCACGATGCCTAACTAACAATTCAAATTAATAACCATTTCGTGTGTAAATCGGTTGTGAATCGGCCGGAATTAAACTATCTACGCCGGAAAATTGCTGAAACGGCAAAACCTCAGCGACATCATCCGAATTGAAATTGATATATAAAAAAACATCAAACGCGTCAAAATTGCTGCAAATGCTTGAAATTTTCTCACGCTTGCTGCTCTTTTTAGGCATGGCAGAGGGGAAGAAGTGAACTTACAAAATTTTCACACGCTGGCGCCGTCGGAGACGAAGCCGACTGAGGAAGAAGCAGAGCCGAACTGCGGTCGGAAAATTAGGGCTGGATTTTTATTTTGAATTATTTTTTAAATTATGTCCAACAAGTAATATTAACATTATATTGAACTAGTGAAAAATAAATGGTGTTTCTTTGTCATGAAAATTTTCCCAAAACGTTAATTTATACAAATTATTTTCTCTATATTTTATCTTAAATATACAATTATAATGATAGTATAAAAAAAATACTCATCTCCTACATACCATGTCCATGTTGTCGATTCTATAAGTACAATGTCACTTTTTTTTAAAATAATTATATACTTTAATTTTATTTTAAACTTTGTAATTTTATTTTTTTAATTTTAATTAAACTAATTAGTTATCTTAATCTTAATTTATAATTATTTATATTATCGGATAATTATTTTCACTAATACATTCTTAATTATCTACTAATTACATCCCTCGTAAAATACAAAATACAGTGTATACAGTGTAGCAGATAAGGTATATGGGACGGAGGTAGTAATACTTTCTATTCTATGTATCACTCCAAATAATTTTTTTTTTATTTTATAATAAATTAAAAAATAATATTTCCTCTGTTAGTAGAAATTAGAATATTTGAGTTCGACACGGAAATTTAAAAAAAATAATATTGTATTAAAAAAGTGATAAAAATAAAAAAGTAATTGAGGTATTTTTGAAAATTAAGTTAACAATTTAAAAAAATGAGGAGAGAGGATATAGTAAATGTAATAATATTTGTTGGGAATAAGCGTTAAATAGTGATTTGTTGATTTTACCAAAATTATGAATAGATTAAATTTAGCAGACAAACTAAAAAAAAAGTGAAAAATAAATTTGGCAGACAGAGAAAATAATATGTTTTTTTAATAGTGTTAATTAATAAAATATTATTATTTTTTAATATACTATAAAATAAAAAAGACTCTCATCTCCCATGGATGGAATCTTATACTATATACTTATGTTAAATGAGTATTTAGGTAAAGTATATTTTTTCTTCATTCCAACTAATTTAATAAATCATTATTACTATTTTCGTATATTTTATTCAAAAATATATTTTTGTACTAATAATAAAAATAATTATATTTAAATACCAAAGTATTTTAAAGTTTTAGAACTATTTATTTTGTGTATTTTTAAATATAAAAATATCAAAATTATTTTACATATTTTTACTAACAAATAAAATAGTATTATTTTTTAATTAATAAAAAGACAATAAAATAAATTTAATTAGCACATAATGAATATATTATTATTATTACAATAATGTTTTAATACAATTCTCCATTAATCTTTAACTAACAAAAAATAAATAATAAATAAATATTAAAGGGATTATATTCGATTATATTTTATTAGATTTATTTAATTTTAGAAATTTTGTGAATTTAAGAAATTAGTAGACTTTTTATAGTGTTTCTTTGAAATTAAATATATTTTACAATATATATATATATAATAATACTCCATCAGTCTCAAACACCGTGGAATATTTTTTTTGTATGTTATAAACACCCGGTAATATTTTTAAAATAAGAAATAATTAATTATATTTACTGTTCATATTTATCTCATCTCATCATCCAATAAAATATATATTTATCTCTTTATCGCATCACTTAGTTTATAAATTATCGTACTTAATACTGCCAAAACAAATGTTGCATCTGGTTCGTGACACAAGGAGTAACTATAACAAGCACGTTATTAAAAAGCGCTTATCGGTACTAAAACACGCTTTCAGCTTTGATGAACAACCTCGTCATCTAAATAAACCCCGTTGAAAACCTAACGACTCGAGAGCGGAAGAGTGAAGGTAGATCGATCGAACGATAAACCCTACACAAAATGGTACGCATCGATTTCAATTCGGTTTTCATTTTATTGTCGATCGATTGTGTGCTTTGATTTGGTTTAATGGTGAATTTCTGTGCTTTTTTCTCGAATTCGTGTTTGTGGCCGATTGATTTATCGAAATGTTAGGCTCAATCAGCGAAGCCGATCTCAAGCCCGGTGCCAGATGCGTGGTACCCGACCTTGGCCGTTTTCATGCTCGCGATTGGGCTCGTCGTCACGGCTTCTTTCTTCATGTATGTTGTTCGCTGAATTTTGATTTGTTTTGTTTATGGCCTTGCTTATCGGAGTTGGATCTAGTTACATGTGTGTTGGAATTTTGTAGCATTTTTGTGTTTTATTATGGGGGATTTTGTTACTGGATGTCAATTGCGTGCTGTGGTTTTGTTATGAGCTGATTGAATGTGTGTAATCACTTCTTACAATGTCGATTTGGTTCTGAGATTTAGTGCATTTTTTAAGAAACCAATTGCAGTGATGAGAACTTTTAAGAAATTTGCTTGAATGAGTATACAAGTGCTATAGGATAAGATTTAGCTGAATTGGATATGATCTTCGGATTTATGTGTATATTGCTGAATTTGATGGTTTTGTTTCGCCCTACGGTTTTTTTTTGGTCTGGACTATAATTAGGGGGTTATTAGCTCTTTGAACTCCTTCTATTTCGATTTTAGTGTTGGTTGAGGTTACACTTGGATCATGCTTGATTTCATACTCGGTGATTGTCCTCTGAATTGTTTGAAATTCATACACCGAGGGATTAGTGTTCTTGCTGGTTAGTTTATTCTGAAAATGATAATTTGGTGGTTATTAGCTGTTTGAACTTATTCTGTTTCAATTTTAGTGTTGGTTAAGGTTACACTTCGATTGTGCTTGATTTCATACTAAAGGATTTCTCCGTTGATCGTTCTATATATGATGATTAAGGGAATGACATATTTTGAAATGATGAATAGTCATTCTTGGGATCACTTGAACACTGGCTCATTTGCCCGTCGTTTTGAACTAATTTATGCAAAATTTTAACTCTGAGTGACCATTTCTAATCAGAGGTACGACAAGTGTGAGAAATCACTCCAATTTTTATTTATTTATTTATTTATTTTGGCTTTAGTTGTTTTGAATTTTGAGTAATATCTAATATCTATTATGATAAAGAGTTCTCATCAAAATTATCTCCGTTTGATGCTAACTTGTTCACTCTATAAAGATGAGCTTCGACCGATTCCGTCATCTGAAAGTGATTAACTTGAGCGAAAGTATCATTAGGAATTTACTGTAGATTATGATTAAGTTGTTAGTTTTGAAGATTTCGATACGAGATTACAATATTTTGCATCGATAGTAGGGTTAGTATGGATCAAATTGCAACAAGTGATTACAGGAATATTTTCATTTTGTTCTTTTAAAAACTAAATAAATAAAAATGAATGCCTGTCTAAAAAATTGCATCTAAAGGTGTGAGATCAAGATTTGCCCAATCGGTTTTAGGAAATAATGATGTCGGGGCTTTTGTAATCTTTGTAATAAGTCAAGAACCGTGCGTCCCATGTCCTTAAGAGTAATTACGAAAAGAAATGTGCTTGATTGTGCTTTATTCCCAAATCACACCTTGTTCGAATGTTTCATTGCGTTTTAAAGGGTAAATTGATTTTTTAGTCCCGTAATTTTATCCTTTCATTTTAGCCCTTAAACTGGAGCCCGTTGTAAACTAGTCTCATAGGTGGAATATTTTTTCTCCTGCGCCGAAGGATTAAAATTGCAAAAAATTTCATTTACGGAACTAAAATGATAAAGGGGTTAGTTACGCACTAAAAAATCAGTTTATTCTTTTTTAAAAAATAAAATAAACTTATTTTTTCAAATTTTGTTCTTATCTGTCCTTCGACAATGCAGCTATGAAGCTACCTCCTCCAGGAAGAATCGTAGCCTCGCAAAGGAGCTGAGCACCGGAGCTGTTGCTTCTGTCTTCTTGGTACGTTGATAGTATTCACACACGCACACACATCCTGCGCGTTTTTTTATCCTTTTGGTGAAAATAAATAAAAAAAATAATAAATAAACTTTTGCAGGGATTTGGATCTCTGTTCTTGCTACTCTCTTGCGGCGTCTATGTTTGAGTCGATAATATCAAATAGGAAATCGAGTTTTCTGAGCAGACGATTGTCCATTCAGAACAAACTGAGGTTATTTTTCATATGTCGAATGCAACTTTCATTTAGTTTTTTGATCCTCGAGTGAATTGATGCGTACGTACATTTTTCTTATAATCGAAGACGTTATCTTTATATGCCGCGCGTAGTGTGTGTTGCCTTGCTCGATTATTTTGGAAGTTCGGTTCGATTCGGTTTGGATCATATGTTGAATGTTACTATTGAGTACAAGTACACTTAACAATTGGTCGATTCGTGTCGGATTGAATATTTTAAACAGGTTAAATCCCTCAACTCTAATTCGACTTGTTTATTATCGTGTCGGGTTCGTGTTGATGTGTATATATAATTGAGTTGAAATTCTTGATTCAATTTTTTTTTTTTTTGTCGGGTCGTCATGTTATGTTAGTTTTTATACGTTTAATGTGTTCATTGAATTAGGCTGGATATTTAAGACTGAACTTAACTGTAGGCTGAACTTAACTAATTATCAAACTATAATTATTTTAAGTATATAATAAGTATATTAATTATTTGTGTCTAACTCGATCAATTTATTATCGTATCAGGTTCGTGTCAATTTGTATATATAATCGGATCGAAATTCTTGACTCAATGTATTCCTTTTGGTTTTCTAATAATTGTATTTCTAACTTAAATAAAAGATACTTTTCTATTTTACACCATATTATAAAAAACAAATGCATCTAGTAGTTGAAAAAAATAATTGTTTGTTCTTCTACTATAGTTATTTATAAAATATTAATATATTAAAATTTACGTCAAAGAAATAAAGAGTTACATTAGAAATAGATGAAAAGAGTATTATTTTGTTTTATAAAATATAAAAATATTCTATATTTTGGTTTATTAAAAGATTTAATCAATACTTATTTTCATAATATCAAACATATATATTTTTAATAGTAGTATTTTAATACTTTTCCGAATCAATTCAATAATTTTATTTGACTATCATTATTTTTGTCCTAAAACAATAGTTTTAATTTTATAAATAATCACATTTCTATAAAATTATTCATATTTAATAGCTAACAAACCTTAATCAATATATATCATACAAAAATAAAACAAATGTTATACATGTCAATTTAAACAAATACGTCCTATATATAATATATATAGATAATTTCGCAAATACTTAAAATGTGCTTCGCTATGGTCTTTTGATGATAATATACAATCTATTATTTTTTTTTATTTAAAAATATCAAATCAAATATATTTTTTTTAATATGAAATAAAAAAATAATTTTAATTTAAAACGTTACACTGACATTTATTTATATCAAATTAAGCAGAAATTTAAGTTTTAAATTTTATATTTCAAACCAAAGCTCAAACATGATGTACAAAGATTCAGGTGAGACAAGATCACTTTTATCCAAACTAGCTACTTAGAGCACATACAATGACTCTTAATAATAAAAACCTCTATTGCCTAGTTGGCATCTATGTGTCCAATCCTTTTTCATCTATGTCGATTTAAAAATTAAAATCAGCCACAACGACTCTTTTTCTCTTTCTGATTTTCTTAAGAAATATTTCTCTTTCATCACTTCCAAATTTCACACAAAATATTCATTCTCGTGTAAACCCAAATCTCCCAAACATAAACATAAGGTGTTCAACAAGAACTGAGAGTCAATTGAATATGCAAAATGCCGAACATGTGAAAGAATTGAATCAATGTAAGAAATTACAATGTGAGGTGTGAAAACACAGCAATTCACGAAGAATCATTCACTCACTCACACTAAAAACACATTGGAATTTGTAGAGGAAAGGAGAGGGGATTTGTTGAGAGAAAATAAATCTGTTTCTAGAAACAGACACAGGCGTAGCCCTCATCACTAAATAAAAATTAGAACCTAAAAAAATGAGAAAATCCCCAAAATTTACCCGTCGGTCGCCGGAAAAGTGCAACAATGTCGACTGTGAAATGAGGAAAAGAGGAGGGAGAACAGTCATCGGCGATGGGGATGGAAGATGAGTTTGGGGAAGAAGAAACGAGCAACAAGGGTGAGAGGGAGGACAACGGAGAGAAGGAGAGAGAAGAGACGACGTCGAGACGTGCTTCGCCTGCACGATGGTGCTATCGATTTTTGATCGAAATGATGGGGTCGAAAAGTAGGCCATTACGGATGAGATTTTTCGAAATTGAGAAAGACTGACATCGAAATACGAGATAAAGTCTTCTATTTAAGAGCCACGGTACGTGCTCTTACATGTATGATTCTGATGTACCAAATCAGCTGCATTAGCATAATATGTAAATTATATTTCCAGTTGATCTGATATACAAAGATTAAAGTGAGGTGAGACAAAATCTTGTTCATTCAAAAATACCAAATATTCCAACAGTACTAAATTACAAAGATCAAATTAGTTTATAGAGCTTGTTTGTTTGTTTGGTTTTTTTCTTTTTTTTTTTTTTTTTAAATAATTTCAAATAAAAATAAATATTACTAATCCTTGCCGAGTTTCTAATAACAATATATTATTTTATTCCATAAAACATCATGTCACAATATTATTTAATAAAAAAATTAAATCAAACACCTCATTTCAAACTCCAACTAAATAACTCAAAAATAATTCAAACAAAACACGAAAGTAAAAAACCAACTATATATATTTTTCTAAAACATCAAAAGTTTTTATCCAACTGAGAGATTCTCTTTATTTTATTTATTTGCTACGTATTCTATTCAATTTTATTAAAAAAATATCTTAAGTATTATATACTCTGTCCGTCCATTGAAATGTTGCTTTTTGTCTTTATTATTTCATGTTTATAATTGTACTATCTATTAACATAATAAATACCTTTTTAATTTATACTATATTATACAAATGCCGTACACAATACTAATAGGAACATATTTATCTTTTTTACTATAATCCATTATAATATTAATATTCAAAAATGTAATTGAAACAGTAAACTACAACCTTGACCAAGACAGAGAGAATATATTTTTTAAATCAAAATATTATATCAATTATGATAATAATAATAATAAAAAAAACGCTTCATTTTAAACTCTCGAAATGCGCTGTACTAAATAAATGTGCAACCAAACAGAGCCCTGCTGACGTCACCCCCACTCCCGATCCCCCCAATTTAAATTGCGACCAAACTCAGAAGCCGCGAAGACACCAAACCCCAAAACCACAGCCAAAGAAAAAAACAAAGAAAGAAAAAATGGAGTCGACGCCACCACCAGCACCGGAGCCGAGGAAGCGCGGCCGGCCGAAGGGCTCCACCAAGGCGAAATTGGAGAAGGAAAGAGAGGCTGGGGCTCCGTCCAGAATGCGAGGCTCCGGCGGCGAGCGGAGGAACACCGCCGGCGATGAGAGCTACGCTCGCTGGAAGCAGATCGTCCCCGTGCTCTACGACTGGCTCGCCTCTCACAACCTTGTCTGGCCCTCTCTCTCCTGCCGGTACAGATCTTCGCATTTCAATCACTTTCTTCGGTTTGATTTTCCCTATTTAGATTTCGGATTAGGGTTTTGGGGTTTTTGGTTGAAAATGCTGAGTCTGTTGATTTACCGGAGAATGCTTCTTTGGGAAATGATCTTGTGTGTTTTTTTCGTAAGCTACTGTTCTGGTTTATGCGAAGAGAGCTTGATGTTGGTTGATGTTGATGTTCTTGTATTTGTCTGGTTGCTTGGTGTCGCTTTGATGTTTTGTGAAGGACGTTTTGCTGGATTGACTATCAGCCTTCAAATTTATGATCTGATTAGGGTTCTTGAGAGAGAAATTTTAGGTAGGGTTTTATGTGACGAAAACACAGAGAAAGAAATTTAGCTATTATGTGAAGTTCGGTGGAATTTTTGATTAAGACATTCAGTGACTTTGTTATGTATTTATATATATGATTGGTCACGTTACATGGTTGCAGTTGGGGTCCAGTTCTTGAAAGAGGGACATACAAGAATAAGCAGCGCCTTTACCTTTCTGAACAGGTAAATAGTTTTTTCATTTTGTTTTTGGGCCTCTGTTAAGTGTGAGTTTCTGGATGTGATTGATTTTTTGTATTTTTTGATTTGTTGTTGAATAAGCATGGGAGATACTCTTCTCTTTTTTCTCAGATGTTGTTGCATTTTTCTGAATTGACTTGTTTGTGTTGATATAGCCATCCATTAGAGTTAAGAGTTCCTTAACAAGAAATTAGCCTACTATTTTCATAGCATGTCTCTTGAGATAAGTAAAACTGGCCTTTTTTTTACTTAAGTTGGAAAATACATCAGTGGGACTCAGGTGTCTCTTGGTTCACCTCTGTCACCTGAGCTGTCTTCTTTTGCATATGCGATGTAGGTGCTTTAATTTAAGACATTTCTTGTATTATTCTCCAGACTTGTGAAGGCTTTAAAGATATTATGTCACATTTTTTTCATCTTACTGCTTTGGCCTTTCAGCTTACTTAATGTTTTCTTTTCTTTATATTCATAACCATTGATCTAATCATTATTTTGTTTTTGTGGACCAGACTGACCATACCCAGCCAAACACTTTGATTATTGCAAATTGTGAGGTTGTGAAGCCACGGGTAGCTGCAGAGAATCACATAGCTAATGTATACTAAACCTAGAAATTTTTGCTATTATTAAACCTGTAACATCCTTCACTTAACTTGACGGTGTGTGGTTCATGTCTGCACTGATTATCAGTTCAATGAAGATGCCCGTTCACCATATGTGAAGAAGTACAAGACTATCTTACACCCTGGAGAGGTATGAGCTGTGTGCCTAGAGACACTTGTTTGTTATTTAGTTATGGCTAGCATGTAAATCTATGATATTTGTGGTGATTGAAGTGCATTAACAACATTCAGAGTCCTATTTTCATGATGATGAGATGATAGTATGATTGATTATATATTATAACACTTTATCTTCTGGTGGAATGGATGATCTTATATTTCTTTAAATTATGTGATGTTTAGGATATATTGTGAACATGATAGTGATGAAGTGATGGTGTCTAGTGAATTTGATGATAGGGATGAACTTTCCCTTGTTTCAATCCTGTATTTGCCCAATAGTGCTGATTTTTCTTTCATAGTGGGGCTTAGTCACTTGAATTGTGAAAGGATAAGGAAAAGATATACTATAGGAAATTCACTATGAAGTTCCCACAGAACTAAATGGCACTCTACCTGAAAGTGATTCATTTCTGTCCCACATTATAAGATGGCAGGAAAGACTCCTGGGCAGAAGCTTTTGGTGCCGTTGATTTCCCTTTATCCCATCTATGCGCCATGAGTGTTCTAAGATTTTGGTTGCTACTTTTGTCTATCGTAGTGTCTTTTCATGTTATATATTGATTGTATGAGTATTTGTTTCTTAATTCAAAACCACTGTGCAATTGGATGATAATACCAATTCTAAGTTTCCTATCATTAGAATAATATGGCCTTTTAACCTTGGTGTCATTTACATCTTTATTTTGTTTCATTGTTTACATGGAAGCTTACACACTAGGGTAAGTTTTGTCATGATCTTAGAGATAATTTTTCATTATTGTTGCCACTGTAGTGGTTCTTACTGTCATTACAATAGTTAACTATGGCCTTGATATTTGATTAACCATTGCCACTTCAGTAACCTTTACTTTGATTTCTGAATATTTTGTAGGTGAATAGGATCAGGGAATTGCCTCAGAATAAGAATATTGTGGCGACCCATACAGACTGTCCTGAAGTAAGTGGATTGTAGATTTATCTTGTTGTTCTGTCTGTGCAAAATCACAATACTTTTGTTCTGGTTTAAAGAAATGGCATCAACCATGATTTGCTTGCTTCCATATTAGGTTCTTATTTGGGATGTTGAGGCACAACCTAATCGGCATGCTGTTCTTGGAGCTGCAGATTCTCGCCCAGATTTGGTATGTTTCTGTTTCGTGGAGTACATCCAATTTAATCATGATATTCACCTTCTGTGACTTTTTTTATTGTGTTTTTTAACATATGCCGTTTCTCAAATAGACTTTGTTTCATTCTCTAACCTAATGCCGTATTTAATAGGTAATGGTTTTCTGTGGGATGTTAATGACTTAAGCCATGCAATCATTCACTGGCTACATTTTTTTTTTTTCAATGTGCCGTTTAAACTTTTTTCAACATATATGTATATATATATTAGTGATTAAACTAAAAATAAGAATAAAATGCACTAGTTGTTTCTGTTGGTGATTCTGGAATCTATATTGAAGTGTACGCGGGCATCATTTCAGAGGCAAGAGGTGCCTTGTGCTTTATGTAATCACTATTTTTGGAAAATTGCATATGGACCACTAATCTTAAATTGTCATAGTTGCTGACAGTAAAGGGCGTATTCTGTATTTTCCTTTTTTCTCCTTAATGTGGCGACTCCAATCTGTCCCCTTTTCACTGTCTGGGAGGTTATTGAAATGCTAATCCTGAGGAGTGAGTTTTGCTTAGTATTTCATATCTGGTTCTCTGTTTTAATAGTCAGTACTGCACACATTTTCCCACTTCAGTCCCTTGATTTATTCACTTTATATTCCTTCTTCCAACAATATTCCAGGGACTTTAACATAAACAATTACTCTTATTTCATGTTAATTGTACAGTACTTGTGTGCATTCTGTGAGGTTAAAGCATGATATGATTAATGGTTAATTGTTTTTAGGTTTTAACTGGACATCAAGATAATGCAGAGTTTGCTCTTGCAATGTGCCCAGCTGAACCGTTTGTCCTTTCTGGAGGTTTGAAACTTCTTGTGTTTAGTTTTCAGTCTGCCTCTGTCATTGTCTCTTTCCCGTGTTCAAATTTTGCCTTGTCAACATTTCTAATAAGAATTTTTATTCAGGAAAAGATAAATCTGTGGTGCTTTGGAGCATTCAGGATCATGTTTCAACACTGGCAGCAGATGCAACACAATCTGCAGAGCCTGCAGGTTCTATTGTTAAAGCTGCTGATAACTCTACTGTTGGCCCACGTGGGATTTTTTATGGTCACAATGATACAGTTGAAGATGTCCAGTTTTGCCCGTCGAGGTAACTTGGTTGCTACTTGATAGATTAGAACTTTTGTTGCTATTTTCATATGAAAGCACACTTGGAGTGTTCTATATCCTTTATGTTGGTTTTAGATATTCTTTTCTATTTTTATTTATGAGCTCCTTTTTGCTTCAATTTACTCATATATTTCTCAGTGTAGTTTAACTGCTATTTTGTGAGACCTCACCAATCTGACCTCTTTTACACTCTTTATAGTTCACAGCAGTTCTGTAGCGTTGGAGATGATTCTTGTTTGATTCTGTGGGATGCTCGAAGTGGAACTAGTCCAGTTGTAAAGGTTGGATAAAATTTTCCTCGATTCTTTATTACCTGTACTATGCTGCTTTCTATTAGATGTTCTAAGTTATGCCCGACACCTGTTTGTTGAGATTTTCAAGTTATTTTTACTTTGGTTATATGAAGTACAGCTGTAGTTTTTCCGTTACCTGTCTGTTGAAATTCATTTGTTAATCGGTTTCTTCTGATGGTTTATAAATGTTTTCCTTTTTGTTAGGTTGAAAAAGCACACAATGCAGATCTTCATTGTGTAGATTGGAATCCTCATGATGAAAACTATATTTTGACTGGGTATGTATACAATTTACTACCTTAATGATGACTACATGAATTATATATGTAATAATCTTTTGCAACTTGAGATCATGACGACTCTGGTTGGTTGCAGGTCTGCAGATCATACAGTGTGCATGTTTGATCGCCGCAGCTTAAACTCTGATGGAATTGGATCGCCTGTCCATAAATTCCAAGGCCACAATGCTGCTGTTCTCTGTGTCCAGGTATCATACTATACTTTTTCGATCGAATATTTGCCCTCCTGTATAATCTTTTGCCCACATATCTTGATTAAATCTATTCAAACTGCAGTGGTCACCTGATAAAAGCTCTATCTTTGGGAGTTCAGCTGAAGATGGTTTGTTGAACATATGGGATTATGAGAAGGTAGGGAATCATCCGAGTTTTGTCATTATCACTCCATAATTGTGTTCTGGGTTTATGGAAGTACGATTATTCTTTTTTTTTTTTAATGGTTTGTTGAACATATGGGACTATGGTTTGATGAATATTAACACAGTGAAAGTACGATTATTTTGCTTGCCTGAACCAAAGGTGTCTTTGTTTTATTTCCATAGCATGATCGATTTCATAATTCTCGAACTAATTGTTCTGTATTGCTGTAGGTTGGCCTGAAGGAAGAAACAGGGTCCCGACCTATGGGTGCCCCACCAGGGTTGTTTTTCCAACATGCTGGACACAGGTATATACTTCCTCTAGCCTCACTGTACAGTGAAATTAAGTTTACCTTTTTTATTTGATCGGAGAAATTGAGCTTACTTTTAGTGATGCTTGGGGCGGTGCATTTGCACAAATCTGGAAACCCGACACTAGTCTTACCTGAGAATATACTAGGTTTGGGCTAGAAAGTTAAACCCAATCTGCAAAACACATGGGTTAGGCTCTTGGTCATTTTATATTAATGAGTTAATAAAGAATAATTATAAATTAAGATTTAAGATAATTAATTAATATAGCTAAAATTAAAAAATGATAAATTTGAAAATTTAAAATGTAATTTAAGTGTGTAATCATTTTTTTTAAAAAAAAAGTGACATAAGATGTGGAACGGATAGAAATAAAAATCGGATCATATGTTATATGATACGTGGGACGGAGTGAGTAATATTTTGTGTTGAATATTAATTTTTGTAAGAGAATATAATATATAATATGTATAGTGGAAAAATATTGATTGGGCAAACAAACCGTTAGTTTTGCATGAATTGTGTTTGATTGTTTGTATTTTTGTTTTTAATCTTTTTGCATGAGTTATTATACAAATGTAAAGCTTCTAATATATATATATATAAAGCTTCTGTTTAATATATATTTTAAACTTTCGACACTATTCATCAACGGGAAAATTTTTAGAAAAAATCACATCAAATATTTCAAAAGTTTTACTATTCTAATAATTTTCCGACAGCAGGATGAATTTGTTTATAGGCTTTGAAAAAGATCTGATTATCCGTAGGCGAACTTAGGTCAACTCATAGACAATATACGCCAAACTTTCACTCTCTTATGTGTTTTACTCTTGCGTTCCTTTTTGCTCCTTTCCGACACTTCATCATATTGAATACATGAATACACCCCTTGCATCTTTCAGGGACAAGGTTGTCGACTTCCACTGGAATGCATACGATCCATGGACTATAGTCAGTGTATCTGACGATGGAGAATTTTGTGGTGGCGGCGGTACCTTACAGGTAACACTACTATAAAAACCTTGCTCGGCTAAGTTTACTCTGGCCAGCCTGATCGCATATTTCTCCTAACACGACAATGGCTGTCGTTTGTTTTGCAGCTGTGGCGCATGACGGACCTTTTGTACAGGCCAAAGGACGAGGTTTTGGCCGAGCTTCAAAAGTTTAAAGATCATGTGATTGAGTGCTCCAAGACAACCACCCCCAACCCAACCCCACCCCCACCCCCCACCTCCACTTGATGAAATCCTTATCAAGTAACTCTCTCTCTCTCTCTCTCTCTCTCGTTCATTTTATTGCGGAACTCTTTAGACAATACACCGTAGTGAAACTGAACTGCTCTCGTTTTTCTTATTGTACTGTTGTTTGCTTAAAACCGACCAACCAATCCACCCATTAGACGATACAGTTTAGCCAGCATGAATTCGACATTGTTGTGTGCCTTGCTTTAGCGTTAACTTTTGTAGAAACAAACTCGTGTCGATTCACTGTGGCGAGAATTAATGTTTATTGCTTTGGATTGACATGTTTTGACCTCTTTTCTATGCCTTTGCTTGTGCTTGTGATATGCTCTGCTTTGCTAGTTTCACTAGTTTGTTTGGTGGAGGGCTTGTAATAGTCAAATTTTAAATTGATTTTTTTTTTCTTTTTCCTAGAATGAAAATTATTTATTTGTAAATTGAATCCTAATAAAACATAAATAAATACAGGTTCAACTAGCATAAGAATTGAATCCATAGTTAATAGAGCCTAAATATTTATAATACTTCAAATTAAATTTAGTTGATTGAATTCATAAAATAGACTCAACAATTAAAATAGACTATGTAGTTAATCTGTACCTTTTGGTTCGGGGGCGTTGCTCATGGTCCTTAGATTTTACTCGCTCTCGGGCAATGAGATTCCATACGACTCAGCAAAGTGACAAACAAATATATATATATATATATTCGCTCTCGGGCAATGAGATTCCATACGACTCAGCAAAGTGACAAACAAATATATATATATATATATATATATTATTTTATTTTTTATTTTTTTTTTCTGTTATAGAAACATTGATAATATTTTATGTGAAATTATTATTTTTTGTGAGTAGGTATAATAATTTTATTTTAGGGGGGCATTTTGGAATTTTGTAGTATATTAAAAAATAATATTTTCTCCGTTCGCCTTTTAAGGGTCACATCTACCTTTTGCGTCATTGTATTTAACATTAAAAATATTCTTATATTTGTATAATTGTTTTGTACAAATGTCATTCTAGTAGTATTATAAGACACTGATGAAAGAATTTTTGCAATTTTTTTTTAATTTGTACTATGTTTTGATATAATAATAATATTAATATTCAAAGATCAACACGCAAAAAAATAAACGAGGTCCTTAAAAGTTGAACGGAGGTAGTAATATTTTATTAGATTTTATTAGTTAGTAGAAGTATCTAAGGGTGTGTTCGTTTGTAAAAAATCCTACTATTCATCCAAAATTTTTCTCCAAAAAACGTCAAATCAAACATCTATTTTTTATTTTTTATATTATACTAAAAATTAATTCTACATTCAAAATATCACATCATACGGCTATTCAAATTCAAAATTTTCAAATCCCAATTCAAAATTCAAATTCCCAAACAAACATACCCTAAGAGTATTTGATATATTTGCCCTTTTAACTTTATATATAAAGTAATTGTAATTTATATATTACAAAGCAAAGTGTAATGATATATTTGTAATTTAAGTAAAAAATCAGTATTTTGATATTAGCATATGATTGGTTTTTTAAAAAAATAGGAAATAAATACTTTAAATTGAGAATGAAGAAATATATATATATATTATACTATGTTATATGAGTATGCATATTATTTACTACATCTGTTCGGCTCTAAGGATCCCACTTACTTTTTACGTATTGATATTTAAATATCAATTATTATATCAAAATGTAATACAAATTAAGAAAAAATTGCTAAACTACTTTCATTAGTGTCTTATAATATTAATAGAGGAACATTTGTATAAAATTATATACAAATATAAGAATATTTTTAATGTGAAATATAATGACGCAAAAAATAAATGTGACTCTCAGAGGCGGTCGGATAAAATATTTATTTTGAAGAAATTATAAATTTCGCTCTATATTTTACAAATTATTAGTTTAGATATATTTATTTAAATTTTGTATTTCAAGATAATATCTCGATGGTAAACTTAATTTTGCCTTTTGACGCCAGGAAAAGTCACACCGCCAGTCAATTAATCCATCCATATAGCTAGTTTGACTGTAAGATGAATAAGCTATGACTATGCATGTCACATGATCTTATATGATATTGTCAGCGCTTAGCGATGAAATTAACATCTAAATTTTGAAGAATAAAATATTATAATTTATTTAATATTTAATTAATAATTTAATAAAAAATAATTACAGAATTATATATAAATTTAAATAATTTGGAGGAGGGGGATAAATTATATATAAATACATAAAAATTAATATTTTAATACTAAAAAAATCATAAAAAATTGAATTTGGAATCGATTGCCCCATGTCTAGTATAGTTCCGTCCCTGCCTTTGTTAGTTACTTTTTTTTGTTTATTGATTGATATTATTTTCAAATTTTTAAAAAATGAAAAAAAGTAAAATCAAAACTCAAGTTTAATTGTTAGCTAATCTTTGTAGTTATATACTCCCTCCGTCCCGAAATTAAATATCAATTTATTTTTTTTTACGTATTTTTAGAAATATTAGTATTATATTGAGATAAAATAACCTTATTAGTACATGTGATATAAAGGTAATGATATTTATGTAATATATACTGTAAGTTGTAAGGGTATTTGTAATGTTAGGTAGATAGTACAGTTACTAAAAACGAAAATGAATACTTTGTTATGGGACGGATTAAAATGGAAAAATGAATACTTTGTTATGGGATGGAGATATATGTTTGTTTTTAGTGTTGTTGATTTTTTTTTAATTATTACTTGCTCCGTCCACTTAACAAGTTTATATTTACTTTTTGCATCATTGTACTTAACATTAAAAATATTCTTATATTTGTATAATTTTTTATTATTATTATTTTTTTTTGTATAAAGTTCATTCTAAGACACTAATAAAAATATTTTTTTTTCTTAATTTGTACTACATTTTTATATAATAATTAATATTTAAATATCAACTCACAAAAAAAACAAATGTAAACTTTACAAACGGACAAAGGGATTATTATTTATAATTTGGCAATCACACTTTTTTTTTTTTTTTTAAATAGAAATATTATTAATACATGCAAATTCAATTATTATTTTACTAAAACTAATATATAAACATAAAAAATTCTTAAATAGAAAAAACCCTTAATTAATTGAATATTTTAATTTAATAATGATTAAATAGTACACTTTCAAAATCATGTTGTTGCACTTCACACAAACTCTTACGAACATTATATGTGAGAACGTACTTTGATGTAATATAAATTACATAGCAGCATTAAGATTTTTAGTTCGGGCGGATTCAAAAATTCAAATTTTTTTAAAAAATCAATTCGAACTGAACCGAAATAACTAAAATCCAAACTAAAAAATTCAAAATTTTAAATATTTTTTTAATTTGTAATTTTCTTTTATATTTTATTATTATTTTATAATTTTGAGTAAATGTAATTAATAATTTTGAGTTTTAATATTAAAATATAATATTTTCTAATAAAATATTAAATATATAATAAAAATATATATTAGAATGTTATATTTCGGATTTCGAATTGGTTTGGATTTTAAGTATACCAATCTGATCCAATCCGATCCGAAAATCCAAAATTTGTCAAAAATTCAATCCGAATAAATCCGAAAATCCGAACCAAAATTTAAATTTCGGTTTGATTTAGATTGGATTTTCGGATATTTTGCTCACCTCTATAACACGGGCATGAATAGAATATTTTATAATTTATTTATTGTATAAAATTATTTTGTATTATATTAAAATATGTATAATCGTAAATAAATTGAGTGAAGTATATATATCTTAAATATCATTATTTGAATAAAACAAATAAAAGAAAAATCTTTATGAGAAATGAAGAGTTAATTAATTAATTGTTTTTATAAAAATTAATATTTAAAATATTTCATTGTCTTTATTTGCATAACTAAGCACACATTTACTAATACCACCCGTGTTTGGATGGAAATAGTATTTAATATAATACAAAAGAATTTTCATAATAATAAAAAAGAAACAAATCAATACTATACAATTTATCCCGTAATATTTATGAGAAAAATATAAAAATTGTATAGTAAATTTTTTTTTTAAAAAATCAAAATAATCATAATTAAAAGAGTGTGTTCCTTTCCGAATTTATTCCAAATTTTTACTATTTAGTCTTTATCTTTATCGATAAAAGTTTTTTAAATTGAAAATTCGGCGCCGAATTCCGAATAGTGTGTGTGTGAGAAACGACTTATTATTAATTATTATTATTTTATGATGAGAAAACGAGCTACGTATGTTGTTTAAAAATCAAGGGAGAGAGAGAGAAGTGAGATTAAGACATTTATGGGACAAAATATTATGATCGTCGTTGTCACAAATAAATAAATATATATCCAAAAGATATATATATATATATATATATGATGTTATTGTCCCTTTGCTGCCTGTGGCTAATTCACACCCGAATATCGAATATCGGATCGACTCGAAGTTTTCAAGTTCTTGGAATACATTTCTTTGGAGTATGATTTTTTTTACAAATAATTTGGATGTAACGATGTCGGTAATATGTGAATTTGTTCACTTTATAATTCTTCTGTTATTATTCAAACTTTCAATTCTACTTCAAAACATTATATGCAATTATTTATTTATTTTTTAATACAAAATACTACATTCAAATACTATTTAATTGCACAATCGTTTATAGTCCACCTATTAAAGCATGTCGATTTTCTTAAAACAATATATATATATATATATTTACTAGATTATATATGTAAGTAAATCAATAACATTATTTAAATGATTATATCTTCATGGATTTTGGATGAAAAAAAGTTCGAAAAACATACGAATGACCTAATGTAAGATTTTATTAAGAACGATAAAATTGAAACACAAATTTAGAATAATTTGTCTTAGATCAACATGACTTTTTTTATTTTTTTATTTTTTATTGACGAAGAAAGACCAACTAAGGAGTGTGCAACCAACAACGACCAACAAACACCCAACGGTAGCCCAAGTACAATCCCAAGAACCGAAAACCCCAATGCTTGAGAGGCAAACACCAAGTTTTGCCTAAAATTAAATCGTAAAAATTCTCACAGACACTTTCTTGTTCACATAGAAGAACTAGCTATCAATTTCTCAACCAAAGTCACCGGAAAAGACTCATGGATAAAAGAGAGAACAATCGTGAGTGAGAAAATATTTTCAGAAAGGAAAAAAAAAAAAACATTGTAACTATCTATCAGAGTTAAAAAAAAGTATCAAATATATATAAAACAC